TATTGTAAAACTCATAGCTATTGACAAGCTTTTGAGAGTATCGAGGTGCATTAAAAAATTCAATAAATGAAATACGTTGTTTTGTTTCATAACATAAAGACGTGAAGCTTTTGTATACATTTTATTACGACTCTTTGTTCTGTGTACGCTTCATAAGTCATATTTTATCTAGGAATTTTTCGGGAGTACATCTGTTTTAGTCTGTCACTCTTTTGACAAGTTAGGGTAATTCTCCTGTCTGCTCGCTGTGAAATGGCACATTTCTTTGCACTCCCTTATCGCTTTTTTATGTTTTTTAATATTTCAAGATGGTGCTAAGTCTTAATTGCTACTAATCTTCCTTTTGGTTGATTATTTAGTTAATTAATGCGACCTGGAGTAATGTGGGGTCGCTTTCAATAGCTATTCATTATGCACAGCTAATTGCAAATGGAGCGACCTGTACAAAGGTAATTGCATTTGCAGCATTATTGTACACAAAGGTTTCGGTTTGTTAGGATTGAGACTGCAATACACCATTCAATTACGTGATGTAACAAAAATCGCTGCACAGGGCAAAGACCCCGATAATAGAGATGCGGCAAGTTTAAATTAGTAGAGCGATAGAAGTTTTAATACGGAAAAACAAGCAGCTGAAGAAAAAGTTTTTCCGATAATAAATGGCTAAAAAGTTGCCCCCCATGTAAATTGTGGCCTTAAACATCGAGCTCAACTTTTCACATAAATCTTTTCAAATCCTCAGGAATTCGTGATTTACACGGACAGAGACAATGTCACATGTAACAAAAGAGATTTTCCAATTAAATGATTCCGCAATGGAATACTGAAATTTTGAATCAGAAACTTTAAATTGAGTTGATCAACTTGTGTAATTTTATTATTTCACTATAAAAGCTCTTAAGTTTCAGCGAATTATTTCAATGTCACAACTTTGAAGAACTAGCCGCTTCACATCTCGACAACTAAAACGATTACAAGAGCATTTGAAAGTTTTGCACAAAATTTAAGCTTGTTTTACATAATCCTTACATCGTTTAAGATGAGCCAGTTATAGACCTGGAGATTGATTAAAGAGTTATGTCGTGTACCATTTTAATAATGTAAAATGAAATTGAGATACAAAAAGGAAAATTTCAGCTCTCGTTTTACCCAGCTTTGTAGGAAAATAGCACAAAGTTTATAACGGAAACTGAAAATTAATTAAATATTTTTACATTCTACTTCCATTATTTAAGTATTAATAAAACTAATTAAAATGTGTTCTAACTGACATAAGCTCTTTTCGACTTATTATTCATCTCATCAAAATTTAAGTCGATCGATAAACTCGTTCTAAAGTTTCATTTGTTTGACTTCTTGATAAACTTTTTAATACTTAAAATTTAAGCTCGATTACTTAAGCCACTTAACCGATTATGCAAAATCTTCATTGCTAAATTCACAGTTGGTAATGTTTTAAACCTGAAATTCGGCTCATCAATCTCGCACGTCTTCGCGAGTATACAATGAAATTTATGAAAAGCTGGCATGTGTAGTCGCTTGTATATCACACTCAAATACGCTCTTTAATTCAGATAATTAAACCTAAATTAACTAGTGGGATAATTAATTCCAAGGTTCAAACTTAACTAAGACCTGAAATTGTTTGATTACAGTTCAAAGACAACGTAGTGAGCCGGCTTGATGGGCATCCGGCTGATTAAGATTCCGCAAGTTTGATAAAGGGCTACCGACTAAACAATAGCCGTCCGCTTGCAACCAAACATCACAATCCTCCTGCATTTATAAAATGGACCGACGACAGATAACAAAGATTGATGACGAAGAGCATCGATGTCATCAAGTTTCATTAACGTCCAAATACCTTCACTTGATGCGCCTTTTGTACAAAACAGATGCTTTCTTTGCAAACGGCATGGCTCAGACAAAATTCTGCCTTTTAAAAGCTTATTTGAGTCGTTTGGTGTCAAGAAAACCGCAAAATTCTTGATTTTTGTCTTTACCAGCTACTAGCTATTTTTCAATAACTATTTATCGCAGAATTATGATTTTTTTCTTATACGATAGGGAATTAAAAGTGCTTTTCAACGATACCAAACATAAGAGAGTTATAAAAAAAAGTGTCAAATTTATTAGTTGATATCCACTCCGGGTACCGAAAATCTTGACAAAAATCGAAAATACCTATAGTATCTTCAAAATTCAACCAATTGCACACCTTGGGGTTTAGGAAACTTAGAAAAGTGCCAAAATGTTGTAAAATACTCACAAATGTGTATAAAACCTTATAGGGTTGAGTTAAAAAAAAATCGTGTTTTTTTGAGTTGAAAAAAAAGACAAAAATGAAAAATTTCACCTTATTAGCTTGACACTAAATTTTAAGAAATCATGATTTTCGTCCACTTTGACTTAAAAAAATAAATTTACGAATATTTGTCTTAAAAGAATTGTTATTTTAGGAAAATACAAAAAACAAAAAGAAGAAATTCTGCCTTTTAAAAGGTTAAAGTTTGACACAAATTGTTTAAAAAAATCATAGTTTTTGGACACTTTATTGTAACACTTGACTTAAAAAAATCAATTTGAAAACATTTGTCTTCTTCCCCGAACACAATTTACAAAAACATTATTTTCATTATGAGAAATTACATTTTTACACCGGAACTGTTACGAAATGGTTTTTGTGCCGTTTTTGACGAAATTATTACAATAATTAGACTTAGCCAAGCTCCCGTACGAGTTACTTGAATTGTAATAATTGTCCAGATAAATTATTACTTATTTGGTGGTTCAGTACGAAATTCTGTTGAACTGGAGACTGTACACACAGTGAGTTTGTGTTGTGTATTTTCGCGTAGGAATAGACATTTAGTAGTGTGCCATTTTTAAAAATTTCTAATGATTAGTGGGTGGCAATGGGAGGAGTTTTCTACGGAATGGAGGAAGCAATCGTGTTACAAAGATCTAGAATAAAGAGTAAGTCCGCAATACTTTTTTATTTTTTAGAAAAATTACTTTTAAATGTTATTTAATGTTTTCAACTAATTTAATAAATACAGTGTACTGATTTTGTGTTTTTTTATTTCAGTAGGTCCGTTCTATGAAGAAGAGGAGGGAATCGATACAAAGGGCAGCAGAAAAAGATGCCATAAGTATAAGGTCAGTATATAGACGAGTGCAAATTTATTTTCATAATAGTTTTTATCGAAAACTTGGACCTTTTGTCTAAATTAAAGTCTTCAGCAAAATCAAAATTTTCATCCACTTGGCGTAAAAAACAGTTTGCAAATATTTGTTTTTCTTAAAGTTAACAGTCATTAAAGAGTTGTTTTTTAAGAAAATACAAAAAGATGGAAAAAGATAATTAATTCTTGTTTACTTTTCTGGCAAACGAAACGCTTCTTTTTACTTTTACTTTTGATTATTAATTAATAAAGAACAGGTGAAAAAGTCCAGTGGTGATTTCTTACTGATGGGGTTATTAATTATGAGAAGTGCATTAACTGTAACTGAAATACCTGGAGCAAACATCAGGGACTGTTGAAAAATGCCTTCTTCCTGAAATCCACATTCAATTATTCTCCCATCCTCTGGAAATCCCCTCTCGAATAAATGTTTAAAAAAACTGGACAAACAACTGCATCGCCTAGTTCAAAACTCCAAACTTTACTTTAATACCTGGAATTTTTCTTCCTGAATTTTAAATAAGTTTGGAATGTTTGTTTAATGTCACGCCCGGAAATATCTCCAGAATTGACCGGAACCGTAAATTAGGGTGACGGGGATTTATTGCGGTTTAAGGGTCACAAAACATTTCAAATTGTTTCGGAAAGTAGAAATTTGCTGATTTAGAAATTCTCTCGCGGCGCATCCGCCAAATGTTCAACTTACTTAATCTCCATTTATATTGAGGAATAAAGAAATAGGAATGCAATTTTTCGGCCTTGTCGTGTTTCGAGAATTACCAAAACTACAAAAAGTGTTTGCGTTGCATTAAATAGCGCCATGTCAACAAAATGGCACCCCTCTAGTGCAATTAAACTTTAAGATAAATGTTGTTCCAAATGTGCTAATGAAAACATAAAAGTAGAACTCGCTTTGACAGCAGCTCCGGTTAGATCCCACGAGGACATAATTTTGAATGTAGTTTAACCGTGGCAATGTATCTCCACGTTGACAAACGTTTCCCAGTTGTTACAACTTAACTAAACCGTCTATAAAGCACCTTTAATCGTATCAAAAAACACCAATTTCAATTTTTAAAAGCTCATTCATGCAAATTCCACGCGAGATTGTTTATTATTATTCAATTTAAATTATAGTTGCAAATTTTTCAATTTTCTTCCCCGACATGTGTCCCAAATTACTTTCCAAGAAAGTGGAGTGAAGTATTTTTCAGTCACGATAGCCAATCAAAAAAACAATGTTTTGTTCCTCCTAATCTTCCTCACATTGAATATTTTTGCATCTCGCTGTTTCGCTTGTTTTAATAATTTATCCACACACCGATTCACCGAAATTGGATCGGTAAATGAACATTCGACACACAGTTTTGAATTCAGTGCGGCATGCAATGAGGTCCTTTATCGAAATGTTTTATTTTATGGAATAAATGCAAAGAGTTTGTGGAAACGTTATTTCAATGCGGAATTCTGTATGCATAAAATGTAAAGTAAGACCTTCGTTGCGGCATAGGCTTTAACGACTCTTTGTTTCGTTAAGAATGATGGCCGAGATAAGAGTATTAATTAGACTATTTTCGAGTTATCCAAATTCGGGGGCGCACAATTATCAACTTTGAGGTCGTTAAATAAAAGAGTAGATATTATCCGAAATGATAAATACCCAACAGAAGAAGAACCATTCGTCTTGTAAGTCGCTATATCCATAAATCAAAAGAAAATTACTTTTGGTCTTACATTTCCTTTTAAGACAAAAGGTTTGTGCATTTTCGGGGACAAAAGGAACTCGTCGTCAATAGTATCCAATTTCTCACTTACCAATAGCTGTAAAAACTCCCCAAAAACGAGTAAAAGGTAGAAAACAGTTGAAAAAGCTCGAGTACCGATTAGGACTGTCTCTGATAGGAACATTGTTCATTGTTCTCGGACCTCCCGCACATTCATTGCCGACTGGGGGATTTATACTCGGGAACATTTTCAACAATTTAATCACTTGTTATTATTTATTAAAAAAAAAATTAGAAACAAGTCACATTTTCAAAATTTCCCAAAAATTACATCTGGGAAAAAAGCGTCAATCGAATCGAGTCACGTAAATTCCAAATATCGGAGATGAAGCTCCAGCGTTGGGAGCTTTCGCCAACAAACTACGTACTCGGTGAGCTTTGGAGCTTTCGCGAGAGGTGCTTTAAGAGTGGGGAAATGATGCTGCGGTTGCGTGCTTAAAGCACTCAAATAAAGCAACTTGTCATTAAGTTTTACATAGAAATGATTCTAATAGGATTAGATTATGCATATCATAAATTTCTAATTTCATCCTTATCAAATATGCACCACCAAACTTTAATTACTTTAAACCGGGACCACTTTCCCTGCTTTTGCATGCAAACGTCGCACACAAATTTTAAAATAAACTCGCCGGAGCTACTTTTATTGCGACTGTAACATCATTTGTTTAAAAACAAACTAAAACTGCACTGCAGGAAATCGTAGAATTTTACGGGCTCAAATATCAATTTTTCAAAGCTGCATTCTCGCTGTTTGTTTAGGTCAGGTAATTAAATAACCCCGCAATTTTAATTGAATTTTGTCTTACGAAATGGTTTTTGTGCCGTTTTTGAAGAAATTATTCCGATAACGAGTCACTCTTAGCCAAGCTTTCGTACGAGTTACTTGAATTGTAATAATTGTCCGGATAAATAAATTATTACTTATTTGGTGGTTTAGTTAGAACTGTGTTGAAATGAGGGCTATACACAGTGAGTTCAGGTTGTGTATTTTCGAATGCTTAATAGACATTTAGTAGTACGCAATTTTTAATAGTAAATAAATAACCCAGCAATTTGATTTGATTTTATTCTTACATAAATAATACATTTTTCTATTTTATTGTATATACTTATTTGAGTAACAATAAATAAAAACAAGAATCACCTATTTTTCCGAAAGTTGAATTTAAGTTTTATTGTTGTAGAGATTAGTATGACTTTTCTACCAGTTACATGTTGTTATTAGGTCAAGTTTAAAGACTGACACCTTCAACAAAAAATACGTTGAAAAAATAAAGCCACTATTCCTTAACGTAACAAAATCACAGTCAAAGTTAGTCTTTTGCCATTCTTTACAAAAATAATTAAAAAAAATACATAACGTTATTAATTAAAATCAATATCACGATGGTATCGAAGGCGTTCTAGTCCGACTATTTGCACGACGAGGGATTGATGAGTAACGTTGGGGTGAAGGGGGCTCTCCAGGTTGCCGCCACAATTTCGTAGTTTTTTTTGAAGATTGATGGGGCCGAGATCTTTGGGGAGATTCATTCGCACTGCAAAAAACGCCAATTTTTAGTGCAATAAAGTTGGTAGTAGTGACAGATGGTGCAACACCACCTGTGTTTGTACGTGTTGTGATTTTTGACGCATTAATCTTACCCGAAATTGCTACAAGGCAGCGTGAAACATTCAAATTCGCTATTACTAGTTTTGGATATGGACATTTAATAATATATTATTAGAAAAATAACGCTTCAAGCCGAAACTATACTTTTATAAAAAATATTAAGACTCTTCAATGAACTGATTCAAGTAACACGAGGAACAAGAATATAAAATGTTTAAAAGGCACAATAAATTAACAGCACACAAGACAATCACACCAAATAACAAATCAGCTAACACTACCTTCCCAATCCTAAAGCTGTATCCAGCAGCACAAAAAAAACTGTTAGGGTTTTTCGCACCAAAAGTGATTTCTTACCTGACTAGAGATCCGATACTTCCTTCGGAAGAACCGTTAAGCAACGATGGACCAGCTGAAATTGGACGAATCTAAAACAAATAAAATTACCCCAATTACAGATTCCTTTTTTATCAAATACCCGTTCTGTTTGCGTGGCAGCATTGCACATTGAACTTTCAACGGCAACAGTCGAGGCAGGAGCCGAGTTTGACGTATAATTTTCAGTTGCAAGTTTAAGCATTTGTTCTTGTAATTCTTGAACTGTCTTCTCCTTATCCTCCAACTGGCCTTGTAAAAACAACACCTGTCTTCGCAATTCCGCCAATTCGAACCTATTCTCGGCGGTTTCATCATTTTGTGCGTCGTCTGATGAGGAGCATAGGCCATTGAAGAGACCATTCGTCAGACTTAACTGACCATCAAATGGAATGTGAGTTTCAGACTGGAACAAAAAATTCGGATGCAACCACTGGCGAGGTGTTTTTTCGGGACAAAACGCGACTTACCCTCAACAAAATATCTTCGTCTGGCTGCTGTGATGATAATGAAACATGCAAAAAAAAATGGAGACGGCACAAATGAAACAAAAAGTGAAAAAACTGAAACTATACCTCGTTTAGGACACGTCGTAGTTTCAAAAGCATGGTTTTGATGCTCATAATGTCCTGTTTCATTGCGGAGTGATTCGCTCGATCTAATCTGATTGAATCATCCGAATCGTATCCAGATAACGGGATTCGGGAGAGTCGAAGAGGACTACTGGTGACGGAATGGCGCGACCTGGCTGTCGATCTACTATCTACAGATTTCGGTGAATCAGGAATTGAATTCGGCGTTCCGGTTCGAGACCACAACAGGCGAGTTTTACTCGCATTGCTGCAACAGAACATTATGCTCTAGTTCGATTAGATGCGACAAATTTGCTTATTAGAGCAAAAAATCCTTTTTGAATGACAAAACCACTTCGAAAAATACCTTCGGCCTAATTTCGGCGAACTTATTGGCGAACACACACTCTCCTCGTCAATTTTTCTCCTGCATCTCAGTTCCGTGGTTCGATTTGTCTTAACATTCTTCATTTTAGCAAAAATAGGCTCATTTTAAACTAGTTAAGGCACTTTTTTCGGTCCGAAAACTTTAACTAGGTCTCTGGTTTCATATTTAAGTTTTTTTGCACTTGTTAAGATAAAGATTTGACGCTCCCGTAAGCTCATTTGTTGCATTTAAAACGCGCAAACTCGACCAAATTTTGCTCGATAAAATTAACGATGCGCAGTTACTAAGGCCGTAAAAGCATTTTTTCTACACATAAGAGAAAATTAAATTGTCTTGCGGCACTTAATTTCAATGAGATTTTTAATATCATTCGTGTGGGATTGCACCCAAATTAAATAATTAAATTTCTCCACAATGCACAGTTCTCATATTTGTTTCGGTGGCCTAAATCGCCCAATTCGGACTGCAGTGGGAGTTTTGAAACACAAGAATAAAATATTGTTTGCCTATTTATTAGTCACCTTTAGCCTAGAGCCTCAATTTCAATTTTTACAAATTGAAATAAAAATAAAAAAATGAAATAAAAAATCACATGATCAACGGTTGATAAAATGATAGATACCCATTTTGGTAAATCATCCCGGGCGTTTTGGGTTGAGTGCCTGCGCTGGCACTTCTCAGTCGGTTCCCTTTGTCTTTTTGTCCTTTGTTCATCACGAGTTCACTACTAATTTCGGACTGAAACGTGGGTAACTCATAATCACACACTTCGTGATAAGATAATATGCGAAATAATTTTGTAAAAGTTTGTTGGGTTCAGCGCGAACGTGGTACAATAACTGGTTCACCAGCAGGTACAACTCCTGCTGTGTTGCCAGCATTCGAACGGAAAATGATGCAAAGTTAGAACGCGGAACGATTGTTCTTATGGTATTTTAACTGAGTAGGTAGTGGTGGGTGAGTTATTGTTTTACCTGAATTTGAAAAATGTGGCAACGGTGCTCAAAATATATTCACTTGATAAAAACTGATAACTATTGAAAGGTGTGGAACAATTAGAGCATAATTGCAAATTCACCGATCAGAATAACTATAGTTTTGCTTTGATTTTTAATTAGTTAATTCTATGATGAATTGTATTAAAAATTACAGTAATTTTACTGAAATCAACGATACCTTATTGTTTGTTTCAATTAAATTTTCTTAGATAACAAGTTAATAAACGATTCGAAAAGTGAATCATCCAATCCTAACTTCATGGTTTCTGAATTATGAAATAAGTGATTCAATATTTTAAATTTCGCGCGCTAGCAAGTGTATCAAAACAATTATTACAAAACGACAAATGATTTGAAAAAAAAGAAATTAAATTGTAACACACTAATTCTTGTTTAAACTATTTATGTATTGAAAAAAAAAAGATAAAGTACTAGAACGTTTTTGAGTTTTGCAAAAATTTTAATATTGTTGAAATGCATGAAAACCCACTATAATTTTTTTTTACAAAAATTGAGATCTAAGGAACTAAAATGCATTCAAGTTGTATTTTCCCAACCAGATTTAAGAAATGTTGCAAGACTGAATGTCATTAGGCAGTCATAATGTAGCTAGTAATTTTCAAACCGTTATATTTCATTCTTGTTGTCAGTTTGACATCTTTTGAGTGGAAAGTTCAGGGGTAAAATATTTTAAATTATATATTATTAAATTTTTAATATAAAATTATTTTAATAACTTTCCGATTTGACACACAGATTTGGTAGCTATAATGTTACCAAATCAATTCTTCAGTAACTTATATACTGCTCAATTTTATTTCCAGACGATTGACATAACTAAATTAAAAAAAAAATGACCTTGAGCGGGAAAATCCAATTTGAAAATTCTCATAGAAACTGTCATTTTGAAGAAAAATTGCTCAACTCAAAAACATATTTTTTATAGCACTTCAATTTTTAATAATTATTATTTTCTAAAGACAATTAATGATTATTTAAAAAAAAACCTGCTTGGTTCCATGTTTTTTGTTCACTTTGTATAAATATTTTAGTACCCAAAGTTATTGACACGTACGAACATGGAACTATTTAATTACCAAATTTTCCGCTAAAACAGATAGGTGAATATTTAATCAATAGACGAATAATAATAAGCTTATTAGTGTAATCAAATAAGGTTCACGAGTTCAATGATCTGAAGTTTTAGGAAAGGATTAGTTTCCTCTAATTACTGAACCAAAATTTAATAGCGATAGGAAACAATAAATCTTAATATGTTCAAATAAGTAAGCCAATTAAAATTTCAAAGCCAAAATGTTGTTGTCTTTAGAAACAAACATACAAAATTAGTCAAGAAGAAATTAGCACCTAGAATTTAAACTTTTAGAAAAATTACGATCTTCATGTTGCTTGTAACTAAAATTTTTAGAAGTAATTTTGGTTGGTTGCCCGTTGTTGTTAACGGTTAACGTATTCTGTCAATATCAATTGAGTTATTCATACAAGCTGGCAGGTGATTTAACTTGAATTTTTGACAAAATCTTTTGTTTTCTAGTAGCAAATGTCCTTAAATTATAGGCAGTAATTTCTTGTATAGATACGACAATAACAACTTTTACAATTTGATTTTGTGATTCATTTGTTACAATGAAAATTAAGTATCATAAATTTACATTTACTATAAATGATTTAAAACGGGAACTATTATTTATTATTTCATTGCAATTTTACTCATTGGAATTACTACAAAACATATAACCACTAAATCCTAAATAAACTCATGGTAAAATGACCGATGTTAAGTGCAATCATATATTTTTATCATTACAGAATGAATAATTCGTCAATCGGTGTATAATACATTTATTGTAATTACTTTTTGTATCATTTTTACTTGCTATATAATGTTAGTATTATAATAAATTGCTTTTGGGTTTGGCTACAGACTGAGTGTTCATTTTTTTCTTCATAATTATTAATTATAAATATTCAACGAGTGATTTTTATTTTTAAACCAATCAATACAAAACTGAATAATTAAAGTGTTACTTACCTTTTTATACTCTTGTGCCCCCCTAATAAGCTCGCCCAGTCCCTCAATCCCCCTTCCTCATTTTCCGTTTTGCGTATCACAGTTTCGTCCAATGACGAAAAGCCATGATTGTGGCTATCATTCCTGAAAAAAAGCACAAGTCACAAAAATTCCCCAGAAATCGTTGTGAAATACCTGTCACAATCCTCCATTCCGCTGCTTTGACTGTAGTCATAATCCATCATCAAATCATCGCTTGCTATACTCTCACATGGCGATAGGGTGTCTAAAGACCCGGTTCGGCTATGATAAGCCTTTTTCTTCCTCAGTGTCAGAGGGCTGTTTTCGAGGAAACTCCTCCGTTTCGGTTTGGGAGTCGAGTCAACAATTGTGGTACTTTCCGAGTTATTCCCGACGAGAGTATCGTCGAAGAGGAGTGCCGGCTGGTCTGCTATCTCATCATCAATCAGGAAGTCGTCCTTTCCGTCTGATAGTGATAACGAGTTTGATGCGTTAGTTGGAGTTCCAGGACTCGGCGGAGTCAATTTCTCGTTAATATCCTTTGAGTTGGAGGAACTCCTGTTTATTTTCCGTTTGAGGATTTCCTCCGATTCGGAACAACTCAGTAAACTGTCGACGGGGGAGGTTTCATCGTCGAGGAGGAGACTCGCATTGCTTGCAACAGCAGCGAATTTCGGGTCCTCGATTGTTAAGAGGACGTTCCTGAAGGTGACATTTGTGGGTGTTGTGACCGGTGCTTGCTCCTTCTCTTTACTTTCATCACTTGAACTTATCGAAAAACTGACTTCGTCAGCCATTGCTTCGCCCCCGTGGGCCCAATCGTGCTCGTCGGAACTTGGAGGGCTCGAATCGTCCGATCTTGGCTTGAAAAATGAACCGGACTTGATGAAAAACTTCTCGTTTTTGTATTTATCGCGCGAGGTTTTTTCTTCATCGTAATCACTGAAACCTTCAGAAGAAGTGACGGAGATTTTTCGTCGATTGTCGGAGTCGAGGTGGCGCTCGTACTCTTTTGCCTTTTCTCTCACAAATCCAGAATTGTACACTCTGAAACACATTATTACTTTGATGATAATAACTAAAAAATCGTAATTACCCTCTGAGAGTTTCCGGATTGGTGAACGCACTCGGAAGTTGCGGCAAAGGCACACAACTTTCAGAGTCGTCCAAATCCCGGACGTCGAAAGTATTTCCGGTTTTGACAACTTCCAAATTCCTAGATTTTATAAATCTACGGCCGTAAGTCGGTGAATGGTTCAAGCGTTCCAAACCGGGGATTTCATTACTGATTTGACTCCCAACTCCTGAATCTTCCGCCGAGGAATTATCCTCGTTGTAGGCTATTTTCCGGCTGTTATTGGCTAAAGTCTTGGCTGCTTTCGTTTCAATCACTCTGATTGGTTCCGGTCGTGGCAACTGTGTCGATTGTAACATAAACCGTTCCGCCTTGAACAATTTTATCAACACTCGAGAAAAATTCACCAAAAAACTCACCTGTGGCATGCCACTTTTTATCATTTTGTTCTTATTGCTGTCAACTTTTTGAGTGACTTTTTTGGCAACATTATCCAATGGTGGATTATTCAAATCAGCTACTTTATGTAATCGGTTGACTTGAGGTTGACGAAAACCAAACCGATTGACTTTGGTAGCAATGCCCTCTTTTTTCGGGGGCATTAATCGGGGAGTGGAACGAGCTGTTGGTGCTATGTTTGTTGTAAGTGGTTCAGTGTCACCGTTGCCGTTTCTGTCGATGTAATCAATGTTGGCAAGACGCCGAGCTGCATTCGAGTTGGATGCGATGGAAGGAGCGGTTGTTGGACGACGCTTGAAGCCGAAAGACGTCGCGACGCCTTTCGTGCAGTGGGGGGGCTTGCGGGGCAGCTCTCTCTCGTCGTCGCCGGGACTCTAAAATACATATGGACAATTTTTGCAAAGTTGGTAACGCTTCTATTAACATCAAATTTTAAAAATTAGCATTTAATTGTAAGTTTTTCATTCTTCTGTTTCTACCGTTTATTATTAATAATTTCAAATTTTTGTAAAGACTCACACTCATTGTCACCGCCATCTATGACGCCAAAAAATAAACACGCATTATTAATATCAAAACTACGGGGAACTACATACTAAAGGAGACGAAACGAGATACAAAAAATAAACACGCATTATTAATATCAAAACTACGGAGAACTACATACTGAAGGAGACGAAACGAGATAGGTACAAAATGCTCGATTTTTTAGACCCAAAAAAAGTAGTACGGCGAAGTAAAAATGAGGGTGCTTAAAGCGTTTTACCGTCTCAGTTTCAAATTGTTTTAAATTAGTTTAAATTCAACCAGTCTACTAATTGCTTGGAAAAAAAATGCAAAAATGTCGGGCTTTACATTCTTAATAAGCTGTGAAAAACGAACGACTAAATTTTTCACGAGAAATATAAAAAAAAAATATTTAAAATTTAAAATCTGTGTTTCGTTTCATGTTTTTCAAAATGCTGCGAATACGGTTGAAGATACAAGAAAAATGTAAGAAAGAAAGTTGTAGAGAATAAAATTTTCTTGTAAAAAGACCATACCTCTCTATCTTTAATGGTTTAGGCTTCAAAAACGTTCAAATTCGCTCAAGTTTCATTTTACTGGTGATTCAGTGCCAGAGGACCACTTTAATGCAATTTAAACCTAAAATAGAAATATGGACTTTTTTGTAGCAAATTTTATTCTCTACAATTTTGTTTCTTACACTTTTTTGTACCTTTAACCATATTCGTAGCGTTCTCAAAAATATTGGGAGGAACGCAAACTGATAATTGTTTATTTTTTTTTTTTTCGGTATTTATGAAAACGTTGCGAATATGGTTAAAGATATAAAAAAAAAATGTAGGAAACAAAGTTGTAGAGCATTAAATTTCCTACAAAAAAATCTCCGAGATCATATCTCTATATACAACCGTTTAGGTTTAAATTAATTTTCCGTCTCTTGACCATCGGTAAAAATGATATTCATCACTTGAGTGTCTTTGAACGTCTTTAGGACTTAAACCATTGAAAATAGAGGTACGAGTATCAATAGCGGACTTTTTTCTGGAAAATTTTATTCAACTTTATATTTCTCTTGTATCTTTAACCGTATTCGCAGCATTTTCAAAATTTTGAGACGGGGCGCAAATTGTTAAATGTTTAAAAAAAATAATTTTTCAATAAAAAGTTTTCAATAAAATTTTTGCATTACCTTTACCTCTTATTATTGAGAATTTAATGCTCTAGGGGTCTATATTTTTTTATTTGCGTTTTGGCTCACCGTTATGTTAATACAGCCAGAGAACGGGGACTTTTTATTTTACATCGTGTCGTATCCTAGTCTTTAGGTATCCGTAATCAAAACTAAAAAAAATCTCATATAATTTTGTATTTATTTTTAGTTTTTCAGTTGTTGCAAAGTTTCTATCGTTTATTAATAAAACACTCATTTCAATGTTTTTCCTTTTTATTTGTTGTAGAGACGCCAAAAAATAAATACGCATTATTAATATCAAAACTAAAAAAAATCATATAATTTTGTATTTATTTTGAGTTTTTCATTTGTTGCAAAGTTTCTATCGTTTATTAATAAAATAAACATTTATTTTTTTTTCTTTTTATTTGTTGTAGAGACTAATCTCATAAAAAAATCACTGAGTGTTTAAATAGCCACTAAAACACATATTTCAAAATTTCAGTTCTTAATTTTTGATAAGTTGGTGACATTATTTATATTTAAATGACAAAATTTGTAGATTTGATACATTTGCGGTCACGGAATTTTGGACAATTTGTCATTCGATTGACGTAAAAATGTAAAACAGACCTTATGTACAATTAACCTCACTTTTGGTTTTTGTAATTTATATCCTGACAGTTAAAGAAAAAATGACAATAAATCAAAATAATTTATTGAAACACGTGCATGCATTATTGGCATTATTGTTTCGAAATTGTACTATCGCGGACAAATTACTTTGGTCGTCATCGTCAATGTCACTTGAGTGACATAAATTTATAAAGCAAGCATTAGAATGGTTAACCTTATTTTTTACTACTATCAACCATTACCATTGACTGTCACTGACACACTCCTCATTACAAAATGTTAAATACCGAAAAATGGATCACTGAATGAAAATTTCCAGGAAGGAAAAATTGGAAGAGTTTCCTCAAGGCATTGCAATGAACGATGAAAGGTGCCATATTTTTGCCAAGAGAAAAGTCAATGATTTGTAATTGTTATCAATGTTGTCTTGACGTTAATATGTTTTTTTGAAGTGACAGAAAAATGATGACCAAAGTATTTTGTCCGCAATACTAGCATAAGAAATGTTTATTTTTGTACAAAAATAAATACATAATTCATAGTTTTTCATTTGTTGCAACACTCATTTCAAAATTTTTCCTTTTTATCTTTTTGTTATAGACCCAAGAAAACACTCATATTCAGTTCTTAGTATTTGTCAAGTTAATGACATTGCTGATATTTAAATGACAAAATTCTTAGTTTTGTCAGATTTTGATACAATGTAGCATAAGAAATGTTTATTTTTCTTCAGAAATAAATACTTGCTTTAATTTTTTTCCGCTCGAAAAACATCCATAATTTTTTTTGTGTTTATGGCGTGTACCTACTTGGTTTAAGTTTGTATTTGATTTTTGACTTGTTTGTGAGTTCTTAATTGGACTATAAACAGGAAACTGTAAACCGCTCTTCAAGAATAGCTCCTGTGTATTTTTATGGTTGAGAATGCACCAGGTGGGGAGGTGAAAGGTGACGATAAAATCTGCTGTCATCAATCAGCGAGAATTCACACAGCAGGAGGTATTGTTTGTTAATTTTCTTACCGCAAATAATTAGATTAATGAATTGCAGTAGCGTGGGATAATTAAAGTAATAAGGATTCAAAGTTGAAGGAGAACTTTATCAGTTATACATAGCTGTATGACTTTTTTTCAAATTTAATTGCTACACTCCTACGTGTTTACGGAGAAAAAAAGCTTCAAACGGTTGACTGTTCTAATTTAATTCACATGATTAGAAATTAGAGAGTGTTGTCGTGAATTCCTCTAGGATTATTTGCAAGAAATTTACCACTTTTCACGTGAATAAGTAAACAAATAGTTCATAGCTTCCGGGGACACGTGTAATGAAAGTAAACCGATTTTGAGATATCATTTACCGGTTTTGCGTTGCTTTATCAGATTGAGCTAAAATAACAATTTTTTGATACTGGAAACTGGAAAGTCAACAAACTCTTACGCAAGACACAATTACAGCCAAACACAAGAGATGCTTTACAATACTACAATGAAGTGTAATTATTATTAGTCTCTACTAGTGGTAAAATTAAGTCAGTTTCTTGCTCTTTGAGGAGAGAAAATCCTCTTTACTAGCCATGGATATTAGGATAAAGTAAGGTCCAATGGCCACGAAAAAGTCATTATGTTTGGATAAGTGAATGTAGAAACGAGTCTTGAATTTTAATTGCGACAAATCCGACATGTGTTCCCATGAGCCAATCGTCCACCTGACGCTCTATTCATCTCTACACACCGTTTTGCATTCCAATAATTTCCTGTGCGAAATTAATTTAATTACAATATGCAAAAACGCTAAGGTTTGAAAAATGTTCCACTTCCGCTTTCACCTCAATTGATACAAGTTTTTTCGCCCGCATAAATTACCGTCCTGTCGCAAATAATAATACCTTTAAAAAATAACTGATGCGATTCATTTAATGAGTCAAAATATTTGTATGTTTCTCCTTTCGCCGTACATTTTACATAAAATCGTGACTCGGTTCTGTAACCTACAAGACAATAAATATCAGTGATTGGCTGTTTTCAACGGAACATTCGAAGAATATGCGCTGAATGTCTTGTAACTGTACACAGTTACATCTCATTAGGGCATCTGACCCCGAGTTTCGCGCAAAGACTCACCTGCAGATCAGGCGGACATTCGTCCATCAAAAGATTCGACAAATTTGACATTTTTCGCATTTAAACACCGAACACAATGCAGAAGTGATTCATCTTTGATTCGCGTCAAAGAATTGATCGGCGGCGGAAGGCCAATGCGGCGTCGCGACGGCATGCGCCGTCAACGTCATTAAAACAATTAAACATTTCAATGTTATTTTTCTAATGCTCAGAAGCGGTTTATTTCTTACCTGAATATTATGCTTCTGCATTTTGGTGGGCTTGTGGGATGCGGCTGCAGAAGCGGCGAAGGCACCTGCGGCCTTACGCGACATGCATTGCCCCATGAGAGTTCAAACGAAGAGTTTTCTCGAAACCTGGCAAAAATATCGTGAGAGGAAAAAGATAAGTGAGAAAGAGTAGTTGCGTAATGAGATATTTTACAGACTAGAGTGTGTAAATTATGAATCTTATTAGCTATAAAGAGTATAAAGTGTGCAGAAATTAAGTAATTAGGAATAAAAGACAATTAGAACCTTGACCAAGCATAACAGTTGAGACGGACTTGTTATTTTTATCGCACTTTCTTTTTCATTCTCATTTTTATGATTCTGCCATTGCCTATGTTAATGGCATCAATTAAATGCAGTTAAAAGTTTAGACCACTTTTTTAAGATTCTTATCATTTCTTAGAAAAGAAAGTAAATGTAATGCATTATCAAAAGTAGTAATGAAAGTTTCAAACTGGTCTACAAAGCCGATTTTTCCCATCACCGAAGCGATTGAAACTGTACTTACAATAAAAAAAATCGTTCCAGTAAAATTTGTTTGACGTTCGAAGATGCTGGAAAATTACTCTTTGATTAATCGTCCTTTAAGGATAATGTATGCGCATAGTAAAAATCTGAAATCTCCTTGACGCCTGAAGGTCAGGTCGTAACTTAGTTCAATCACATTTTTCAGATTCCAAATTTTGTAAAGGTCAATCACGCCTACGCAGACATGCCGAAGATACCAATGAGTAATTTCTAAATAATCATTAAAAACTAGACGAAAAATTTTTACCTTCCTGAAAACGAAAGCAACTCCGAAAAAACATATTCACATACTCCGAAAACCGCGACGAAATGTTTTTAATTCAATTTGAGCACTTTAATCTTTGTGTACACAGTGTTTTGAGGTGAATGAGATAAGCGTCAAGTGTTGTAACACAGGTGTTACACCTCCGTAACCGCACACATTCCACCGACTGCACTTAAATGGCAAAAACGTTTTATTACAAGTGCATTGAACATAATTCCCAACCTAACTTCCCATTCCCATCCCATTCAGTAACATCGAGAATACGCAATCTGGGGCGCATGCCTCACATAGGCAACACCCTATACAACTTGTCGATATACAGCCGGGCAGAAATACAAGTGAAGTCTGTTGGCAATACTGAATTCAATTTTTGTCTGACAGTACTATTCAAAACTTCAAATTTGGAAATTTCGCATCAGTTTTTAAAATGAAGATTACGCTGGAACATATTATACCTACTCATTCATGATATATTAACCCACCAACAATTAAGTATCACAAACCGCTGAAAAAAAAGTGTTTTTTTCAACAGTCATTCATAAATTTCATATTAATGTGCATCAAGTAGTGATGGGCGATAACTATCGATGTTAAACGAACATCGATATTTAACTTTCCATCATCGATGTTTTTGCATCGATAGACTTAAATGTCAGAAATCGATGTAATATCGATGTTTTTTCAATTACCAAATTTTCGATTACTACAAATATTTTTGATGCCATCAAGTAGGTTGTAGTAGTCCAAATGAATCTTTAAATTAAAGGCCGATTCACACAAAGTGTCATTCAGAACAAATCTGATCACATCAATAATGACAAAAATCTTTATGTTTGCTACCCTATGTTAATTACGTCGTAAATTTTAATTATTTTTTGCTACCTGGAGTACACATTTATTTGGAAAAATAATTTTAAGGGAAGATTGAGTTTAAGAGATTGTTTCAATTTTTGCATGGTTGCCACCTTAAAATGTTCCCCTGAACGACTACTTTGATGCTCGTTAATATGAAAACGAGTATATTCATGAAATAGTGTTTATTTAAAGCAACTTAACATACATATCACAATAATTTTATCTTATCTTGAAAAAATTACTCTAACTTAAAGATGTATTCCATCACTTCTGCCATGTACGGGTTTTCGCCTAACTTATTCACTTCATCTTGGGCTTCTTGTTTCAGTTCTGCCAACACTTTTTTGGTATAGTCGAAACTCCCATATTTTTCTAGCAACGAAACACAGTATTTTTTCACTTCATTGTCTTTGGTTCTTTGCCTTAAAATATCTAAAATTGAGTTAAGTCATTTTCGTCAATATTTGCTAAAAAAGTGTCAAAGGATACGAATAACTTGATTATCATGTGGTTGGCTATGAATTGCGTGAATTATGGGGAAACTAAATTTGCCTTCTGTTAAATCCTCACAATAACTCTTGTGTAACATATACTAGAAAAAAAATATTAAATTCAAATAATTTAACAGTTTGTTGATTACATCTTTAGAATATAGGTTTAGAAAGTCGTCCCGAATTTGGAAAAACAATCCCAAAATCCCCGTAAGTTTAGTATAATCAGCCTTATTTTCACTGAAAAGTTGCATTAATCTAATTGCTAGCATAAAAAGGCCCCCAGTTTCTATAAAATATTTTTTTACATTTTATTTTAATTGGGTAAGAAAAATACTTCTAATCGTCATTTGTTTGTACTCATCTTCTGTAGGACATGTGTAGCTATCTCGCCAATAAATTTCCATGCCTTGACCTCTGTGAAGCTCCAAAACTTGTTGTGTGTACACATTTACAGCCTAAAATATTTGAAATTTCGTAAAATGAAACCTTTCGTGTGATTGAAATCTACTTCAGGATGATTCAGTTCTAAAACTCTTTGCAATGCAATAAAAATTACATAATTGGCAGCGTTTATGGTGCTTGGCACCCCGTAGATCGAGTGAGCAACAGGTACACCTCTTCTCAATATTGAGTTATCTTGGATATCATCTAAACTACAATAAAATCTTATAATCAAGCCTAAAATTAATAAAAACATACAGAAGACTAGCATTATGCATCATTTCAACAATCTCCTCAATCGCTATTAATTTCTCTTCGCAAATATTCAACCAATAATTGAAAGCTCGCGCTAATTTCGACCGGATGTTTTTCCCCGGGGTTTGCATGATGTAAGTGAATGGTTGGAGCAATTTCTGAAAGGAAAATGTGAGAAAAATTATAAATTTCCAAGTGTGACATAACCTCATCTTGGCACTTGTCGTTGTCCCGACTGTACACACAAGGGGCTGTTTTTTTCGAATCTCCCATTGTTGGTGACTATGTAAAAGATAAGTGTTTTTTTTGTGGGAAAGTAAAAATTATGGGTGTTTTTTAAGGTTAAAAAATTTGAAACTACCAACATTTGGTGATTTCGGGATAAAAAACCCTAAAAAGAAAAGGCGGGTCTTGGAATTGATCGGGTTTTTCCATATTTAAATTTAGTTTGTTTTTCTGATTCATTATGAGATATTGTGTTTCGACACGAAAAAATAGAACACTTCTTCCATTTACGTCTTTTATTTTTTATTGAACTGAGTACATTTTTTTGTAAAATATTCAGAAACACATACTTTAAATTTAAAGTCGTGAAAACAATGATTGCAAAGTTGAATTTCTAAGATCTGGTAAATTTAAGTCTTTTAAGTTGTCTGAATACAGTTGAAAACAATCTTGGTACAAAAATCAACAAATGTTTATTAGAAGAGTTAAAATTTAAAAAAATGTTACTTAACTAAAGCGTCTCAACCAATTTTGTACCATCCTTCAAACAATGGTTGATTCTATATAATTTATTTTTCAATTGACATTTTTTTGTTTTTCACTAAATTTAATTGGGATATACCAACTCGAAAATAATAATAAAGATCACTTCAAGGCCGCCAATCATTTATTTCACGAAATAAGTTGCAACTTAGGTGCAAATATGATTATTTTACCTGTAACAAAAATGTGTCTAAACTAGGGCAGTAAATTTATTTAAAAAATAAATATTTTTGTTATTGTTATCAAATATCACAGAATTTACATTCAAGTCAATACACTGTAACAATGCGCAACAATTAACTAATTAAAAAATGGATAACGTACAACCGCTTTTTATTATTCTGTTCTCAAAACTAACTATAAATTGACGGTTGTTCTTTTACTATCGTTTCGAAACGACGTTCGCACCCATCTTTGAGTGTTTTTCGCTTTGTCTCTTTTAAAACTTTCGTCAAATTCGTGAGTTTTCGTTGTCGGTGAAGCAACGTTGTTTGGACTATCGACTCCTAACTTTTCCTCTCGTTTCGACTTCCTCGATCTATAAAACCCTGAAAAAGACATTTTTTACTCGTGATGATTTAGCAGTATAATTCAAATCTTATTTTAAATTCAAATCTCTGAGATGCAGGGTGGTAATGACGGGTATATTTGATGATTAAGCGCCCGACTAAAATCTCTATTAACCGGGATTAAGTCTCTCTGCTACTAATTATTAAAAAATATTTTACCCGAATGGGATTGTCGAAACTCAGTGTTAAGGGAAGAGTCATCTCCTTTGCATTTCTTGTGCAAAATACACTCTTTCCAGCCACAAATCGCTGTCTTAAAATATTGACGAAATCTGAAAATTCAAATGGTTAGAAACTCGTATCTTTTTTCCAATAAAATATTTTAATAGAGTTATACATAAAACTCTGAACTGAATCAAATTTTTACATACCTCGCGTTCATCCAATAATATATCAAAGGATTTACCATCGCGTTTGACATTGCGAACCAGTAAAATGCCAGGTAAACGTGTTGAGTATATTTACTGAATATTATCTCCGTGTCATAGTAAACATACAGGAAATAGCCGTGGTAAGGAAGCCAGCAAATCGCAAAAATAAAAACCACGAATATAAACATTTTCACCACCTAAAAAGATCAAGGAAACAATTTTAGTGTTTTACTGGTTGCATAACCACACATTATGCAACAGCACAGTTGGAGACAAAATACTTTGGTCGTCAATGTCACTCGAGTGACATTAAATTGTAAAGCATGCTTTAGGACTGTTACCTTTATTTTTAGCTACTGTCAATGACAGTTGGCAAGTTGTATGTACATATTTTTGATAGGAAAATATAATAGCTGTCATTAATTTGAAATTGTCATTCATATTAACGTTAAAGCTTGAACTACATTAAAGTGTCAGAAAAGTGACGACCAAAGTATTTTGTCTCCAACTGTATTAATACAGTGACTGATTCAAAATTTTGGATATCAAATTTATGTCAGTTAAAAATGTCAATGTAAGTCACGCTTTATTGTCATTATGATTGACGTTTGAAACTGGAATTTCAGAGTTTTAGTTGAAATTGATTTTTGGCGTCGATTTTCCGAAACAATAATACTAGCAATACATGTTTTTATATAAGTTCAATAAAATATTTTGATTTGTTGTCATTTTTTCTCTAGCTATCAGGTAAAAATTACAAAAATCGAAAATAAGGATAGTTGGTTAAGGCCCGTTTTACATTTTTAGGTCAGTCGAATGACAAATCGTTCAAAATTCCGTGTCCGACAATGTAATTAATTTTAATTAAAATCTTAAAATACAAAATTTTATAATACTGCAGATTTTACAGTTTTACGATATTATATTAAAATACTTATTACACAAGGCATTTATTCCAGCACAAGTTTGAAATTGTGATACGAGCCCGAGTTGAGGAACAAACGATTGCTTGAATGGGCTTTTGTAACGAGTCTTTTATATTATTTTGCGATTTTTATGTTGTTTTGAAAAAAAAAACATTGTTATTTAGGGAATTTTGCGTCAGTTGGTGACACGTAGCTGAGTTATTTATGAAGGCGTTGGAAAATTCAACTCAAACTGACATTTGTAATTGTATATAGACTGAAAATAAGTTTTTCATGTTTACCATAAAAAATTCGTAAAATTGGTAACTTTATTGAAAGCAATTTACTTCTAACGGCATTATCACCGATATTAAGAACATAAAATTCACTAAGCTGTTAAAACGCCCAAACGAGTTCATCACAGAAAAAAATAATGTTTTTCTTATTTTAAAAAATTAACAGCGAAATGTACTTGTTTCGTGTTTCATAATGAACAGCGTTTCCGCCTCCAACATCACTCCTTTAATCAACTTTAAATTAATTTGCAAGTTTCTAATGGTACATTTAAAACAAACATTAAAATGTCTAACTGATGGATTACAAGTTTTTTCATGCCACATAAAGAGCTCTATCTATCCACCAAGCGTAACAAATATCCTGACAAAACTTTTTCCAAGTTCATTGTGAAAATGCAAAGTTTTCTAGAATTTTATTTTATTCAAATTTCACAAAATGAGATTCTGGGGAAATTTTGAATCCACTACTGGTACATACGTAATAGCATAATTCCATTCATTAGAATACACAAACAAGGATCGAGAAGTGTTTTGAGGAAAAGTCTTGAAAACATTATTAAATTTTCATGAGGCCTACCTATCATAACAAATTAATTAAGAAAGTCGTCTTCGGTCGACTTTGCCTCATTAACTTTGATTAAAGTACAATGAAAAGGAATTTTTTATGTAGATTACTTGTCTGTCTAATTGAGAAACCCAAACTCACCTTTCTTTTCGACCGGATCGAGTCGATCTGTCTTTGGGTCATCTCCCCAATCGAGCGCGAGCCCCAAAGCTCCTTCCCCATTATGGTGTAAGAAAAAGACATCAATGTGACGGGAATTACGTAAGTTATTATTAGAAAAAACATCTGGTACCTGAAATAGAGCCAGGAATGTGTTAAATGAAATTCCACCCCAATTACAAACTCGCAACTTTCCGAAATGAACATGAACAGAGTCCGATTTAATTGGAGAAACAAACTTGTGTTTTCTACTTCTCAAATTTTTGCCTTTATTGCACGGCGATAAATTTCATCGAAGACAAAAAACAAATTTGTTTATATTAAAACAAGAAAGCTTCGAATTTGAACTCGGGTATAATTACAACAAAAGTATTTTTCACATTTAAATTTAATAAAAAGTTGAAAACCGTGTCGTGTTTCGTGGCAGTATTGACCAAAAACTCTCAATTTTTCTTAAAGTGTTAAATATCCTGCCAACAGCAGGATCATAAATCAGGACAGGTGATTCCTCAGGCTAGACTTTGACCACAAATTTACAATTTTTTTAAAGTGCTAGATAACTTGCTATCAGCAGGATAATAAATCGTGACAGGTGATCCCTGAGGCTTGAATATCATGATAAACATACATTTATTTCAGTTATAACTTCACCATTTTAATTAAATAAACGCAACAAAGAATTGTCGATGTCTTTCGGGGTTTCACAATTTCCGGTTAAAACTAAGCTTAGTTTACTGGTGATTGTTCAACGATCTGTACAACCTACATCAAAAAGTAAAACGTGCAAAGTTGTCTGATACAAGAAGATATCTTTCAAAGGTTCTATTTATGGTCGACAACTTTCTAATTTCAGAAATCAGCTCGTTAAAACATCAGTTGTGAATGCGGGCTGATTACATCTTTGGTGGGATTATTTGATCAATTGATTGTTCGTAAAATCAGAAGTCGGAATTTCGCACGGTCTGATTAAACATTTCAAGCTTATTTTGATCAAAAAAATAAAATTGTATTATTTGAGTTGCAAATTTGCAACTTTTAAAATTATTATTACAAATTGGGGCGTCGCATAATGCTTCGAATGGCCACAAATTATCGAACATTTTCGAGTATTTTTCAAGCACACTCTATCATCATCAACCATATAATACCCTCCATTGTGCCAGGATTTACATTTTTTTATTTCATACCAACTTTAAAGAGGCACAAAAGACGGTGGTCTGCACAAAAACACTCAAATCGAATTGAAAAGATTGATTTTACTCACGCAAAGTCAAAATGAGAGCCTACGACTTTACCGTCTGGCCAAATAAGAATACAACCTGTTCTTTCTTTCCCTTTATATCTGTAACAACAAAGTATTAATAAGATGGACTCCAAGTAGTTGAAACTTACTTATTTGTGATTGTGGTTGAGTACAACAGACACGGAAAAGCCACTGTCATGCTAGCCAACCAAATAAACGTAATGGTGATAAGTGAGGACCGTTTAGACATTCGTGGTTTAAGCGGATGGACGATTGCTAAATATCTGCAAAATATTTAATTGTGTGTGACTTGGCAGAAATGTGGTTATTACAAGTCTGTGTGGATGGAAACAGTGGTTGCTCAAGTCCAATTACAGTACTAATTAATTAATTAAACAATGCAGAGCCTAGACGAAAATTCAGTTATAATTAACCTATTGTTTGAAATACTTCAAGAAAAGGAATAAGCATCAAGGCAAAAAGGTGTGTTAGTTTATGAGGTCTGACATCTCACTGAATGCCAATGAAGACATATGCATGCTTTGAATTTGAACGAGAGCTTAGCTGTATATAAAATTTAATTGAAGGATGGTAGTGTGTCAGGAATACGGCCGTGTTGAATACGATTAATGAATTCATCTCTAATTAATCTAAATTCAATGAAACTTTTACCGTTTTGTATTTTTTCGTGTGCTGGAGCTTTTAATGACAATGAAAAGTTAATGGTTACATTTGCATGACACGAAACTTTTAATTAATTCTCTGATGTAAATGACTCAACATCAATAATGGTTTTGCTGGAAATAACTGAACGTAGCAGTAAAAGTTAGCGGTTTAGAACAGATTAGAAATGGTGGATGCGCCGGGATAATGTTATTATAATTTACTCAATTACAAATTAACATTTGAATTATTTTCTATGTTTGTAAATTGATGTTAAATGTAACTCGGCTAAATTTAAATTGGTAGATTTATAGCCGTGTAAAATTGGTGGAGGTGTCAGATAACATTAATTAGGTATATTTACACCGATTTCAATACATTATAGCACACAAACATGATTTATTTTAATTTTTATAGTTTAATTATTTTAATTCTTATAAAGATGTGTTTCTAAATAATTGATCAAAATACAACCAATGGAGAAAAAAGCATTAGCTTCATAATGGAAGTGACAAAATAAAGATTAAAAAATAAGTTGAAAGCTCTTTGTGTTTCTGTTTTTAAATTATAAATAAATATCCTACTTTATTGAAAATAAGAATAAAAGAAAATTGTTATCGTGTATGACTGTTTTTCCAGTTTTTTTGTGTTTATAATGTTAGAAAATATTCAAGATAAATAATAATATGAAACCAAACGGTTGTTTTTAATATTTTTTTGCTATAAAAAATATGATTGTGTTCAATTATTTTTTCTACGAAATATGTAAATAGTATATAGTTTAAGTTAAAACATTTTTTTAACAATATTAAAGAAAATTGAGTTTTAAGTCATTGTGTTTGGATTTTTTCAAATTACACACAATTAAAGAGAAAGTAAAGTTTTAACGTCAAATTGTTCCACTTCTTAAAATTTTCTTAATTATGTTAGAAGTTAGCAAAAATGGCATTTAAAAAAAACAATATTACGTTTTTCAAAACTAATATAGATCTTATAAACAATTCAATTTTATTGCGCTAATAATTTTATTAACAAAAAGTAAGTTTTTCCACCTCAATTTTAAAAAAGAAAGTATCAAATTACCTCTCAGCGCGGTAAAAGTTTTACCTCGGGCTGTAACTTCCACCTGTGGGAGCAAAAGATACACTTTCCTACTTTGTAATACTGTAATCATAGTGATAGTTCCACTTCTAAGCTTTTTTTTTTAGTATCGTATATTAACCATTGTGGTTTGTACGTTTTTTTGAAATTTAAGCTATAAATCGAATGGCTTTATTATTAATACTAAAATTGTGTTTTGGAAGTTACATTTTTGATTTCAGAAATGGATGACTGAATGTTGACTATGTGTAACATCACTATTAAGTATTAGACAATTAGCAAAAAAAAAATAATTTTTTCCTTTAAATTGTTGACTGGTATAATGTGTCTTTTTTAGCAATCAGTTTTTACAGTTTTTGAAGAGTATCAAATAAAATAAAACGTTTTTGTAAAATACAATGTAGACAATTATTACAAGTCAATAATTTTTCTTTGAAGTGAGATTTGAAATTTTGTAAAGTATAAAAATTGTGCTTCAATTACTCTAGCTTTAACAGTCATTATTTTTTAAGCAGGAAAAATTGTGGCTGCCACAAATAGTGGTAGCCGTGCAGAAATAATTGCATTTGGTTCAATATTGCACCTTATTAAATGCTATTGTTTCTTATTATCACTGTATTTACTTGCATTTATAAATCTTTAGTTATTTATTAACAATTTATAAAGCAGAAATTAGCGACGCTAGCGCTGAATTTACGTTTTGTGAGCAAACACACTTTTGCAGGTCCTAATCCAATCTCAATTTCCAAACACTTTTCAGTCGAGATTAAGTTATGTTTTATGAAAATGGCGTAGGCGGTACAAAACGACGCACTTTAGCCGACTTTCGAGTTTTGTGTCACAAATGCTTTCTTCCCGATATAACCGAAAAAAACCCTTACATATCAGTAAAGTTTTATTATTACGAGTGGATTTGGCTAGTTCTTTGTGGAAGTATTGCAGACGTTGTCTAAACGTAATATTTTTTGAAGCACGAAAAATAGTAATTAAAAAGTACAAACCTGTCACAGGAAATTCCAGTCAAGGTAAATACGCTGGCTGCTACTGTAGCGTTTGCAATAAAGTTGCTAACAATGCAATAAAGACTCCCAAACGGCCAGTCTCTACAAAATTGTAAAATTGTTAATTAAAAAGCTCAAGTGGGTTCAAAACTGTCCAACATTTTTCCACTCATATATAGAAGCAATTAAGGAAAGAATTTTAATTAAATCTGTCCTTAAAGCAATTTTCTGTGTACACCACAAAAAGCTTATTATTCTTCTCGAACACTGGAAATGAGCGGTTTGGTTTCTAATAATAGCACTCCTTATCTAGATGAAAGTTTGATCTCAGTAGAAAACTCAAAGCTTTTTTCTTTTTATTAATATTTATCGTTGAGAAAAGTGCGAGCTATCCGGTTTTAATCGAGTGAAACTCTAACATGCCATGACAGGATTTGAAAGAGTTTCAATTTCAGGAAATTGAACAAATCGAAGGACGCTTTAGTTATTGCGTTGGATATTTCAGGTGGAGAGCTATCAAAATCATAAAGTGAAATACGTTTTTTTGTCTGTGACACAACCAGAACAAACGAACAAACAGAAGGGTCTCTTACGTAAATATCCCACAGCTGTGTCTTCTATCCAGACTTTTAAAAGTTTTTTAAATGATTTAGCGGAGATTCAATTGCTTTCTAGTGGTGATTACTGAACTTGGTTTCATCGAATCTAATCATTCTTTTATTGGTTTTCTTTGGGAATGCTCTTAAACCTAATTATAACACTCGATTTTCTCCTGCGATGCAAGTAATTTTTTTTTAGTGAAAGCCAAAGTTCGGGGATCATTTATTCAGTGAACGAAACTTTCCTTTTCACACATAGTTAATTATTATCTGGCGACACTCTCACATATCTGTGGAATTTACAGCCACAATAATGTTCAGAATTTACAACCCTTTAGTTTGTTTGCATCCTCGTAATCCATTTATAATTTAGTTGTTCCATTTTTACCTAAAGGTTAATAAAATTAATAAATTGCGTCCAATTTAATTGCTTGAGTACTGGAAAGCGTCTCTAAAAGCCCGTTTAAATCTGATATTTATTGATCCTCGCAAAGAGCGTGAGTGCAAATTGGCTCTTTCATTAGCATCATATTAAGTTTCGTGTCTTAATTAGATAAAAATGTGTTTCCTAAATAAATAAATTACCTTTGAATCATGTAGGAGAAATTAAAAATGCAATTGAAGGTTGTTAGAAGTAAGTCGGCTAAACTTAAATTAACAAGGAAGTAATTAGTGACTGTCCTCATCCTGCGATGAGCTACAAAGTTAGAAAATTAAAAGTGTAATAAAAAATTGTGACCTACCGATGACAATCCAAATAACTATACAATTCCCTCCCGATGCAACTAAAATCATGACCAGGAAAGTAATCGTCCAGAGGATTTTCACCCATATGGGCATGAAAATTTCCCCGGAATCGGCAACAGGAGTTTTGCTTGAAATAGGTACAAGCAACCCGTAATCAAATCCTTGGAAACTTCCGTTAACTTCTTCCTACAATCATGAAATCCGACGGCTTTACGGGTATATAAAACTCATTTAGTTAATTAAATTGAACCGTTTTGAAAAATATTTGAAATTTAATCGCGTGCTAGGGTATCACTTAGGAGAAGCTTGATTTATCGACAAAATAACCCCATTTCGAGTGTATTATTACAGTTAAATCTGATTTAATGTGACGATAAGCTGGGAAAATGGGAGTCTAGCGAACGCAACATCATACTTCGAAGACAGAAATCTCGACGTTAATTTACTGGAATTTACAAGTTTAGGTTTGATTAAATTTGCCTGATTTAGCGGTGTTTACCAAAACAAATGTTTGGTCCAAAATTCTTTTAACGCAGTGCTTTGAAAACCATAGAAATGCCAAATTAAATTGTTTCCTTAAGATAACGATTATTCTTGTCTGTTTTTTGCATTCAAAACCGTTAAGCAATTATTAATTGTAACTGAAGTAAAGCATTTTTCTTTTTATGCAATCATTTTGCTGTTAAAAATTTAATCAAAAATGGGATTTTAATTTTTCTAACAAAAGATTTTAATTTGAAGAAAGTAAGTGTTTTATTGTAGTAAACTGAATTAAATTAGATACTTTTTCTTTTGATTTTTTAATAATGTTGGACGCTATTTACAGATTTCTTTTACAATCAAATAAAAAAACGTTTGTGTTTACTTTTAAACGTCAGTCGCAAGTTGATTAAATAAATATAGATTCGCTTAATTTATTTTTATAAAAATTATTTATTTTTTTGTAATTTTAATATGAATTAAATTGAAACACTCGTTGTAAACTTATTGTAATAACATAAATTAGTAATATGTCCATTTTCAATTATTATTTCAAAGAGTAAAATTAATAAAACTTGATTATTTTGTTGCAAAAACAAGATATGAGATTCTAAAAATGTATTTATGTTTACGTAAAAAAGTAATTTTTTAAATTGGCAAATTCCAGCTTCTATTAGTCAAACTTTTCTATTTTCCGGTCGATTATACTTTTATTGTCATACTTTTAGTTTTAGGACTACTTGCAATAAACTTCAAGTTAGAAAATTTATTAAAATTCCAGTAGCATCCTAATATTTCTTGTTTTCAAATAACAACGTCGTCTACAATAATTTTTCAGCTTTTCAGTCTCAAATATTTTTCCAGAATCTCATTAGAAGCCACTGAAATGTCATTCGAGGAGACTTCACATGAAATAAGCTTCTTAAAAATTTCATACGCATCTAATTACACTCTTACCACTTTCCAGTTTTCCGTTGTACTCATTTCTGACTTTTAAATGAGTATTATTCGACGAAAATTACTCCGCAATTATACTCCACTTGAAGCATTGTAATACACTTAACACCAATTAAACTTGAACCACACGTTCACGTTTAGTAACAAAAATAACTTGAGTCTAAATCAGGATCAACAATTGTTCGCGAATTCTTGTAACTTCTCTTCCAACCTCATCCTTTGGACAAATTATGGCAACTGGCGGGAAATTTACACGACCTGGAGGAGGCGCATGCCTGAAATGGCTCTCATTCACGAAAAAAATAACAATTTTTCATCCACAAGTGTGTTTTTTTCAGAATTTTTTATAATCAAAGGACGGCAATATCGATTTAATACATAAACATGAACTTGAAATATTTTCCTTGACACGTTGATACTAATTGACATAGAATAATCCAGTTAAGTGTCGAGGAAAATGTCTTTGATTTATATTTAGACGCAAGATAAAATAAATGAGTAATTTTGTTAAGGGTTTTTATTTTATTTAGAAAGACAGATGAAAGAAAAATGTAAATGTAGACCATAACAGCTTCAGGAAATTCTATTACGTCTTCAATGTGATTACAACACAATGCAATTTTATTTGAACTGAAAAGGGTGCAGAAGATCCGTACAAAGACCACCTTCTAGTGTCAGAATCATGATTTGCTTCGCAACTTTATAAAATTGACTTTGATTTCATTTTCTCGAGGAAATTTATTTATCCTAAAGTGAGGAAAGGGGAAATTAATATTAAATTAAAAAAGACAACATCTGGGCATTTTTTCACTAAAAAAACAACCGAAATTTATTAGATAGTAACGTTGAAAAGTGAAAAGCGAAGTTTCCAAACTTTCTAGATCAAGATAAATTTAGACAGAGCGTCTAAAACTATAAATTTATTTGTAAATATTTTTGAGACACTTTATCGATTATTGGAATAATCTGGTTTTTGCTTTGAAATTCTATACCCTTGTATAATATTTTTCATAATTTTGAAATATTCTATAATTACAAGACTCGAATCGACTTCAGAGGTAAAACAAATATTTTATTGAAATAAAACAATCCTCGTAATATGGAAATTCTTACTATTGCGTTTAATGCATGCAAACTCTTAGACTTGCATCCATAATTGCTACGGTTATTGTTCTTTGATAATGGTACAAGAGGGCAGTAGTTTCTAGGTCAACTTCCTGAGGCAGTTAGTGGTGTTTGTAAGCAGTTTAATTTAAAAATCATGAATACGATATTTACTAGCAAACATCCCTTTGAAATAATTCATTTTCGACTTTTATTTTAAAATGCATTAAAAAAATGGTGAAAAGAAAGGGTAATGAGAGTGAAATGAGAGTCTTTGGGTATTTTCACTTTTATTGCACATTGTAATAAAATAAAAATTATAATTTAGTAAATAAACTTAAGACACCGGACTTGCAGGTACTTATCGTCCTTTGTGTTCGCATCACTAATTGGGATTTACAGTTTGTGACTGAAAGTGCCCTTCTCAAGATTAATACAATAATAAAGTTGGGCACCCAATTCCAATTAAACTTACCTCAAACTTAACTAACTTACAGTCTTGTCACTAAACCTAGCATAAATAATTTACAGTGTGTGAAAAACTGTTGTCATAACTTTGGTTATTTCTTTGTAACAACCACTGGGAGTGAGCTTAACTTAAAACACTAAAACTTTGCAAACATCAGAGTTTTTCGCCACTCAAACTCATCATGTTGTAATAGGAGTGATCAGGGAAGCGTTCTAATTCGATATAATCGGTTTCCGTCATTAGAAGCTTCTCGAGCAGCTGGACGCATTCTCCAAACGAGGGCCGCTGTTTCGGGTCTTTGTCCCAGCAATAGTACATTATGTTGTAAAGTTCACGGCGGCAGTGCTCCGGTTTGTCCAGTCTGTAGCCATCCCGGACCTGGACAAATCAAACAATAAAAAAACACATAAAAATAAAGAGTTCATTTTTCACGCTTCTAGTAAACATTTATACCCGCAAGGAATCGCTTAATGAGATTTATTGGAACGGATGGGGCAGAAAGCCAAGACGTGATTGACTAAGATAAGGATTTGTTGTGCTCACAGAATTTATCTAGGAAATTTTTTATTTTAATGAGATATTTTTTGTTGTTCGTTTCCAGTCATTTGAAATAAAGCGAAGAAAGGTAAAGTCCAGATAACAAGCAGTTGAGTTTGCAAAAACAAAGTTTCTCAAGGAGAACAAAAGGCTATTTTGACTTATTAGTAAAGTCACTTTTTAGATTTCTTAATTCTGTACCTTAAAGTGAAAACAGCCTAAGCCCAAAATGTTTAATATTTAGAAATAATTCAAAACCAACATTTTCAATTAGAAACCAATGTCACAATTTGACCTAACATTTCAGAGTTCGGGAGCATTTTGTTGAAAGTGAATCTAGTAGATTAATAGAGAGATATTTGTTTTATTTATAGTTGAACAAAAACACGATCGTGTTTCCATACCAAGAAGATCCAAGAAGAAGAATTATTTATAGTTTATAAAACACACTAAAAAGACTTAATAATTTAGCGCCCTAAACATGTAAAGTTTTTTTCAATATGAAAAAAAGCTAAAATAAATGAAGTCTAAGGTATACCTAATTCTTGTTCAATTCATTTAAATTATAATGAAATTTTTTTAACAGTATATTTATTAAGTGGAAAAGTTTTCTTCCGGAAAATCATCATCATTTTGAGTAAGGAAGATTTCTATAATAGTCCTGATATTCCTCTGGTTATCGTATTTTGCTTTATTGATGAGTTTTCGTTCATTTCTAAGTTGAAGGAGTGATTTATGACAAATTTAAAAGTTTTCTTGGTTTTTCCCTGAAATGAAATTAAAAATTTTCTATGTAATTTGTATTTAAATATAATTTTCCTGTCTGTTAATTAAATCTAAAAAATTCATGATTTATAAATAAATTAGCTTTCAAACACAAGAAATAAACGCTACCAAAATTCAAAAACTCTTCTAATTTGTCTTTTATATGTAGGTATTTGTACAAATAAATTCTCTGAGGTTTTGTTTATGATTTTTTTTCCTTTTTGATCAACTATTGTTATTTGACAGCGAGAATAAACAAATAGGGGAGTTTCAATTGTTTTTAATTTTAATTTTATATGTAATTTGATGTGTAATGTTAAAGTTTGTAAAGTATTTTAATGTGAAATTTTCTTGACGTAGGGCTGATGAAAGCCAAATTGGCCGAAACCGGTACCCGATAATAAACAATTTGAAATTGGAAAAAAAAATGATTTTTGGACCATAAATTACCTATTGTTATTCCGGTTGTTAAACATTTTTTGAAAGCTTCACGTAAAAATACAGTACTAATCGATAATAAATTAAAAAAAAATAATTTCAAAACTTTCACTATTTGCATATTAATTTGGAAATGAAAATACTCTCGGCATTGTCTAACAATACTTTTTGGAACAGTGTAAGCGACAAGAAACTACTTTTTGCTATGAAAAACCTGTTTTCCAAAAATCAATAACATTTGCTGGCACTGTTCTATTATATTATTAACGATTTGCATTATTATATTCCAACTCGAATTACTTCATGGTGATTTTGTGTTTTTTGCTTCCACAATATATTTTTTTTACTTAGATACTATTCACCTCTTTTTGGATTAATATTTTGTCGCTCTAACATTACCCTGGACTTATAATACGAGTATTTCAACATCTGTTATTTTGTTAATTAATGCCGATTGCAAGATTTTATGCATTGTTTAAAATAGACAGTGTATTCAATATTCACTTTTAAAACTATTATTATTTATTTCTTGAAAAAATTGGACTTAGGCGTGAAAACAGAGATAATAAACTTTTGCAATTAAGACCTTCTAAAATCGTTAAATAAGTCGAAACTAAGAACCAAGTCACATATTCCTTGCATGAAACATTCATTTGAGATTAATAACGACATTCCATTTCACTTAGATGAGATTAAGTTGCAACTGTTGCGTAAAATCGATAAAGCTTTCAAATAAATATTTTTGTAAACGAGAGACACTATTGAGTAGTGGAAAAGTGAGGTTGTTGGTCCAATACAAAACAATCATTTCACAATTCGTGTGACTAGACGGGGTAATGGAGCGTCGGGAGTGTCGGCGAAGCTTTTACGATAAGCTCGTGAAAAATGTTTAATAAAAAAGCTGTTTAAAGCAATTAGAAATATGTGTCAACGCGTGAATTTTCTTATCTTGTCCATAAAACGTAATGCAAAATTTTACTTTTCGTTTAGTGTATTATTTACCTGCCTTGCAGCTTTAAAACTGGAGCTTACACAAAGTAGATTAGACCAACTTTGAAAGCTCCATGTTTTATGAATAAAAAAATAAAACTGGTTAATTTTTTCGCTTCCAATTAAGTGGAGTAAACAGAAATATTAAATTTGTTCGCCTCGATGCAATTATTATTGAATCGTTCAATCATTTTAACGCGAGGAGACAAAGAAAAATTTGCGTCAATATAAGCCCCAAAGCGTCTTTAAAGACACTCCGATTGTATTACTCAAACAGCATCATTTCCTAAAAGAAACGCGACAATTTCTCATCGAGTAATGTGAGCTTCTGCTCAGAGTTTTGCATTTAAATGCTCGAAAATAGTTTTATACCTTCTTCATGACCTCGGCGGCCGATAGCCCCGGATATGGCGTACTTCCCAGCGTCACCACCTCCCAAATCAGCACCCCGAAGCTCCACACGTCCGACTTGACCGAAAAAATGTTATCGTAAAGTGACTCGGGGGCCATCCAGCGGATCGGGAGTCGCCCCTCGCTCTTTCTTTCGTAAACGTGTGAGACTATAACGTCTCTAGCAAATCCAAAGTCGGCCACTTTGCACGTATGCTCCTCCGTAATGAGGATGTTGCGGGCGGCAAGGTCCCGATGGATTATCTGGAAAGTTGAAGAGTTCATTAAATTTAGTGAAATTTAAACCCAGAGATTGTTTAGTGCAAGGGATGTTTTTGATAGTTTGGCAGGACAGGTAATCGTGTTCTGGAAAGAAATACGTGATAAGATAAGAGTTTCGCTCTCGGGCTACTTTAATTATGCAATAGAAAACAGCTGTGGTGCTGTGGAGGATTTGAATTGGGTCTATTTTAGGAGAGGTAAATTACGAGGTTGGAAAACATAAAGACGACGAGGTCGAGTACGTTAAAAGTTTTGTAGAAAACAAAAAAAAAACATTTTGATTCAACTTATCAGTTTCTTCCAGAACCAATTTTTGCTTAAATCTTTCTTCTAAATTCAATTCTATTTTATTCGAAAATTTCTTTCTCAAAATTTGTTTAAGCTTTGCTTTTAAATTCTGGATATTCTGGAAATCCTCCAGTGTTTTGCAGCTTGATACTTTGAAAAATTCTAAATGTAACAATTTCTTTTTTAGAAACTGTCTCTTGATATTTAAAAATCTTTCTACAAAATTTAATGAAATTAAAAAAAAACTTTCTTAATTTTTTCTATTTTATTATAAATATAGAGTTTTTGGAAACTATTAATTCTTGATAGTTTTTATTCTCACACAATCTTTTTTTTAATTTGATATGTTAAAAGTCAGTCATATTTTTTTTTAATTCCAAATTTGTTTTCATATTTTTTGTACTCTGTTGTTTCTAACTGTCATCTACAGCTCGATACCTGTTTTGAAAAGATTCAAATGATTTTTTTAAATACCAAGTACAATTTCTTTTGTGGCTTATTTGAAGTGTCCAAAATTTTTTTTAGCTGATTTTCAGCATTGCTTGTTATTCAGTCTCTTTAATTGCGCCCTTTGAAACACTATATTTTGAAAGGTTTCTACCTACATTTTTATTTAGTCTAAATTTTTGTTCATTTTGCTTCTCGAAAATGTCTTTGATATAATTGTTTTTGTTTGTTAAAAGTCAATAGTAAATTTTAAATCCTCCATTTAAATTGGTTTTATTTTAGGAAAAGTTAATTAAGAGGTTGAAAAATATAAAAATGACAAGGTCGAGCACGGATCCGTATCCGTTAAAACTTAATAAAAAATCATTAAAACTTTAATGTTTGGAACAGAAAATAATCCTTCTACAAATTTGCGTTAATTTAAATTTAAATCAAAATTTATTTGTGACAAAATAATTGTTAGTTCCATTGAGAACCAATTTCTCTAATAATTTTTATTCTTCTCAATTATCTTTTGAGTGCGTTAAGTCTAACATATTTTTTAATTCAAGAATTTCTTTCTTGATTAAAATTTTTTATGTCTTGATAACTCTGGATATTTTGGAAAGTCCTAACGGTAACAATTTCTATCTTAGAAAATGTCATTTGTGATATTTAGAAACCCTTTCACTAAAATTTATTGTAATTAGAAAATTTCTCTTGTAGATTTTTTTATTTTATCACAATTTTATTACAAATCAAAAATTTTTGTGAACTCTTATTCTCGATTTTATTTGCGCAACTATTTTTTTTGTATATCTACGCTCTCAAAAGTAGCTATTTTACAAACACATTTTGCTCTATAAAATGACTCTTTTTCGAACTGTTTCAGAATAATTCCTAAAGTGTGTCTTTTTCGAACTCTATTTTCCCAAAAAGTATAAGAAAGACAATTTTAGGAAAAAGTCCAAAAAGACTTACTTTAAGGACTAAAATGTGTCCATAAAATAGCTATTTTTAGGAGCACAGTAAAGGAACTTTAACAAAAAAATGTTTGTTGAATTTTAGTTACTCCAGCTATTTCAAACATCAATTTTTCGTTCAAAAAAATAGTATTGTACGTACTTGTAACAAAACTAACTATTATTTAACTTGGTATGTTAAAGTCAGTATTTTTTTTTAACTCGAGAATGTTTCACAGATTTTTTTGACGGCCATCTGTAGCTCGTTATTTTTTAAGTTTTTGTCATTTTTGTGTGGCTTATTTGAAGTCAAATTTTTTTATTTGTTTATCTGAATTGTTTGTTTTTTCAGTCTCCTTAACTGGTCTTTGTAAGACTATTTTGAAAAATTGTTTCTACAGAAGTTTATTTTTTGCAGCTCGAAATCTATAGTTATAATTTTTTAAATTCACAAATATCTTTCATAGAATTCTTTTGTCACTTATTGCAAGTCAATAGCCTTTCTAAAGGTAGTATTTCTAAGTAGTTTTTTTATATTCTCAACTGTCTTTAGAACTCGATATTTTGACTAATCCTGTAACCCAACAAATCTTCAATTTTTTATTTTTCTTATTTTCAAATCAAAATTAAACGAAAGCACTTTTATGACCTAATTTTCTTATTTCGGATGCATAGATGTATATATACCTAAAATTAACTTCGCTTGTGTTAAGGAAAAACTGTCGAAGCAGCAATTTCTCCCCAACGAGAAATAATAGTCAATTACTACTCTAAACGAGAATTCATAGAAGCGTTGGCTTCCTTTATACCCGGCTTACACTCCCCACACGTGCGACCCGAAAACGTCTTCGATTTTATAATCACGCAACATGCCCCCCATACGTACCCCATTAGCGGACAGAAACTCCATTCCCTTGGCGACTTGATATACAAAAGATGTTAGATCCCTCGACGTTAGCGATTTGCTTTGGCCGTGCATGTTGTTGTAATATCTCTCCGCTCGTGAATTTCTCAAATAACTCTGCAATTTGCCTTTACTGATATATTCCATAATCAAAAATATCGGCTCTTTGTCGGTGCAACAGCCCAAAAGTCGCACAACGTTCGGATGAGTTTCCAGCATTTTCATCACGCGAAGCTCGGAAAGCAAATCCGATTTCTCTTTTTCGTTCGCGTTCTCTTTCAGGGTTTTCACTGCTACCACGGAAACGCCCTCTTTTCCTGCATAAAATGCGAAAAAGTGACTTTAACAATGTCGCATTTTTCACTTACCGTCAATATCGGTAGCTTCGCATTTCCAGACTTGTCCGAAAGCTCCTTCGCCCAAAATGTTGAAGAATTTGAGACGGTGTCGGGGAAACTCCCAGTGATCGGAGTCCTTAATCGGGGCAGAAATCTGATGACTGGCCTTAAAACAACAAAATAACACAAAAATTTCAATGAGACTTAAATAAATACCTGTGAACGGTTTACTTCACGTTCCCACAATTCGTACCGATTATTGAAAGCTGTCGGTCCTCTCCATTGTTGCATACCAACAGATGGTTCTTCTGGTAAGACAATTCCACCAGAAGATGGTTTCCTCTACAAAAAAATATTATTATTGTATTTAAATTTTGTGCAAAAGTCTCGCTTACAATATCATCTTTGGAACTTTTGGGTTTCCCTAAATGGATTTTTTTTCTAAAAACTAGAGCAATGATGCCAACCATTAGAAACACAGCACAGACTGAAATAATTGGTACTACTGTAACGGCTAAATCGGGGGGTGATTTCACCGCTTGGTCTAGTGTTTTATTATCGTATTTTATCGTCGTCTCAATTTTCCTCGTTGTTGTTTCTTCTTTTTCATCGATTTCATTTTTGACCGGTTCTATGACCTTGATCGGTCTTAGAAGCGTTGTAACGTTTGGTTTTTGTTGAAAATGTGGTTGTCTTGACGTAGCCGTTGGAGGGTTTTTCGGACGTTGATTAAAATTCGGAATTGTGAGAAATGGGGGTGGTACCAACCCATTCTGTTTACTCCCCGGGAAACTAAGGCTCGAATTCGGATCCGAATCTTTCAAAATGTTGACAAAAACTTCAAATTTGGCCGTAAGTTGGCCATCAGACGCCGTGACATACAACCGGACGTTTTGTCCGGCCTGAAAGATGCATTTGCTTTAGTTTAAATTCTAAAAGGATGCTGAATTGTGTATTACTCTTCCTTGCAAGGACTCGTTTAAATAGACAATTCCTGTGTAAGGATCTATCCGGAATGGCAGTTTCTCAGTTGGTTTTTCGTTCCCTAAAGACTGGAGGGGCTCCAAGCCGTAAATAACGCGCCCACCCTCATTGTCTCTACCGTGCGCTTGGATTATTTTACTTCCCACAGGTTCCGATTCGGGAATTTGCCAGTTCCGGTCTAACCACATGGTGGGAGGGGTGTTGTCGCTGAGCTGGCATTTTACTGAAATTGTCAAGTGATTTTTTAGGGATTTAACACAAAAACAAGAATTATGAATGATCACAATCGAAAGCTAATAAGTGAAAGTTGATGCTTGAACAGGCAGCTTGTGTTGAAATAACTGTGACGTCAATGCATCCCGGATTTACCACAGAAAGTATGCAAAATATGAGGCTTTGATAACGTAAACAATTCGGGGAAGAATTTCAAGTCTTTCATCCAGTAGTGTTATTCTTATTAAAAGACATTTTTGCACAAGTACAAAAATCAAAATTTAAACCAAAAAAATTTCAATGCAAATAAGTAAAAAATCAAAAATTAATTTTTGCAAATCAATTTATTTCTGCCTTGAAATACAAGTTGTAGCAGTCATACATACGAGCAACATAGCGGCGAGTTAAAGAACAAACTATAACTTAAATGGCTTTTTGTAACGAGTTTTTTATACTATGTTTTTGTCTTTTGCGCTTTTTATGCCGTTTAAAAAAAATAATTTAAGGATATTTTGTGCAGTCGGTGACATATTTGTCATTGCATGTAATCTGAAAATGAAACTTCAAGATTTTTTCATGGATGCCACCGGAAAGCGGGAAATCGGTAACAAAATAATATTGAAAACAATTTACTTCCAATGGCATTGTTACCAGCATTAAAAAAAATATACTAGGCTTGTAACGCATACTGAGAAGCTGTTAACACACCTAAACAACTTATTCATGTTTTGCATAAAAATTTAACTCATTTGACACATTTTTTTGAGCTAAATGCCGAAGCTGAAGATTACGTTCTAAATTAACTTAATACATTTTGAAGTTTATTTTTTTTTAACATATTTACAATGCAAAAACTGTTGTAAATTTAAATTTATTTAGTTAATTTAAATTGAAAAAAATTCACTAAACAACAGTCCAGGTGATGCTGGACAAGAGAGTTATAGAAAAATTAATATTTTTAAAAAATATATAAAATTTGTGAAAAAACCAATTTGTGGTAAAGCAATCGAAGAGATTGCAGACATAGACATCCAATATGCTAATTATTCTTTTGCCCCAATAACCTCATGCGACATAACACGTGCCTTTTTATGAAATTAAAATTATTTTGGGCTCTTAAAATTTCTACACAATTAAGTGTAGCGTAAAATGATTGGCGGAAAATAAATACTTTCAGTGGCTCACAAAGTCTATAAAATTTTCTAAAAATAGTGGTTTCGGAGGAACTAAGATTTTAATTTTTATCATAAAACTTCATCATCCTGTGTATTCGTAACGAAGCTTTATAGGACTATCGTTTATTTGATAGTGTTATTTTTCGGTGTAGAATATGTGGTTGAATTTTTATGCAGTACTAAGAAAACCCCTGTATTCCTGTTTTTAAATTTTTTTACAAAAATATAAAAGAGTTATTTATTATACAAGACGATAAACAATCTTTATCGTCGTGTATAATATTTCGTTTTATTTTGTATACCCACCTACCCGAATTTCTTAAATATAAACAGTAGATAAAAATTACTTTATTTTACTAGACGATAAAAAACAATTTTATCTACTGACATTAGTTGATAAAATATAAACAGTAGGTAAATAGTTATTTATTATACAAGACGATAAAATTGAATTTTATCTTTGAGAGCACAGCCGAGACGCTAGTGTGCTCGAAAAGATAATGAAAATTTTATCGTCGTGTACAATATAAAATTTTATTTAATCCTCACTAATTTTGTAGTCAATTTGATCGATATTTATAAATGTCATAGTAAAATTCAACAATGAAATCTAATGTCAAATATCATTAGCAACTAACAACCGCATACAAACATATACATATATAACAATAGATGTATTCTTTATCATCTAGACAATAAAATTTCATTTTAACATGGAGAAAAGAGTAGATAAAATAAATAAAATAAAATAAAATAAAAAAATAAAATAAATTAAATAATAAAATAAAATAAATTTTAACATAGAGGATTGAAAAAAATTACTTCATTTCACTACTGAAATTAGTTGATAAAAGCACTCTTATGTTATGTTATGTAGCAGTGTAACACACTTTTGAGTAATTGTCATCTCCTCGTTTTAGATCATGATTCTTAGCTTTTTTATCGATTGGTTGAACTGTCGAGTGTCGCTTCAAATTTCTTACAGTTGGGCAACCGGCGTCGTCGGTGCAATCCCCGACTTTCTTTCTTTGAGAGAGAGTACGGAAAATGTCAAAACCGCCTTCTTTGCTCATAAATCTCCCCTTTCCTGCAAATTTTCGCAACAACTGATTTCCATCGACACACACAGTCGACGAAAAGAGAAATTGTAGGAAGAGGATGTTTATAGAAAACTAGGTTGACTCATGTCCTTGGAAGTCTCAGTCGTTTGAATTATCCGAATAAAAGGAAGACGTTTTATTGCTCTCCCACCATACAATTTTAATTTGTTCGTGATAAGGTTAACGAAGTAAATGGAAGCCGTGCAAAACGGTTTTCAAAGACTCGCCGCATTTCGTTTTTAATTACGCTCACACAGATTATAACGAAATTGAAAATGAGAAGAGAAGACACTTTAATTCAACTTTAAACATGTGTAATTAGTACAATGACAAATTATACCTAGTCTTCTTAAGAAATCACAGATTAACGAGCCGAAAGTAACGTTGCTTCCATTTAACATTTCATGTGGATATTTGCTACATAACGAGTTTATTATTTTTAAAAAGGCTCATTTTGACTTATGACCCCTAAATCACGATTTTGTGAAAATTTCGCTAAACTCGAGACGAAGTTGCAAACTTAGTTCCCAACTTGGCAAATCTAAATCATTTATTTTCAGGAATTTCACTGTTTTGATCAAGTAATTTGAACCGCAGCTCAAATGTTATAACTTGTAACTTGAGACTTTACACATTTTTGATTGGACTAATTGACTAATTTGAGTACTTAATCCAGAATAGAATATTGATTAGGGCCAATAATAGAGCACCCACATGCAACTGACGGACTGAAATTATTATTGATCTCGTGGATACCCATAAAAATAAGTAGGACGTGTAATTAATTCAATTAGACGGTCTAAATAACCTTAAACTATTACTTGATATTTTTCGCGACATGAAATTTATACCTAATGTTCATACTTGAGGTTCCTGCAGAAGTCGCGTCACAATAATTACATATCAACATCAGAAAATTTACATTTGCTGAAGACTCTCCAGGGAATACAACCGCATGGTTTCGCACACTTGATTTAAAAACATTCGTTTGAAGTTTCCCAAGCATGAAATTTGTTATCGTGTTGGGCTTGAGGCTTGGCTTCATACTTTTTTGAAAAAAATCACAAAATAGAAAATTGAAACCGAATTGCGTTCTTTTATTAGGGAAAATCTTCCAAGACTGGTTTATGGGATTGTTTTGGAAGTGAATATTGATGAAGATAATTGCAGGTAAATATGTCTGTTAATTAATTTCAATGGCGATGCCTTGAAGTATTTACTAATCGTAAGAAATTGGATTATTTTAGAGGTAATTCGTCCTTATTCACAAATTTTGTAAGTGAAATTGTCTATTGGTTTGAAACGAGCATAAATAATCAATGCAAAACACAAAACATAATGAGTATTTGACAAAAGATTCAGACTAGAATATTTTTGTAAAGTTTTTGTTTAGCTACAAATTCCATATTTTATTGATTCAATTTTAAATTATGAAAATTTAAGACATTTATGTGGATATTTATGATTTCATTTTAAATTTGAAATTTTATGCATGGCCATATTTTTGTTTCTTCAATAATGTTTTATTAAAAACGCAAATTGAAAGTCATAACATCGCTTCTGTTCTACATAACTTGTCAATATAATTTAACTAGATACAGAATGTCCCAAAAGTCGAGTACCAGAGAAAAATGCCAATAAAATAAGATACCGGGTGCCTATAAATGATTGTGATTTTTTAACTCAAGTTGTGTCAAAAATTAAAATCTTAGTTTGGCAACCTTGACTTTCAAAATAAAACGTCAAACTTTTATTATACTGCTGATACAGCCGTCACCTCCATTCTGGTTTAAAAAATTGCAAATATATTCTACCCAACAGTGTTGCAAAGAGATTTTTGATTTTTTGTCACAAACAAAATAATTATAAAAAAAACATATACAAGATCATCGGTAACAATAAATAGACATAAAAAAGTTAAATGTCAAAAAATAAATTTTTTGACAGATAAGGTTTTTAAATATTTTTTTCTGCTTTCCGGCATGTAATATATTTTTGTGTTAGCCAGTTATATGAATAAAGTTGAAATGAATAAATAAACCTGATTTGATTCCTTATTTCTGAGTTGGAACATTTCTAATCTAAAATGCAATTTGCGCAATATTTTCAACTCAAATATACAAATAGATGTCTGTTACTATTCTCGAAGAAATACCCACATTGTATTCTGAGAAAAATGTTCAAAATCAACAAAGTTGCAAATACTCATAAACTCTTTTATGAATTAGATTTTTTTAATCAAGTTCCCATAAATTAATTAACATATTAGCCTTGAATCTTTAACAATAATAACGTGGGTTTGTATTACACGAACTGGTTGTGTTTTAAACACAATTAAAATGATATTTTGTGATATTGGTTGTTTTGTGCTTGTCTTAGTTTATAAAATTGCACACGTGTGCGCTATCACACTTATCACCTTTCAAACTAAACATTCTAATTAAAATTTTGGTAAATAAAACATGTTTGAAGGCAATCCAGGATATAACACTCTAAATCAATTTTTCCTTTCTAAAACCCGTCCCCTCCGTTTTTAATTTCCTAATTATTTGCAATTGTTGCTAATGGTCCGATAACAAATGTATTATTTCGTGACGTGAACGAAAACTTTGCTCTTGACCTTTAAATTTAAGCGGAACCAAAACAGTTCCTACTAGATTCATTTTGTTTGGAGGAAAACTGAATATTTACACGAATTCTTATGTAACTGTATTTTGCAACAATAGTTATTGTTTTCACATACGTCCATCTAATTAAGTACAAAATAATATGCCTTTGCGAATTGGCACATTGACGTGTAGTAATCCTTAATTATCCACTAGTCGCTTTGAAGGTCTTCCGAATTTAAATCACTTGTTTTATCAACTTTCTCTCTTACTTTCGTGTCCCAAATACGAAAACTCAAAAATGCGAAAAACCAAAAGATGCGCTTTCTCTTTTACCTTCGACGATCCAGGTGAAAGAAATTAGAACAAAGCAACGATTCCAAAACATTGTTTATCAATTTAGTCACTACACCAGAATAGTCCACATCTTCTGCTTGATCGTGCGTTGAAATCTCCCAAATCACTCACATTTTTCCGTACAGACACTGGGAATCACAGAAACTTTACACGTTCACAAAAATCAACCTTTTTCCTTCATTTTGCGAGGTTTTTAATCGGTTATAGTCGGATGGCGAACTGGAGAATACTGAATGGAGTAGGCCATGTGAGACGGCGAGTACCACGACAGGTATATCTTTAGAAAGTTCGATTCAACATTCAGGTAAAATAAATTAACGGGACTGCGAAGCGCTCGATTCAAATTGGAGACACCTGTTTCAGCAAACTTCCTTACGACTCCAACAAACATTCCAAAAGGAACAATCGAAAGTGATGTTTTTACAAAATAGACAGTTTTACAAATCATGACGCAAGGAAGTTTCTAGTTTCTACTTTGTTACAAGAGTTTTAATTTTTCCATGTTTTATTCATTTTGCGAACACAGTTGAGGAAATCTCACCAAGTTGGCAACCATTCGCATTCTTTTCCCACTCTGTTATTCACCTAATAAGGTTGTAAGTGGGAAGATGACGGGCGTGACGAGTTTTTATATCTTCCATAAGTGTTTGGCAAACTTGTAAACTTTTTTTTCTACGAATTAAGTGCTGTAGGTACCAAAACAAATAATACGTTGTTAATTCTAATCTAGTTAATGTCGCCAACAATAAAAACATAATATATTACTTCATTAAAGCAATAATTTTCAGTTTCAGTAATTACAAAAATTCCAACGGTTAGGCGACCCTTTTTGATGATGTGTATTATGAGTTGCATACTCTCTTGTTTAATTAAAAAAAATATTTTACTCTACTCTTCAATTAAATATTAAATGTAAAACGCTGTTTATTATTTCGAATTTTTATTCATCTTTGCAACAGTATCTAATCACAATCTAATTTCTTTTCCAATTAAGAGTTTTTCCACGATTTTGACCCTGTGCTGCAGCACCTCTCTCTTCTCATTTCCGATATTTTGCGATTCGAGATTTTTTAACAAAAAGTGGTGGAGGAACAGTCTCAGACTCTCCCTAAACATTTTCAGCTTATCAGAGTAGGCGACTTTTTCAAAAACTCCTTTACAAACGTCTAAATCCTCGTGTAATAAAATCCCCAACAAAATCTGTCTTAGAAATCGCAAAGTAACTTTATCCAATTCACTGAACTGGACGACCTGCAATCAAATTATGGCGAATTGTTTTATAAACTGCCTGAAAGAACCTTCAATGTCGATATTGGGAGACCTTTTTCTACAAATAGATGACTCAGGAGCTTGGCTAAGTGTGAGATTTGTTTGGCTGAGTGGTCCTTAAGGGCTTTCAGTTTGTCCCAAATTGAATATTTGATCGTCATCTGAAACCGTTAGTTTTACAAAATTCAGAAAAGAATAGTTTTACCTGAAATTTGCGGTCATACTCGCAGAATTTTTGCGCTAAAGTTGCGTAATACGGATTGTATGTTTTTTCCTGCAAACAACAGTGTAAAATCACGTGGATGATTTCCCGTTCTTGCTGGTTTTTCAACGAGAGACGGAGGAGTTTTTCGAATGCGTCCAAGTAATCCTCTGCTGACATAATAACACAAAAGATATTTTTTCGTGTATCTGTGTTCATTCTCTGTCTTGTTGCTAATTCTAATAGTTTTTGTGAAAACGTGTTTGGGGTTTCTTTAACAGCTTCTGGAGTTTTATTCTCAGAATTGCCGACCCATGCAGAACCCACAACCCACCATTTGCCCTTTTCTTCAGCTGTAAACTTGAGAATTATACTAAATAGTTTTAGCAATTTAAGCAACCTTTTAGTAAGTCTTCCAAAGAAATGTTAAGTTGAGTAACGTAATTGCCCTTTCTTATAAAACCTTTTATAATTTTTTTCAAATGTTCCGAATACGTCGTGTCATAATTTGGGATTTTAGAAACGTTGTTATTTTTTATTGCTAATAAGATATCCAACATGAATTTTACTCTTGAGCTGTGAAAAAAACAATTAAAAAAATGAGCAAATTGACGTAAAACGTACTTATCCTTCAGCTCATCAGACGCATTAGACGCCCGTTTTTGGAGCCTTAAAATGAGATTTTTTAGTGCAATTGGATTATCTTTCCGCAGATTAAAACCGACATTTCTTAGAATATGTAAAATACATTCGACGTGTTTTTCATCGAAATTTTCAGCTAAAGTATCAAGAATTTCATAAATTAATTTAGAATCAAACAATTTAAAATTGTAGAGTTGTGCCAAAATGATAATAACATTGTCAAGTTTTTTATTTTCAACATTTGGGGATTTCAAATGTTCGTCAAATAATTTTACGATTGTTTGCAAAAAGTGAGCCCCGACTTCAGTCCCAACATTCGCGTGTAAAATCGTAATTAGTAGAATGTGTTCCATGAGGAGTCTCTCTGGTGCTAGAATATTTGCAACTAAAGCTTCAGTCACTAAATTTGTGATTGTATTGTTCATGTCATTTCTGCTATTACTCATGTAGAGTTCTTCAATTTGTGTGGTAATGCTGTGCATGTTACTCTCAGCTAATCTATTTATCAAACCTTTGAGTTGTCTTTTCAATCTCTCCATTTTTTGACTCCTTATTTTATCTTCTGGTCCACTTTCTGAGGCCATTCGTGCGGCCGGTGGAACGTAGTTTTGGCCAGTTGTTACAACAGAGCCATCTTTACTCCGCAATCGGCCATAAATATCTTCCCAAGTCCCGTCATTTGTCTCTTGAGGGGTTTCCTCTTCTGAAGTTTCCTCTTCTTCAAAACTTTCCTCACCCCAGTCTGACTCTTCCCCATTTTTTTGGCTTTTCTTCCTATCAATTTCGTCGATTTCCTCAATTTTCCGCTTCTTGGAAACTGGAATTTCTGCAGTATCACTTTCACTAAAATCTTCCTCATCCTCAATTTCATCTTCAGATGAGTTTAAAAGATCGTCGGTTGGATTCTTAGTATTCTCTGTCATTAAAACTAAATCTTCTTCAAACTCATTATTTACTTCCACCAACTGCTGCTCAGCAAGTGCTGTATTTTTCAAATTTTCAGGATCGCAAACTTCCAGCAAATCTATTTATTGTTAAAGTAGCAAGAATAAAAATGGACAAAAAATATGAAAGGATACAGTCTAAGCCGTCCCTACTGAACGAAGCAGGCACCGATTTTGATTTTCTCTTGTTCAGTTTCAATTGTTTTTCCAATCTTCGAATTGTACGGTCTTCCTCCAAATTGGCTTCCACTAATTGTTTATTTCTTTGTTTATTCATGTCTTTCTGCAACTTAATTTGCTGTTTTTTCTCTTTATCTCGCACGTTTTCAGCCTCCATCTACAATGGTATCAAAGAAAATTTTTCGGTGTCAATTGGGTAACCAAATTTATTTACCTTAGTTTTTACTTGATTTTTCAGTTTTCCTTGATTGGATTCTTTCAGTGTTTTTGTGGCGTCTTCACCGTATATTTCTGCAGCCATTTGTGGGTTAATTCGAACAAATTGGCCCGGTTTTTTCCTATTTGTGTAATATTCAAGACGTCGAATTTTTTTTGTTTTTCTTTGCTCTTTTCGAATTTCTTTCCTCGTTTTTGGTTTGTTTGGCGACCTTTTTGCCTTCTTAGCCGACATAATAAAAATTATACGAAAAATTGATCCTAGTCGTGAAAAACACAAAAATATATAAAACGTGGAAAAGCAAGGTTATGATCTTTTTGACAACTGTGACCTTGAAGAAGGGTAAGTTCCACATTTAGGTATTACAAAAAACAAACAAAAATATATAAATATGTAAATTTTGTAAAATTGAAGTACATGGCAAGTTATTATACGGTAATAATATGAAATACACTTTTTTGTAATTAAAAAAATCTAAAATTCAACCAATTATGTAATCCCCTAGTGATATTTTATTTGTATTGTTGGCGGTTTTGATATTGAAACATTACATAGTTTTGGCTAACGTGACACCAGCTTTCTTTGTTGCACTTGGCAACTTTGATAGTGTAAACAGGGACAAGTAGATGTTTGTGTACCCAAAACTTTAAACGAATGTTCTTGTCATCTGTTTTTATAATTAAACGTCAAATTGAGCCAAACAAAAAAGTGATTTCAGTTCGATTTCAAATGAGAATTGTTTTCTTTTTACTGTAAAAATGATTTAAACTTCTGTATGAATTGGTGAAGTCTTCTTTTTTTTAGTATTCTATACGAATAAGGAAAAGTTTGAGAGATCAATACTTGGGCTAGTTGGTAAGTTGTGAAATCTCTCAATTGGGGTCAATTATTTTAGATTTTCTTTTTAAAAGCATTAAAAAATGGGAAACGAAGATATTGGCGAATGTTCACAACAAGGTGACAATTGCGAGTTTGGTAGACCTTTAAAAAAAGCCAAATATGTGTGGCAAGTGAAAGGAAAATACCATCTTAAGGCTAGTTATCAGAATAAATCAGAGTCTTCTGTAGAGGAAGACGAAGAAAAACGTCCTTGTGAATGCGCTCAACATAAAGTTTCAGAAGAGAGAAAATGCATCGATAATTTTCTTGCCAAATCGGAGTCTTTCTTTGACAGTGAAGAAGAAGAGGAAGAAGTCTCCAAAAACATTGACAAATCCATATCAAACGAAATTCCCATAACTTTAGTCTCCCCTTACCCTAAACCCCAAGACTATTTTTTGCGAAAATGGCAAGCTAGACAAATCGCGCGCGGCTACATCGAAAATACGATAAACAGCGTTTTGGAAACTTGGGGCTCTGCCCCTTTCGACGCTGAAGATTTTGTGGAAAACTGTGATGAAGATGGACATATTGAAGATGAAGGGATTTTAGTGGCAATTCAAGCACACGGACTTCAATCTACCAAACCTAAAAAAGAATACTCCCTGCCTGAACTCGCAGAAAACGCTTTTGATAAGATTGACACAGTCAGAAGTCAGATTCTGAGGCATGAATTAGGTCTGGAACCGCCCCCAGAGTGTAACCCTTCAAAAGATTGTGAACCTGAAAACTTGGGTGTTGAGTACAATGTAGTCGATATCCTAAATTCTGCAATTCTAGTTGCCATTGAAAAAAAGGGGCTGTCGTCCAACAGTGACTAATTCGAGCAAAGACTGTTCTTTTCTATTATAAATTTTGTAAGATTTAATTGGTATTACTAGAATTTTATTTCGTCACTTTGTCATCACAAAAATAAAAATACTTTGAAAGTTGCTGTTTTTTATTCAAATAACTAAAATTACACAAAAGAAGTTGTGGGTTTCACCGGAAACGTTCTTTTTTCCTTTTGTTTCTTTTTATAGGAAACTGTATTACCAACTTTGCGGTCCCTTCAAAAAATTATTAAAAATATTAAACTGCTGGCTAAAAACCTACTTCATGTGGACGTAAACACAAAACGCTGTTACAGCAATTGACCCAAATATGACCATGCCAAAAACAAACAATCCGGCAGCTATCTGGACTTTAATCACCGCTTCCACTTGCTCCTCCAGGTGGACTACAAAAATTAACTTGTTTTTATATTTTTCCTACAACTCTAACAGAAAGTAAGTTTTTCTATCCAAATCTGAGAAAAGAAAGTGGCTAATTATTAGGTACCTCCCAGGAAAGTAAAAATTTTACCTTTTTCAATGCTAGGTCGTAGGAAAAATTATATGTATTACACACACACGAAAGTGTCTTTTCCTCTCTTGGCGGTTACTGCCAGTAACTACCACCGGTGGGAGGAAAAGATGCACTTTCTTCTCTTGTAACACAAAAATAACTGTTAAACTCACTTATATTATCCGTGACTGTTATTACAGTCATATTCATAATGTCTGAAGCATTATAAATTTGAACACATCCCACACTTTCCCCCATCCAAGAATGAAATCTGGAATAAAATAAATTGCTGTTTCTCGTTTTGAAATATTTACATTTTACACAAATGTAAAACAATATAAACATTGTGTTTTTTTATCACTTAATATTTGATTTTGGGCCAAGTTTTGTTTAGATTTTACTCTGGTGTTAATTAGTAAATGCCATGTTTGTGAAAGAATATATTTGTAGTGGAGTTTTTATTTAATTTGAGCAAAATTTAGTTCGGTTTTATTGTTATGAAAACACAGGTAAGTAAAATTTTTATTTTTGTCTTTGTAAACGAGCAAGGACCTTGGTTTTAAACTCATTGATATACTAATTGCTCTGTTTTATGTTATTCGAGTCTTAAAATACCTGATTCAAATATTTTTTCAGGTTTTGCACACTTTTTTTCGTTATTATAATTAATTACCTAATGGTAATAACTACCTATCACAAAGACATCTCGAGGTATCTTCTTCAGCAGGAAGGCATTCATATCGATGATCCGAGCATTCTTCTGTGAAATTGCAAGGATCTCCATACGAAAGTCCTATGAATATATTTTTTATCATTAAAGAATAAATATAAAAACGGTAATTGTTTACTTACTTTGACCGAACGAACTAAAAACTTTAATAAAAACAAAAATCACTCTAATTAAATTTTCACATGCCATGTTTATAATGTTTGTGCGAACCGCGACTCACACATGAGAAGGATAATATTAAACTGTATGTGACTATAGAGCTTGATCTATAATTAAAAACATTTGTTTCACGTATTTTCAAAATAAGAATACCTGAAATGCAATTAATAAAACTTCACAAATTTTACTACAAAAAAGTATTTGTAATATTTTACCTAATTTCATAAAAAGTATTTATCTTGAACAAAAATGCAATAAATATTTCAAGTTAAAAATAAAAATGTTCTAGATTTAGTTGTAGATCATTTATCAGATCTGACAGTTTTGCCAAAAAAATACGAAAAATATTACTCATGTCCCTTCCAAAAATCATTTTTTATTCCAAAAATAATAGTCTGGGATCAATTAAGTGTACAAGCGGAAATAAAGCCAGCAACAATTGCCAAACAATTTACCAAACAATTATTTTTAACATAACAATTTTTTTTTTTGCAAATACAACTTTATATGTCATTAACAGCTCATAACAAAGCTTGCCAAGTAATTTTTCAAATTTCGTGATTTATCCATTCAAAACCTGAGTTGTTTTTATTAATATCAAAATTGCATTTGAAAAATAATAACAAGAGGCGAGACTGCCAACTCAAATGGATTATAAATTGTTCTGGATATTTATTAGGACGTTTCCAAAGATTTACAATCGTTAAATTAATCCGATTTTAATGCATTTGGAATAAACCAAGTCATAAAAGATTCAGATTTATGGTAAAACTCGCGTTTTGCAAATCATTATTTCATTCCTGAGACACGTTTTGCGTGAAAATTAAAAATCGCAAAGTAACTATTTGTTTTATTTCATTCTTTTTATAAATAGAAACGACTCGGTGTGGTTCTGCTCGATTTGAAATGACTTCAACACCTACTGGGAGATATACAGTGAAAATTTTAACTGTCTGTTTTATTTAGTTTCAAGCACGAAAATAAGTTTCTTCAGTTAATTGACTCTAGAAAATAAATCAAGGAGAATCGGGAAAAAGGCGAAAATCAAATTATTATTTATTGTAACAAGAGTGGGTTTTATGTTTTAATAAAAATATATTTACAATTTTTTGCAAAAATTCTTTTAATTGTTCTTCAAATATTTTAATGACTTGCAGGATACGCAGTCTATAATAAGTCAAACAGTTATAAATTAGGCGTCTTATCTTGACAAGGCTCACAAAACGGGCAAATAATTCTCTTCAGTGTTCAACGAGTGCGTTTCAATAATGCATGCGAATAAATTGTGAAATCCGATGAAGGTTGAAAAAGTTCAGCGAAAAAATCGCTCAAAGTTTCACGGAAACGCCAAAAAATGTATATTTTGATTCAAGGATGGACGAGCCAGTTCCGTGCCAAATCAAAATCGATAGGCCCATCTACGAACATGATACCAACTCAGGAAAGACTTCTACTGCAGTAAAAGTGACAAAAAGAAATGTGAGTAGAAAAAATTCGAATGTAACACTCGCTCATTAATATAGATTTGAATCTCGATGTTGACACAAATTTGAAGAATTGAAGAATCTTAAAAACAATCCCAGCCCTCGAATGGCTAAGTTACTATACATATTGGCCGATTTTATATCAGGATTCACCGTTGCCATAATGCACATCCCTCAAGGTAATTAAATTAAGTTAATTAAATTGAAATTATAGGAATGGCAATTGCCCTTTTGGGCTACGTCCCTCCTGTTGTGGGCCTTTACATGGCCTTTTTCCCCGTCTTAATTTACTTCTTTTTGAGGACTTTCCATCACAATTCCATGCGTAAAAATCCCAATTTTCCCGTCAAAATTTCATAAATTTTGTTTCAGGAACCTTCCCTGTTGTTTGTTTAATAACCGGAAAGGTAGTTTTAGAACACAGTGATCCGTCGTATTTCATGAAAAGTTTAAAAATCAATACCATGAGCGAAAATCCGGTCATTGAATCGGTCCATCCCGTAGAAGTGGCTGCAACAGTCATTCACTGTAGCCTTGTTTCAGGTAAGCGAAATTCAATGAAAAATGAAAATATTTCAGGAATTTTCAGCTAGCAATTGGGATTTTCTGCGATTGGGAATTGTTAATAATTTGTTTTCGGAGACTTTGGTTAGCGGTTTCACGACGGGAGCCTCTTTTCAAGTGATTGCCTCACAAATCAAGGATTTATTAGGATTAAAAATACCGAAACAGAAGGGACTTTTTGTTTTCACTAATGTAAGCACATCAAGAATCAAACACCTACAAGTTTTCACCAAACGTTTTTGATGAAATTTCTTAAACAAACACGGCGGCTGTTGTTATTTCTTTAGTCACAATATTTATTCTCATTGCACCAACTGCACCAAGTGGGTATGTTGACGAATCAAAAATCCTTTGATTTGACACAATTTCGCAGCCTCCCGGCGCCAACTACGCCCCCAATGTTTTTACTAGCTTCAGTACTACTTGACGGAGTTACTATAACAATAGTTTCGTGGAGTATCACACTGTCAATGGCTTTGATTTTTGCCAGAAAGCTCAATTACGAAGTGGACGCAAATCGGGAACTTTTAGCGTAAGGAGTTGGCAACATATGTTCGGTTCGTGTATGCCGTTCACAGCATCACCACGTTCGGGGGAAAAACCCAAATAGCGTCACTCGTTTCCTGTTTCCTCCTTCTTGTTTTACTTTGGATTGGACCGTTTTTTGAGCCACTACCAAAGGTTCTTTGGGAAAAATTAGAAACGATTTGATTAGTTTTTAAAGTGTTTTAGCGAGTGTAATCTTAGTGGCCCTCAAAGGAATGGTGTGGCAAATTAAACAGTTGGTTAAATTTTGGAAAATGAGCAACATGGATGCCCTTGTCTGGTTGGCCACTTTTCTGACCGTGGTTTTTGTTAGTATTGAAATTGGGCTTTTGACCGGTGTTGTCATGTCTCTAGCGACAATTTTTGTACTTAGTTTGAAGCCCTACACTTGGGTATATTTATGCGCTTTTTGAATAATTAAAAAAATGTTTTTAGAACCAATTTACTAAATGATTCACAAATGTGGTCTCATCAATCATAAAACTTCAATTCGGACGTTTCCAACAGTTCACGATGCCGTGGAATGCGCCACTGAGATATTTACCCTGAGTGCTTCCCCTAATTCTACAATTAGTCGAATGTACATAGTTAAGCTTTAAATTAAATAAATATTTGAAAACCGAAAAATTCGAGTTTTTGTCAATTAAGTGTCAAAAATATGGCTCCTGAATTAAAAATTCCAGAAATGGACGATTCAAACTTACTTTGCATAAGGTGCTCTTTCGAGACTTTTTTTTTGTTTTTATTTTTTTTGCTCATTTTTGTTCTAGATTTGCTTTTAGGGCCCCCCTAAAAGACATTATCAAGTCAGTTGCATTAATTATCGCTCCCTCAAATGCAATTTGAATTGTAGAATTGTAAAAGCCTGTAAACACAGGACTGAATCTGAAAGAAAACCTACTTTCTGGCGAACTGCGCTACGAGAAGTCCGTTACATGTCTGAATAGAAACTACATAGACAAACTATATAGTTCCTACATAAATGTGCTTCTAGGGGTGGGACTTACAGTATTTGCAAAATAATTTAATTAATTTAAATCTAGAAAAAATATTTTTTTTTGTATACGCTCCCGATAACAGCTGTTTTAGGGACTTGATACATAAATAGCTATTTTTGTATACGCTCTCGAAAATAACTGTTTTAGGAACTCATTTGAATTCTTAAAATGGGTTTTTTCCGGACTCAATAAAATAGTATGTAAAATGGTTATTTTAGGTACTTAGTCCTCAAAAACAATTTTTCCGGACGAAAGAGTCAATTTGGTTACTATGGTGGCAATTTTTTTTTTTATTTTTTGGGGCTTTAACAAAAACATGTTATTTGTAACACGTATGTACCTCGTGTACTCGTAAAAATATTTTCGTTTTTGGCATGCACTCGGGATATACCTAACTATACCGATTGATAATCTTATGATTACAGTAAAAAAAAAAACATTTTGATTAAGGTTCTTCTTTATTTATTTCTACAGTTAAAGCTTTTCTAACATTCTAAGTCATCTTTGTAGTTTTGTAAAATTAAGATTTAAGATTTGTTATACAAATGTTGAAGTACAGCAACATAAGAATATGATGATCTCAGGATCTAAAAACTGAAAATTAAAATAGGTACTTAAATAAAAATAGCACTGATATTTACGATGGTTAGAGTTATTAAAGAAAGAGTGATAAAATTCCCAGCTGTAAACATTATAGGCTTTTTGACTCTTTCCATAAAAATAATCAAATCTTTTCTAATTGCCACATCAGATTCATACCAATTGGACATGTAAAAATCTTGTCCGATTTCTTTGCTCTAAATATTTTTTAATTATTAGTGTATAGTTACAATTGTAAATATCCTTACTGTTGTCATAACGTAATGGCCATACCAACAATATATAGCCACTTGTGATAACATACACGTAAAGTATAGTATTAAATACAAAAATTGCATACTAAGAACAGGAGTCTGAAAATAGTTGTTTAAAATTTCAGTCGAAATAATTACTTACTTACAATTATAATTAAGAATCCCGTAAAACAAATGATGATAACACTCGCAAAAAATTGAAAAAAAATCCCTTTGGAAAAAGTTTGTTCCACCGTTTTAATGTAACTGTAAAAATACATTAAACACAATAAAAAGACAGATTGTTTCTTACTTGACGATCTCTTTGTGATGTTTTACGCAATTTTTAAATTGAATCTGAAGTAATTTTGCTTCAAGATTAAAATCGAGATTTCTGAGTTTTCTTTTCAAAATGTCAAACTGAACAGCTGCTATTGTTATTAACTTCCAGGTCAAAATATCAATTGTGGAATTAATAGAAGCAGTAATGGAAACAGCAACCATTTGAAATACACAAGTCTGATAATAATATTTAGTTGTATCATAAGGTAACCATCCTGGTAGTGGCAAAGCCATAGCTTTAGTGTTGTCTAAATACGGAACCAAACCATATGCAATACAAGCCAATGCACAAAAAATCCTAAAGAGTTTTGCAACCGTTTTCGTCGATTCAATTCCCTCTTTTAAGTTCTTCAGCTCGTTTTGTGAAAACCCGTAAAATTTTGGACGTGTTAACAAATCTTCAATATGTAGCAAATTGGTTTTGTAAAACAACAGATTTACCAATTTGCACATATAAGTCAGGTGTGTCATAAAAAAAAGCAACGTTTCTGATAAAACTGTTAAATCGTTTCCTGCGATTATAATCTGCATTACCATTGACAGAAATTGGGCTATTGTTATGAGTGAAGCAATAATCGTTATAACAAGTCTAGAAAATTTAACTTTTTCAGTAACTTGCCTCGGATAATAGCCTGAAAATAAAAAAATCGCTTTTTCAGTACTGAAAACAGTTCTGAAATCATAATCCTAAAATCAGCAAATGTAAAATTAGTTGAATTAATGAATTAAAAATACTTCAATTGTGACTCCCATTACTTCAAAATCTGAAGATAGACTGTATTAAAGATAATTTCTGAAATTATAATTATTCATGGATAGATTTAATTAGTAGTGCCTGACTGATTATTAATTGAATAATAATCAAATATCTCTTGGCCACTTGGTCAAATATTAATGCAGCGAGGGTTGGCTCTTCGACTGCTTATTATTTATTTAAGTGTATAAAATGCTGTAAAAGGTTTATTTTGGATAAATCAAGGATTCAATTTTTTCCTTTAAATGTGTCATTCCTTTTAACCTGTAATCTTGTTTTTTTTTTTCTATTTGCGTAGATATTTTTCCTTTAATATAAATTTTTCAGAATGAATACGTTTTACAGTAAAAGTGAGATTGTATACAGTATATCCCCGGATTGAGTTTACAAGAGGAAAAAAAATATCTTTGATTTTACGCCAAAACTCCAAAGGAAAAACATTTTTTGATTTATCTGAAACGAGCAAATCTGCAAACTTCATTATTCTCATTCAATGAAAAGAAAAGTAATTTTTTGGTTTTGGAATAATTTTTCTCTGCTTTTTAAGTCCTATCACATTAGCGGTTTTATTTTTTTGACAATGATGTCACTTTAACAAATGTTAAAATTAAATAACAAAAATGTTTGTGAAAAACATAATTTTAATAAATAGCAACTCAAAGAAACAGCTTTAAGATAAAAAACAAAGTCATTTTTAACAAGAACTATCATTATTCAATTAGTAAATTAATTGTCAAAGTGACATATAGTTGTCAAATAAATAAAACCGCCAATGTGATAGAACTTAAAAAGCAGAGAATAGTTATTTATTATACAAGACGATAAAATTGACGCTGACGCCGCAAATTGCTCGAAAAGATAATGAAAATTTTATCGTCGTGTACAATATAAAATTTTATTCAATCCTCACTAATTTTGTAGTCAATTTGGTCGATATTTATAAGTGTCAAAGTAAAATTCAACAATGAAATCTAATGTCAAAGATCGTTAGCAACTAACAACCGCAAATATACAACAATGGATGTATTTTTTATCATCTAGACGAAAAAATTTCATTTTAACATGAAGAAAAGAGTAGATAAAATTCAATTTTAACGTAGAGGATTGAATAAAATTTATTCTAAATTCAAAAAAAATGCTTTTCTTTTCACTGAATCAGAATAATGATACAGATTTGCTCGTTTCAGGTGAAGCAAAAAATGCTTTTCCTTTGCAGTTTTGGCGTAAAATCAAAGATAATTTTTTTTTCTCTTGTAAACTCAATCCGGAGGCATACTGTAAATGACTAAAACAAAATTTGAAACAAACTCGCTAATGAAATAGTTATTTATTATGATAAAGAAGTTGTTTGTCTACGAGTGAAAAGGTTAAGTTTACGAGTGACGAAGTCACGACTTTTTTCACGAGTAGATAAACAATGTTTATCGTTGTGTATAATATTTTGTTTTATTTTGTACTCAGCTACCAGAGTTTCTTATGTCAAAGTGGAATATAAACAGTAGATAAAAATTACTTTATTTCACTAGACGATAAAAGACTACTTTATCTACTGAAATTAGTTGATAAAAGCACTCGTTAACATTGAGTACAAAATAAATACAATAAATTTAGTTAGGAATAGAGGACCTATCGTTTGTTTTTATTGTTACAAATTTAAACAGGTGATAAAATATTCATTTTAAGACAAGTTTCCTGCAAAAGTTTATCGAAAAAAACAAAATAGTTAGAGTATTTTTAGTTTAGGACTTATTTCTACATTTGATCCCTGAATTCGTTTAGGTGTAATTTTACCCATAATGGCTTCTGAAATATTATAAAAAAAAACATTAAAAGACCCTTTTTAGGGGGTGTAGCTCTCTCTCTTACATAGTACATATTTTTTAATGTATGGTTTACAGGAAACTTTTGTCTTAAAATTGAATATTGTATCACCTGTTTGAATTGTTACAATAAAAACGGAACAGCCTGTACTGTAAAAAAACAACAAATAAAGTTTGAGAATAATTTTTTTTTGCTTTGTAATAAATCTGTTCATCCGCAAATGTCATAAAAACGACCACAAGTAAAAGTTTTATCTTTCAATCATAAACTAAAAATACCATGACGTTCACCATGATGCATTTACCAATGTTGTCTCTTCCTTACGTTTGCGGATAAAATAGTATAGGTATAAAATCGTTTTCCTAAGACCCACTAAAATTTTTATTACTTTTAAGTTAAATGCGGTTTTGTTAAGAGTAAACCAAAGGGTAAACAAATCATAAATTAGTGGAACCCACCCGGACCCTGAAACAGGTCAGTTTTGAACAGGGCCGGATTACTTACTTTCTTTTTGTGTAAAATACTTGAAATGTTTTAATCGTTTTTGATGTAGTTGTTATTAAAATCAATTATTTTAAGAAATTTAAAAAAGCCAGGTGGTTATTAACAAGCTATTATTAAATAAAGCCGATTTTTTTTTAATAATAGCTTGGTAAAACTATACCACTACTTTAGTTTTAAATACGGCCCTGTTTTATTCTAGTGGGTGCAGCAACACTTGCAAAGGCATGTTGCCATTTATGGAGGGTTACAAATTCAAGCCATTGTTTGGTTAATCCCTTATAATGTGTCATAAAATTTTTAGTAGGTCTTATGAAAACGATTTTACTATACATATATTACTTGAAGTAAAAGTGAGTTAAGTGACTCATCAGGTTTTATAAATGTTAATAGCTTCGCTACATAAGCTGTAACTTTTACTCCTAATAACATAATATACTCCCTATTTTTAATTCTATTTGGGTATTCATTATTGGCATAAAAATGAACTTTTAGTTGGAACTGATTCGCTTAGATACTGTCATTTAAAAAATTATGTTTTCTCTTAGTTTCTAAAAAGAACCTAAAAAATTATAAGAATCAAACTTTGCGTTCTTATCTTATAGATTTCACTGATTAAATAAATAAAAATGTATAGGTACAATTAATTATGTGCATTTCTAATACGAGTATATTTTTTAAGGCATAATCTTGACATTTGTTGCTTTAATTTTTCTGTATTTTTATTATTTGTAGCCCATAATTTATACCGGGTAAACAAAAAGTATGTCTAAGTTATCTTTAGTAGACATATGAATAAGATATACCCTCGCGCGTTATAAAAGAGCATTTCAAAAGTTATTTCCAATTCAAACTTGTATACACAAAACTGACTAAATTTGCTGATTTTTTACATAACAATCATAATATCAAAATAATTTAACTTGTGTTTGAGAATTCCTCATTTAAAAAAATAATACAAACTTTAAGTTTTGCTACATTGAAAATAAGAAAATATTTATTTTCTATTTTGTTCTATTTAAAAAGTACGATATTTTGTCATTTTGTGTTTTATCTCAATCATATCTCATTTTTTACTTATAATATAAATTTAAATGTAAATAATTACCTATATTATTTCTTTAATAAGAGCCGTAAAAACGAAACAAAACAAAACAAAAATAATAAATCAGACTTTATTTTACAAAATGTTCAAAAATAAAACAATTTGATACAATGATATCTACATCTATTACTTTAACTATGCTAAATAGCAATATACATATTTAAATCTGTAACCGGTTCTTCAAAGGAAAATTAAGACTTTTTGTACAAATGTTCCAACACTGCGAAATAAGAGTAAGCCGAACGCAAAATCTGGAATAAATTTGTAATAAAAATACAATAAACAAACATATTTCTTTTTTTACTCGAGTAAATGTTGTCAAAGACAGAACAACAAAGCCTCCAGCGGTTAAAGTAATGGGTCTTTTTGCTCTTTCTAAAAATATTGCAAAATCTTTGCGCATTTCCAAGCTCGAGTCGTACCAATTTGCCAGACCGAAGTACTGTCCGATTTCATCGCTCTGAAAAGTCCAGATTTTATACAGTTTTGACTGTTTTAATTATAATTAACTGTGGTTATAATTTCGTGTCCGTACCAACAATACATTCCAAGTTGTATCATCATACAACAGAAATACATAATTGTATTAGCAAATTGGAATGTAAATACTGGGACCTGAAATTTGGCGGGAAATGGAAATTTATTGTTATTGTTATTTTGGTAATTTACAATAAGCATCATGAAACCAGAAAAACAGATAACAAGAGCACTACAAAGAAACTGTAAAAGAATTCCATGAGAAAATGTTTGTTCAACTTTGGATGCAAATCTGCAAGAACTGTTTAAAAAAAAAAATTAAATTTTTTCAACAGACTTGACGATCTCTTCGTGATGTTGCACACAGTCTTTGAATGCCTGTCGAATTTCATGTGTTTTGTCGTGTCTGTAATAAATGTTTTTTAAATTTTCTTTTAATATATCACACTGAAATGAAGCTATTGTTACTAATAGCCACGACAGAATATCAATAGAAGAATCCATATGACCAACTATCGAAATTCCAACAACTTCAAAAAAATATGTTCCATAATAATATTTGTTAGTCCAATTAAATGGAAACCATCCAGGTGCAGGCAAAGTTTTTGATTTTCCAGGATCAAAATACGGTATCAAGACATAAAGTACCACACACCATACGCAAACAATTCGAAATATTTTTGCAACCAAATTAAATTTTCTGATTTTTTCTTTCATTCCTGTCTTTTCTATTAAATCAGGAGATAGTTTTTTCTGAAATCTGGATGTTTTTAACATGTTTTCAATATCAAGCAACAGATTTCTGCGATACTCCAAGTTAGCCAATTTACACACAAAGGTAAAATGAGTCGTTAAAAAATACAAAATTTCCGAAAGAGCCATCACATTGTTTCGTTTAATTACCGATTCAATTATCATCGAGAAAAGCATACCCAGACAAACAAACCACTGAATCGAGTGACTAAAAAAATAAAAATAGTTTTTTTCATGTTCCGTCAATGGATAAAATGCTGAAATTGTTAAAATTTTCTTTTCTCTTGCGAAAACGTTCTGAAAAGTGTAGTCCTAAAACCAATAAATTACTCGTTTCAAAGCAAATTTTCTCACTTCGGACATAATTTTCGACCGACTTTATCGGAATTTCGAGGAGAAGTAAATTTCTCGTCGCTGGTTTAATACCAAAATCGATTTTTAATTAATGGTCACTATTTGTTAATTAGGTAACTGAATAGAACTCGCGTAATTATTCATTGAAACTAGGGTTGTTTTCAACTAGTTATTTATTAAACTGGCAAAGAGGGTTGGAATGATACTTGGCACTTTTATTACAAAACAATTTACACCAAAGATATAATTTACGTTTTTAAAATAGATTTGTGTGCGCTGTCTGACCAACCCAAGTTGCTTAATACATAATTGAATGAAATGTGATTTTTAAATCGAGATTCCTTTGTTGAAATATCGGTTTATTACTTAGGACTTACTTTATGGAAATTTTTGTGCCTATGTATGTATTATAACAGTCTCAAGCGAAACCAAACTGGACCAAGGTATTTTTGTACTAAATTTTATAATATGTTGCCAACTGACTTTTGTAATTTGTCTACATGTCTTTTTAAGAAGAAACTTAAAGAATTTTTAATTGAAAAGTGTTTATATAATATTGAGGACTATTTTCTCTGTAATTTTAACCTGTAAGTTTTGTATTTTATGTATTATTTGACCTATGTATGACACGTTGTCTTAAACGTCAATAAATCTATCATCTATAAAAGTCGCAATAAACTTCTTGTGGTATAAGAATTATTAAATAATAGATAAAAATGGCTATATAGTATTTAGGTGTAAAAGAATTATGGACTAAAGTTCAACAATATGAAATAAATAAAAATAAGATTTAATTAATAAAAAATGCATTGTTATCATTTTTGGAGTTTTAATGCCTTTTCTTATGCAACCAACAATACACATTTTACCGGCGATTTTTAAAGTGTCCTTAGCTGTCAAGGTCAAATCTGACACGGGGCATATTATTGTCAAAATATACAAAAGTGGGTCGGAAATTCACTTTAGTGATTGTTTCAGAAATAATAAACATAATTCGTTTGATTAATCGATAAAGGAGTCAACCGTGATATTGGCTAGTTGGGTCAAGTTGTGAGATGGATTTACAAATAGCCATTGGTTGATGTCATCTCCCTCTATAGCATTTTTGTTATAGCAGAAGCAAGTAGGAGTGCATGCAAGAGCACTCCTACTTTTTCTTACCTACTGTAAATAGACCGGCGATAATAAAAAATGGTTTTTGAAAGTGTATTAACTCAGGTATTAAACCGCTTTCTTGGTGCCTATGTAGAGAATTTGGATACAAATCAACTAAGAGTGGGAATATGGGGAGGTAAGTCAATATTGTAGTTCTTGATTCGTATTGAGACTCTTTTTAGGCGACGTCGAGTTGAAGGATTTGGTCTTGAAGCAGTCCGCTTTAGACGACTTGGACCTCCCTATTCAGACTATCTATGGTAGAATAGGGAAGCTTGTTTTGAAAATTCCATGGAAGAATTTATATGGGGCTGCTATTGTTATAAACATTGAAGATATCTACCTGCTTGCGGCCCCAAATCAACAAGTTGTCTACAATGAAGAGAAAGAAGATATCAAAAAGTCTGAAGCCAAGAAGAGAGAGATTCTTAAAGTTGAATTAGCTAAAAAACAAGAAGCTGATAAGGGTTTGTTATATGTGTTTATACTGAAAAAAATATTCAATTAATATATTACAGACAAACCTAAACCTGATAATACATTTGTGGAGAAACTAATAACACAAGTCATCAAAAATATCCAATTAAATATCAAAAATATTCATATTCGGTATGAAGACAAGGTTACAAGTCCTGCACCATTTGCGCTAGGTATCACTTTGAGTGATTTACATGTCGTCAGCACTGATGAGAATTGGAAACCTGCTATAACAAAAGAAGATATTACTAAAATTTTTAAAGTATTTCTTTGTCTTTAAAATTTATCAGCTTTCACAATCAGAATTTTGTAGATTGTTACATTGGATGGTTTAGCTGTTTATTGGAATTCAAATACAGCTTGTTATGATAGACTTCCTAAAGTCGATTTGTTACATAAAATGTGTACAGAAATTGCATCAAAAAATAATACACCCATTAACTACACGTATGGTAAGTTTTCATATGTGAAACATTATGACATCACTAGTTAGTCACTTCTGACATAACTAATGTGATAAAATATGAGTCCCTAAGGTCAATTAGAGTAAACAAATTGATAAAAATATTCAGAATAGAGTTCTTTTACCAATTTATTTTTTATTAAAATACTTAATTTAGAGTAATTGAACATTGTCATAATTATAATGGCCGCCCGGAAATGTCACAACACTTCCATTGTTTGATTTTGACGACTCAATGAATAATAAAACTATGTTAGTGTTATTCTAATCTGAAAACAAAAATATATAACGAGGAAATATATTTCAATCGCGATAAAACGAATTTTGTGGTTATTTTTAGAATTTATTGGCATGCTAAAACGGAAATATTGGCCGGCTTTTGTGCGCTTTGGAAAAAGAACGATTCACACAGAGATATTTTTGAGATCAATTCTTCAATACACGTTTTCGGTTCAAAATAAATCAGTTTTATTGAGTTGAAGTAGGTCCTGACATTTGGATTGAAGGTCATCGGCGCCTGTCCTTTGATCTGAAATTATGTCACTACTAATTATATTAATTTTAAATTTTGAATGGTTTTATAAACACAAATTTATCTAAAATATTTCAAACATGTTACGGCCTTGGAGAAGTGTACTTAATTGTTTTGCTAACAAAAAGTATTTATAGAACGTTGTAAATTTGTACATATTAACAGTCACTGCATAAATACATAACGGTCATAAAACATGACATAGCTCCAATGTTATTCATTCTTAAAATCGGGGAAAAATGCAGGAAAGCTTTCCTTGAGAAATGTTTAGTCTGCGGTCCGCTACAATTTTTTTTTTTGCAGTTTTGGGACCAATCAATGCCTCGGCTCGCCTCCGCATCAACCAACGCCCCGAACTCGACAAACCCGCATTTAGCATCCCAAAAATCCACCTAAATCTCGACATGGAGCGACTTTTTGTCGGAATTACCAAAGCGCAATATCGCGATATTATAGCTCTTGGTGATTCTATGGATCGCATGATGAAGGGAATTCCCTACCGCAAATTTCGTCCTAACGTCTCTTCCTATAAAAACCACTATAAAATGTGGTGGCATTTCGCATATAACTGTGTTTTGGAAAGCGAAGTCAGAAGAAAGAGACGCAATTGGGATTGGAACCACATTTGTAAACATCGGGATTTGTGTCGGGAATATGGGATCCTGTACGAGAAAAAATTGCAAAATAATGCTACGAATGATGAATTGAGTCGTATCGAAGAGTGTGAGAAAGTTATCGATGTTTTCAATATTGTTATTATAAGACAGAGGGTTGAGTTTGAGAATGAAAGACGGGTGAAGAGTAAAGGGCCAGATAAGGGTTGGTTTGGGTGGATGTGGGGGAGTAAAACGTCTATAGATATGGATAATCTTCAGTCCGAAAGTGGCATCGAAATCAGTAAAAACAACCGGCTTTTGCTTTTTATCTCGTATATTATTTTTTTATTGCAGGAAAACAGTTCCAAAATGCTATGACCAAAGACGAGAAAGAACGCTTGTATAAAGCCATAGGTTATCAGGAAAATGCTTTACCGTCTGAGTTCCCCGAGGCTTACGTTGATAACTCTTGCACTTTTATTCTACGAACGCTTGAAGTAGAATTAAGTGACGACACAGGAAACGTCACAAGAGTTGTTTTTACTGAACTCAAAGGTGTAAAGTGTCGGGTGGACACTAGAGCTGCGGCTAACGCCTTAAAGTATGTTAAACATTGTCATTTTCGCAAATAATTTTGTTTTTAAAGGGTTCACGTCAAAATCGACGAATTCCAAACTTTTGGCCTCCAACAAGACGACTTTTTGCCAAAAATAATCACCTCAGAAACCGGGAAAGACGACAGCGGGTTACTTCAAGTCCTCTTTGAGACAAACCCTCTTGATAAAAAATGCGGTCAAAGACTCCATGTCACCTCCCAACCTCTTAAAATCATTTACGACGCAGAAACTGTCTTAAAAGCCATTGAAATTTTTAAAGTTCCCTCTTCTTCAGCTCTAGACCAGATATCGGCAGCGGCTGATTCTGGTCTTTCTAATATGAAAGAAATGACTTCTAGTGGCCTCCAGCATGCTATTGACACTCACGTTCATCTCGATCTCAAAGTCGACTTTCGCGCCCCCTATATTATAATCCCTTACGGAGGGAAATATACCGAAAATGAAAATGTCCTAGTTGTTAATTTGGGTAACTTCAAAATGCACTCACTAGATCGGCCACCAAGGAGAGATGTGAGACAGATGTATGCCGAAGGGTGCGATGAGAAGGAAATTCTGAAACAACTCATGGCTCAAAGTTACGATCAATTCGCACTCGAATTGACTCGAGTGCAAATTTTAATCGCTCAAAGTGATGAAGATTGGAAAATTCACGTGAATGAAGTGAAAACCAGCGACATGCACATTTTAGAACCAATTAATTTGAAAGTCAATCTCGCGACTTGCATGATCACTGATGATCCTAAGTTGCCACACATGAAAATTTCAGGGGAATTACCCTCGATCATTGTTAATGTTTCTGATGCTCGATTGTTACTACTTATGGCGTTGGGGAATAGCATTCCTCTACCCAAGAGTGAAGTTTCAGAGCCTACACCTCTAGCAGTAAGTTGCATGATTTTTTATAGGAACAAGATAACAGTCGATATTCCAGAAAGTTGAAAAGCGTGATTCGAGTATGATGTTGAAATATCTGGAAATGCAAGAGAAAGCGTCTAAAACGCGTGATTTACTTCCCTCCAAAGCGAAGAAAAATGATGGTCAGTTGGTCCAGTTTACGACACTAGAGATGCATTTTGCAATGTCTGGTATTCTTAATGCATTCGTTTTAAACTTTTAATAATTTCAATTTTCAAGAATTGTTACTCAATGTGAAGCATCAAACCGATATCTCGTCCTCCATCACAAACATCGCTTGTTTCAGTGTTAAATCACTCGAATTAGGTTTAATTCAACAAACCTATAATACAAAAATCACTCTAGATTTAGGTGGTATCGGTCTAGTGCAAACACTAAATGATACACAAATCAAAATGATAAGTTCGCCGACTTTTGAGGAGGGTGAACAATATCTCTTCCAGATTAAAATCACTCAAGTTAATAAAAATTCACCCGAGTTTCACTCAACTTATAAGTCGTGTGAAACTAGTCTCGTGTTGGAGTTTGCAAAACTGGGAATTATTTTACATAAAGAAGGTTTGTTGGGTTTGATTCAGTTTGCAACGAACTTGCAGACTGAAATTGATGATATATGGGGTAGTAGACCGCTTGAGAGGGTCGGTTCAACTCATACGCCGACTTTTAAGAGCCAATTATCGACAATAAGTGAAGGATTGGGGACACAATTGGTCTCTCAAGGTAAGTTTGTTGTGTTTCAAAGGATCCAATTCATTGATTTTTAATAGAGAGAAAAAAGAAACACAAGGAAACCAATATTGTTGTTGAGACAATTAAGTTTAAATTATCATCGACTCTGCAAGAGGTCAATGTTGAATTTGCGACTGAGTATGAAAGAATTTCATTTTGGGCTCTTAAGGGCGTGCATGCGAATATCATCGTCAAGGAGCCTTATACACAAATCAACGCCAACTTGAATCAAATTGTTGTGGTCGATTTGAATCCGAAAACGATTCATAATTTGGTAAATTACAAAATGTAAGATTCTCAATTTTGACATATTTTTTCAGATTTTGACTGTTGAAGGGACCGAAGCTTTGGCAGCACGAATCGTATTATACAATCACGACAAAATGGCCGAAAGTGAAAAATCTGATATCTCAGTCGACTTGACAATGGGTGGTCTGAGGATAATCTTTCTCAATTGGTTTGTGACTCGAATGTTAGACTTTTTGAACGAATTCCAAATGGCCCAAGCTGCTATAATCGAAGCGTCTCAAGCGGCGGCGAAAAGTGCCAAAGAAAATATGCAAAATGCTTACGAAAAAGCGACGAAATTATCACTTAATATTAATGTCAAAGCTCCCGATATTATAATCCCCGAAAATTCAAAAAGTTACGACGCTGTTTTGCTCGATTTGGGTCACATTTCTATTTCGAATCAATTCTTGACTTTGGATATCAGAAACGAACAGAATTTTTCGGCTGTTATCGACGAAATGAAACTCAGTCTTACTGACATGAAGATGTCACGTATTAAATTGACCACTAGTGACGAAATAGATAAAGAATTGACACTTTTGGTACCTTTGACGTTTAAATTGACCATTAAGAGGAATTTATCGACGTCGTGGTACAAGGCTGTGCCCGATATAGATATTACAGGTCGCATATTTTCCATCACGATTCTCTTAAGCCAGCTTGATTACAAAACACTTATGAGTGTCCTCAATGGTAACTTGAGTGAAGGACAGAAAAAGCTCCCGCCAAAACAACCTCTTAAAGAAACAATTGAAGGAACGAAGAAAGCCTCTGACGATAAAACCTCAATCACGGTTCACGAAAAACTATCGCATTACGAGGGCGAGAAGGAGACAAAAATCAACACTTTCTTGCGATTGACTTTTACTATGGATAATCTCGTGATAACACTATTCACTGGTGGTTCAAAAGCGGTGAGTTTGTCTTAAATATGTGTGGGTTTTGAGTCACATGGTTTGTAGTTGTCTATTGATTCGCCAGCTCATGACGAACGCCACGCCTTGGGCCGCTTCTCATTGGAGGGAATTTCAGTTAAAGTTAGAATGTTGACTGATGGTTCAATGATTGCATCGTTTTTGCTTCTCAATTGTCTACTTGATGATATGAGGTTGGGACGTGAAGGGAAGTTGAATCGGCTTATACAGAGAAGTCATCAATTTGGGGAAGCACAGTCGGTTAGTTCGGTTTCACTTTCTGAAACTGCAGCATCGAAAAGTATGATTGATATTGTTGTCCAAATGAAAGATAAAGATATTTTTACCGATGTGAGGGTCTATAGCTTTACTCTGATTTTATCGATGGATTTTCTTATGAAAATTGCTGACTTTTTGACGGTTCCGCAAGAGGAAGTTAAAGAGCCGCCGAAGTTTAGTAAGAGTAATACTTCAACGAAATCGTCCATTTCTGCGGGAATGACCGAAATGGAAGAAAAAGCATCCCAAATTACCCTAAATTTGAAGATTGAGAAATCTGATATTGTGTTGGTTGAACATATGGACAGTATTGACACACAAGCCATGTTTTTAAATGTAAATAAAATCTTCCTGTTTTTGTTTTCAGTACTAAAAGAATATTTCAGAGCGAAGTAGTAATGAAACTGCGTATGTCTGGTGAGCATCAAGTCATAAACGGTTCGATTAAAGATTTACAATTGTTCACTTGTAATTACAATCAATTGAAAAGAATTGACACCAAAAGTAACGTTTTGCATCCTGTTACGATAAGTCTAGCAGGATCAACGCCTGAAAATAAAGGATTACATCTCGAGGTGTGTATTTTTTATTTAGTAACAAACCTGATTCTGCTTTTAGCTTTTAGTAACCGATATTCAGCTTTGTGTTTCACCTGCCACTATAGAATTGTTGAGTAGAGTAACAGCAACTGCGACTGGAAGTAGTACTGAACGAACAAGTGACGATGAAGAATTACAAGACCATTCTGATGCTTGGGATCACAAAGTTTTTGAGGTTGAAGATTACTGGTTCTTTAGAAATGGTAACTTACAGCCTGAAATCATAACTTTTTTTTTACTCAACATGATTAAAATCATATTTTAAGAAGTCGTCTGTGGTTTAAATGCATTTTTTAAGATAAATATTACATGTTTTTTTTTTAGATGAGGCAGTTGAGGCGACAGAAACTTTGAGCCTTGTATCGACTACGCCTCCCAAACCTCCCAGCAAAACGCAAGAAATGTGCATAATCTCCATGCCTTCCATCATCCTAACAATCGAAGCAGGCGTCGGTAGCAAAACTTTCCCCATGTTAGTCCTTGAAAGCAGTCTGAAAGGCCATGTCAACAACTGGAGTTCGCAAATGAGCGTCGAAGCCAGTTTAACTCTCCAAATGAACTACTATAACAGTCGTCTTGCACTTTGGGAACCTTTAATCGAACCAGTGGAAGTGACCAACAGTAATAAACCAAAGTGGGTTCCTTGGGAACTCAAATTGGAAGTTTCGAAAAACGAACCGGAAGAAGTCACAACACCTACCGATTTCGAATCGTTGGAAGGTGCTCCACAGCAAGCTATGATGTGTATTGATGTATCTTCAGATCATAGTATCGAAATTGTTGTGACTAAGACGTGTCTCGAAGTGTTGAATAATCTAGGCAAGGCTTTTGCCACTGCTATGAAACCGGGAGAGGTGAAAATGCTTGAAACGATGGCTGCGTTTAAAATTGTCAACGAATTGGGGAGTTCCGTTAGTGTGAATTTGAAAAGAGGGTCGTTTGCATTGTTTGGGGGTGAAGAACCGGAGGAAGTTATTTTGGAAAGTGGAGCTGAAGCACAATTACAGAAAAAAACAATGGTACTTAGTTCACCTTCAAGACTTGGTTTACAATTAACAACCGAGGCTCTCACTGTAAAAGATTACTTTGTTAATGTCAAAGTCATTGATAAGAATTGCAACATCGATTTACCCGTAGTTCGGGCAGATAAAAGATTTTTCCCTTTGAATTATAGAGGAGAGGGAAATGATCACTGGGGACTTATTTCGGATGTTGCAGTCGATGAAGGTGTGACTATTATTACGTTACGAAGTATTTTAAAAGTGAGTCGCGCTTTTGAAATTTTCAAATTTGAGTAATTATTTTCAAGGTTTACAATCATTTTAATATTCCAATTGAAGTTTATTACATGACAGTAAGAGGCAATGAGCTTGAATCTATCACAACGATTCAGCCTGATTCACACGTTAATATTCCGTTGAAAGCCGTGTATACACCTACGAATGAATTATTCTTCAGTGTTGATAGTTATTCAGTAACCACAACTCCTTATGTGTGGAAAGACTTGCAAACCAACTTGACAGTCACTAAAACATTACATTGTCAACCTAAAGAAGTCGAACTAAGGAATGAACCATTCATTATCCAAGCTGTTGGTGAAATGGAACAAGTTTATTTCGAAAACACGTCAAAACATACAATGTCAAGTACTTGCTATAATATTCATTTAAGACCAGCTGTAGTTTTCAAAAATTGTCTACCGATTGATATCATTTGTTGTATTGAAAACACGGTTTCTGAAGTACCAGTCGAGCCTGGAAAAACACTTTTGTTACCTAATGTCGAACCTGGGAAATCCGCTTTAGTGATTAGAGTAAGTGTGAAAACTGCCCTTTGACTTCTATTAACTATATTGTTTTGTTAGTTGCCATCTTATTTGGAAAAAGAGTGGTCATCTAGACAAGAACTTCACAGAGATCCGAACGAATTTTCCGTTTGGAACTTCACAAGTTACGATAGTGCCGTCCAAATGACTTTAGCTCTGGGAATGCATGTGGTTATCGATAAAGGTTCAGTCGTTATGGCCCTTTATTGTCCCTTCTGGATGTTAAACAAAACCGGTCTCATGTTGGCATATAGAGTAAGTATTGATTTATATTTTAAATTAAAGAGAATAACATTTGTATTAAAATTCATAGAAATCTAAAAAAAGCGACAAGAGTGATTCGGGAGGAACGCCGAGCAAGGTATTTGCTGGGTGCTTTTTCGCTTTTATTTCATTTTTTTGTCATATTTATGTATTGCGTTTGTTTCGATTGTATATTTATTCGTGTTTTTTAATCAGAATTCTGAAGATTGCCTCAATGTGTTACACCATCCGGCTAATTTCAAAGGTCCAATTTTGTTTTCTTTCAACGCGAAGAATTTCTTCGGTAAGAAGAAAGCGGCCGTGAGGGTCGAGCAAGGGGATTGGTCGGATAAATTTTCGTTAGATGTCGCAGGATCATCGGGGGTGGTCGTTTGCAAATACCAGAATATGCTATATCAGGTTGGTTATCAATAAAAACAGGGGAAAATAAAGAAACAAAATTTTACAGATTGGTGTACAAAATCAATTAACTTATAATGGACTCACTAAACAAGTGACTTTCACACCGTATTATGTCATTATTAATAATGCGTCTTTTACTATTGAATTTCAAGAAAATGATAGGCCAGCCGATCCCTGGATTTGTGTAGAGCCAAAATCGTGTTCGGCTCTCTGGCCTAAAAGCGAATTAGACGATAAGTTGCTGAAATTAAGGGTTAAAGGTACAGAAGAAGTTTCAGCAGCGTTTTTGTATACTGAGAGTCATACTTCGTTACTGAAACTGAAAAATAAGGTATGTATTCTTTTCATTTTGACAGAAAATAATTTGTTTTTCAAATAGTATGGCGGCATCAACGTGGACATTCAAATCTCCGAAGGCGCCATCTACATCAACCTCGCCCCTTATGATGGCCATTCAGCCCCCGCCCTTATCATAAACCACACCATCGACACTATGAACTTTTGGGAAAAAGAATCAGTCCAAATTCGAAAACTTCCCTCCAAACACTGCATGTTGTACACCTGGGAAAACCCCTCTGGTCCTCGCATCCTAGTATGGGAAGGTGCAAATAAAAAAGAGCACAGTAACGACCTCCGTAAAGACGACATGGGTGAATATACGATAAGAGAAGGTTACCACATTTATTGGGTGTCATTCCTGGACGGAATGCAACGAATTTTACTTTTCACTCAGGATCAGTACGTGGCTCAAAATGCCCGAGCCGCGAATTTATTCGAACAGTTTCAACAAGAAATCTTAGTTTCGATACATGGAGTTGGTTTGTCGCTTGTTAATAATGTAACGAGACAAGAATTAATGTATATGGCGATCGCAAGTTCTGGTATAATTTGGGAACATTGCAAAATGACTGGTCGGAGGTTCAAACCGTTTGGGAATAAGCAAAGTTTATTGTTGGAAACGGCCTATCAGAGATTTTTGCTGGATATGCAGGAAGGCCATTCACCGAAAGTCGCGATTGATGCAAAAACTGAAGTTGATTTTAAGATGAATGTCATGACAAAACCGAACAAAAGACGGATAAGGAGGACTTTCCAGACTGGGCTGTGGATCCAAATGAGGACAAGTCCAAGTCAATTGCAAATTCATGCGAAAATAAATCGATTACAACTTGATAATCAAATGTATGACTGCATTTTCCCAGTGGTTTTAGCACCGGTTCCCCTACCAAAAAGTGTGGCTATCGATAGTGGTATGAAGCCGTTCGCTGAGCTCAGTATAGTCCAACTTTTGATGAAAAATACCCAAGTCAAACAATTCAAATATTTCAAACTTTTGATACAGGAGTTTCACATTAAAGTCGATCTAGGATTCGTCAATGCCCTTGTTGATATGTTGCAATCAGCCGAATATTCAGATACAGAGGAACAACAATTGTTTTTGAAAGATATGAGTCTAGTTGACGAACCTCTCTATTCGCACGTTTCGACCCAGTCGTTGCAAGAACAAAAAAGTTTCTACGATTTGCTCCACTTTTCACCACTTAAAATCCATCTCAGTTTTTCAATGGCGGCTGGAAATTCAGCTGGACAAAGCAGTTCGACCCCTAATTTCCTCAATGTGTTACTCCAAGGTCTGGGAGTGACACTTACAGATTTACAAGATGTAGTCTTCCGATTAGCCTATTTTGAACGCGAGTATACTTTCCTGACCCAGAAACAACTGATGAGCGAAGCGACAAGTCACTATGTGGGACAGTCAGTTAAACAACTTTACGTCCTAGTGTTAGGTTTGGACGTTTTGGGAAACCCCTATGGTTTGGTCCGGGGAATCACGCAAGGTGTTGAAGATTTGTTCTACGAACCGTTCCAAGGTGCGATTCAAGGTCCAGGCGAATTCGCTGAAGGTTTGGTACTAGGAGTTCGGAGTTTGTTTGGACATACGGTAGGTGGTGCTGCCGGTGCGGTTTCAAGAATTACAGGAGCTATGGGTAAAGGAATCGCAGCTTTGACGTTTGATGAAGATTATCAAAGGAAGCGGAGAGATCAGATTAACAAAAGACCGGCGACTGTACAAGAGGGGATAGCTCGAAGCGGCAAAGGATTGGTTATGGTGAGTCATGTGCTACATATATGTTGTTTGTGATTGGTTGGTTCATAGGGCGTGGTCGATGGTGTTACTGGTGTCTTTACAAAACCGATCAGTGGTGCCAAGGAGGAAGGAGTTGGGGGATTTTTCAAAGGGTTGGGAAAGGGAGCAATGGGGCTTATCGCACGGCCTACTGCTGGCGTAGTAGATTTCGCAAGTGGGTCACTAGATGCCGTTAAAAGGTGCATACGTCAAATTGAAAACAAAAAATTTTCATATGTTTTTAGGGTGACTGAGGTTGGCGAAGACGCAAACCGATTACGCCCTCCGCGATTTTTACAGGGCGATGGTTTGGTTAGACCGTACAACAAATACGAAGCTCAGGGACATAAATTGTTGACCGATTTAGAAAAAGGCAAATACGCAACGACTGATATTTACGACAGTCATTATGTAATAGTTGAAAATCGCGACATTCTGTTATTGACAGATAAACGTTTGGCTTTTATTTCGCATAATGATATTTTCGGTGGGTGGCAAGTCGAGTGGTCTTACACGTGGCAGGAAATTAGAAATCCACCCAGTGTAGTGCCTAAAGGAGTCGCAATTCCTACTTCTGATAAAAAAAAGAAATTAGGTTTGTTGGGGCATAGTGATAACGGGAAAATTATCTTGATCGGAGACCCACAGAAAAAGGAAGAAATTTGCGCGAAAATTGAGTCGTTGAGAAGTCATACTTAACTAGTTAGTTTTTATTATTTCACTAGTCATATGGACTGCCCCTTGTAAAATCTTTTTTTATTAATCTTTATGCAACGTAATTTTCTGCATGCAACAACTTTTTAATTGTGCTTTATTTCCGCTTTTTGCATTGGTGATGTATTTTTGGGAAAATTAAATAACGTTTTTATCAAAATTTGTTTTATTTAAATAAATATGACTAGATTTTCAGAGTATTAATCACGTTACGTACATATTTGGCTTGCTCCAAGTCACGCGATGTTTGATTTATCCTATACAAGAGAGGACAATCCAATGATATGCACACGTTTTCATCGAAAATACCCGTACAAGAATGACAAATCTGAAACAACATTATTAGATTAATTTTTTTAAATAATGTTTATACCAAATTGACGTTATAGAAACTCTGTTCCCAAATTCGCACTTTCTCATGTAAAACAACAGTCGTAGTTTGTGTATTATTCTGACATTTTTCGCACAAATCATTCTGGGTTTGCTCCCCACAGCTGGCACAATTATTGGAAACGAAATACTGGGAAATTGTGCTTTTTTTAATAGGTGAAGCGTTTCGCAAATACTGGAATTGTTTTCGCGGCATTTGGTTAAACCACCCATTTAAATCAGCTCCGATTAAATTAAAACAACGGTTAATTGGCGGAATTATCACTTTAGTAATGTAGTAAATAGCATTCGGTCGTAAACTCGGATCGTTTAAAAAATCGTGAGGGCTTCGAACCAAACGAATTAGAGGCACGCCAGGGGGACCATGTGCGATGATATAAGGGACGCGTTCACCTCTCCTTGGCTCGCTTCTTCGATCCACGGAAGTCCATTTTCTAGAATATTAATTTATGTTTCAATTAAAAAAATATTGAGTATACCTCGCGAGTTCTAAAGCCGGAACACAAGCGCCAGGGCGATATCCAGATGCACCTCTGTATTCTTTAGCAAAAGTCAAGTCCTGCAGACTCACACGACCTGTCAAAATCTTATCTAATTGTCGCAAGACGTACTTTTTGACCAAACTGACATCTTTCGTTTCGAATAAAAGACGTAAGCATTTTTCCAACATCTGAAATTGAGGTATTTAGCAAAGATTTTTGGATTTTTATTTGATCGGTGATTCAAAATTTGGAAAATAAACACTACTTACTTTTGAAACGGCTGGGCACCCATCTCGTCGCACAGTTTCAATCCCTTTAGCCAAATAAATCGGTTCTGTTTGATCTGGACTTTCGTACATATACCCCACGTATCGTTTCTTAGTCTGAAGTATACAAGGATGGTAAATTTTCTCCAATTTTAGTTTGACAGGATCTGGGTTTGAATTCGTAACAGCGTCTGCAATTTTTTTACCGATTTCGAAGGCGTCTTCTCGACTTTTCCCCGGTACTAGTACAAATAACGAATCAGTGTCACCATAAACGACTCTAGCACCCCATTCTTTTGTGTTTTCAACTAATTCGATAGCCCTCTGTAACGTCTCTCGACCTTTACTTACTACACTATCACCAAGTTCAACAGCGGGCATTCGGCCACTGAAATTCGCGGAAGTGTAACCATAAGTGACGTTCGCAATCAATTTCAGACCTAATTGTCTATTGTGAAGCACTTTCTGTAATAACTTATTGTCTTTATTTCGTTTCATCGAGTTTTTCACCATGAGTCTAGTATCGAGTATCTCTCTCAACATCCTAGGGAGAATCCCATCCCGCACTTGTTTTTTAACAAAAGCAACCCCACATGGCGAAAAATTAATACAATCCTCATTCAACAATTTTTCGACTCGACTTTTCGAAACTTTGAGTTGGTAGGCCCCAAACTCGAACGGCGTATTTTTACCCAAATGAACCACTTTACCCAAACAAGTCGAAAAACAATAATTATAAGCAATTATCATGGAGGGGTACAAACTTTGAAAATCGAGCACTATGACCGGATCAACGTACAATTTAGATTCTGGTTCGAGAATCAAAGGGAGAAACTCGGGAGCTTTCATTTTGGCCCTCTGTTGCACACTTGGAGACACAGGAATGTAATTTAACGGTTTAGCCAACCTTAACATCATTGATTCGACCCGAAATTGCGAGCCACGAGACAAGACTTCGAAAAATTGGATTCCAAAAAGTCGAGCAAGTTCGCTGGTGCGGCCTACTAAGTCTAGTTGTTCCAAAATTTGCAAAACACTATTTGTTCGGAATGTATAGTGGGAAATTGTTCGGTGGCGAAATAGAGGGTTGTGCCACCAAAATGCCAGATTCCTGAAAGAATATAAGGGAATCCTCTGGTGTAGTACGTGATAGACGATATTTTCGAAAGTGTAACTCTGAAGGGCTATTTCATGTCGTAACAACCGCCAAACGTCCAATAAAATTCGACCAGTGATTCTTAAATTGTCTTCATTGCGACTGTGTTTTTCCTTTACTCGTGATAAAGAAGTGACGAGGGAGTGTCCGAGAGCTTGGCCACGATCTAGTAAGTAGCCCCAGGACAACATTTCGATTTCATATCCGACTAAAATATCAGGATCATGTTTTTGGACCAACTTGACAAACTCATTTAACAGTTCTTCTTCAGTTGAAACATTCATTAAATCACAGCGGACTTCACTTAGTTTAAGTCGATCGAGGGTTATAATCCCACAAACATTCCCTCCAGGGCCGTCTTCAACAATTTTATAAAAAATAGCTCTAATGGAATCATACGCCGGATCTGGTTTCAAGTCCCCGCGGGTCTGTATGTGAAGTTCTAGTGACAAGATAGTGATGTATTGAAACTCGTTCAAGGCTTTAGCATTTTGATAATTCTCAGGAGTCATTTTAAAACCATAGGTGTTATTGAGACTGGTTCCAGTAATCTGACAGGAATTATCTTTTTTGGTGATTTTGACGGGTTGTGATTCGATTAATTCATCTGCTGAAAGTGACAAAGTGAGTTCCATGTCACTTTCCTCGAGCCGGTCCGGACTAACAGGAAGTGTGATTTTGATTTTCTCACTCCTGACTTCCGGTTTTGTCACCGTACGATTTTTCAACCAAATTTCAGCATCACAAATACTCGGAGCCGGGTTTAGAGGAGTTATAAGGATTTGGTCGGCACTACAGAATGAGAGTTTTACTTTTTTAACATTTTCGTTTGTGAATTTTATGCTGGGCGGCATTTTCTTCCTTCTATAGGTCTCCAAGCCGGCACATAAACCTTGAAACTCCTCCAAATGAGCCGTTGTTTTGCTCGGAATTTTTAAGACAGAGTGGCCAATTTCGACACTGCTTGTTACATCAGAGACATCGCTGTAAAATGGTGTTTCGTAGACAACTCTAGGTAAACCGAGAGACTCTAAATTTTGAAAAACTTCACTTCTAGTAGGGGGTCTGACTGATGGAGTTATGAGAAAATAATTTGCGTCGGTTTTTGGAGTTGAATTTGATGGGAAAATATCAGATTCTGATGATAATTTCAAGTCGGTGTCGGAATTTTGGGTGAGGACAGTCGAACAGCCTTCTTTTGGCTTGTAATTGGTTTGCAAGTCGTATATTTCTGCTACGGTTAAGTTTTGAGTCTCAACAATACATTCCTTTTCCTTGATTTTTGGTCTATATTCACATTCAACACTGTCTTCACATATTGTAACATTATTTTGAAAATATAATCGACGTTTGGCGTGCTCCAATTCGTCATTGATTTCTAAAAAAAATAAAGTTTTTATTCAGGCGATTCCTTGGGGAATTTCCAGTTTTACACATTGGAAATATTTACTTAGAATATCGATAACGATAAATATTTTTTATTTACCTGAGCTTCTCCCGTTATGTGTCGACACAAAAATTGGCAAACACCCATATTTACTATTTGGATTATTTTTCCTTTCTTTTTCGTCTCCTGATCCGTCCAATTGAGGAATTAGTGTTACATTAAGATCATCATCACTAACACTTTCTAATATATTTTTAAAAGGCGTAGTATCGGCCATTGAAACGCTCAAATCAAGTTCGTTTTCTTCCTCTTCTTCTTCCTTCGGTAACTGCGATAAAATACTATCCGCTTCTTCACTTTCATTATTTCTTCTCCCCAAATCTTGCAAAACTTCAAACAAGTCTCTCGCATCATCATCAAAAGTTGCATTTAGACCCACACTGTCGTTCAGACTTGACCCGGACAAAGAATGATTTTCAACAAAAGACGCATTTTGCACATTTATATTTCGGGGCGTTTCAGCTGGATAAACGCTAAGATTCTGATCAACTGTCTCGTTAGAATCACTCAAAAAACAGAGTTTCTCAAAAAAGGCCCTTTTGAAAATTTCGTGAGATTTCGTAGGCTCCACTTGTGAATTTTCAAGAGTCAAGCAAGGCCCTATTTGCGAGTCTTCTTCTTTATCCCTCAATCTTTGTTTCTCGTCTTCCCATAACGCTGCAATTCCCGGATTTATTCCCATTTTACCATCCATTATTTCCAGTCTGTTGAGGATATTTTCGCACAAAGTGTCTGCTTCAAGTTGGCAGTAGCTTTGTTTAGGGACACTCCCGTGTGAGTTATCTCTGACTTTAAGATCGTTAAGCAAAATCCTACTCATTCCATGCAAATTATAATCAATCATGAATTGCAAAATGTATGGGATGTGTGATTCGTGAGGTTGATACAACCGGCCGAGAATAACTTCGCTTTGTAACATATTACTAACTTTGCGGATTAAATTAGGATTAAACAAATAAATCTTAAAAAATTGATGTTCCCGAGTGTGGTAACCATAAAACGGACTGAAAAATTTAATTACAAATGGTAATAAACATTATTTGGACTCACATTCCTGAAACTGGAGTAATTTTGTAGACGTGTTGGGTCAAAGCTGAGGCTTGACCAAATGATACATTTAAGGCTTTATCAATGTTTGCAGCAATTTGATATTTAAGACTGTTGCAGTCTTCAATGCCATCGTATGGGATGTACAAATAGGGAAAAACGCCATGGATGTGTAAACAAATTTTTTGCCCTAAAACTGTTACTTCAAAGTGTGTTATACATTTATAGACACAAACCTGTCTCAGTAGAACCAAAAATGCGAATTATTGGGACCTGACTTATTGAGGAACCTCTAAAATCGGAATACATGACATCCCAATCCTGAATGGGGGCTGACATGTAATAATCAACGTTAACGATTCGGACAGCGTTTTTAATAGACATTTTATTTAACAAAAATAAATTTTTCACAATAAAATTAAGAACAATACCATAAAAACACAAAAATATACATAAAAAAATAGAACTGAGAGAAGCAAGGTTATATCACATGTTTACGTTCTTGTGGAGTAAGCACAGGGAGTAAGTCACAGAACGACAGGAGTAAGGATCACCGTTGGGATTGGTTGTTTAGTCACGTGACTGTCATTCATACTCCAAATTTAAAAATCCTTCCTTATTTTTTTGCTAATAAATCTCAAAGCCGTTGGTGAATTTATTTTTCGTGTTTTACAGCTTTAAAAAATAAAATTATTACAAAGTACACCTTCTAGAAAATAATAATTAATATAAATTAAAGTACTTTTTTTTCAAGATTTATTTATTCAATCCTAATTTAATCCGTTGTATCAACCTCACGAATCACACATGAATTTGCAATTCATGATTGATTATAATTTGCATAGAATGAGTAGGATTTTGTGATTGTATTTTGAGAACGAAATTTTATTTTGTGACAACTTATGTAAAAAAATTGGATAAAAATTAAATATAAAGTATTACAGATAGTTGTAGTCCTTAGATAATAAAAAATGGTTTTGTAGTGGGTTGCCATTTAAGAAAATAAAAAAAAAATGCAGAACTCAAAAACAAAACAAAAAATTTCAAAACAATTCATTTATTAATAAAACGTCACATTTTTATAGTACTTCATCATTCATCAATTAGTTTTTCCAAAAAATTAATAGTTTAAGCAAAAAATATTTGGTTCCATACTTTGTAGGGATTTTTTCAGCTTCTTTCAAAATTTTTTTGTTAGTTTAATTTTTAGTATATTTAAGAGATTTCCAACAAATATTGTTTTTTGTATACGCTCCTAAAAACAGTTTTAGGGACTCATTTGAGTTCCTAAAATGAGTCTTTTCCGTAAAGCCGTTATTTTAGGTACTTATTCCCCAAAAACAGTTTTTATAAATAATAAAATTGGTTACTATGGTAACGAATTTTTTTAATTAGTAAGAGGTGTGAATTCGTGTTTTGGGAGCTTTAACAAACAAATCTTCTATGCACCACGTACGCAACAGGTTTTAGGTGACTCCTCTCATTAAAGACTCGATTCGTCCCCTAAAACCCTATTTTGCGTAGTTGATACATAAATAGCTATTTTCCAAAACATTGCAAACATTTTATTTTTATAATAATAATAATGTATGTTGCTGTATCCGATTATCTCCCATGAAAATATAACAATTATACAACGAGGATTACTTTATCAAATCTACTACAATTTCCTTAATTACAAGCTAAATGAAGCAAAATATGTATAAACTAGTCTTGGATGGTGAATTTTTGTTTATTTCTATACTTCAAAATTTATTAAATAGTTTCTTTTTGCATCTACCACAAAAAAACCTAATCTTTAAAATTCAATATTGGCTTCTATTATTTTGATAACGATATCATGAAAGAGGTCCTTGTGTGTGAGTTTATACAAATGTAATCTCCTACTCATATAAGATGCGCCAGAACTTGCGTCCCAGAAAAAAATGTCATACGTACGATACCAGGAAAATGGAAAAAATGTTAAACAAATTCTATCTATAAAAATTTCGAAGTTATGAGAGTTTAAAATTTGATCATTGACTCTATTTATTGCTTTTGGAAAAATAATTTTCCAAGTTTTTTTGCTACAGGCTATTAAAAGAGGAAACAAGGAAGTAGGTATCATTAAATAGACATAAAAAAATGTCAAAAGTCAAATTTTTTTTACAGATAGAATTTTTATAGCTATTAATATAACCATAATAATTAAGCGATTTATAATAATCGAGGACGATGCTAGGTGACGAGGGTAGCCGATAGTTTAAACCGCTAATATTCGAGTTATATTTCAAACTTTATCGTATCATGAACTTTTCTTGTTAATGCCGTTGAAAACATTTTAGATTTGCAAGATAATTGGGTGTATAGGAGAAACAATGTGTCAAATTCAGTGTCAAAATTTGAAAGATCAATGGAATGTTTACCATGATTTTGTACCTAGTATAAATAGATAGGTATTTTGAGTTTGTATCTAACGTAAAATGTCTCGTATCGAACGTATTAAAGGATTTTAATAGATGATGATCCGATAAAACATTTTTTCCATGTTCCTGGTATCTTATCTTATTTGAAATTTTTCTCTGGGCGCGAGTTCTAACAAACCCTGTATATTACTAAAAGTGATAGATAAAAGTAAGTCTAAATAATACAGCAGTAATAAGCTAACCCCAATCTCACAGAACAATATAAACATCAAAAATTTTGTAATTTATACAGAGGTGAGTCCAATTTCCTGTAAGTAATAAAATGTTCTTAAGTACTTGTTATCGATTGTATATTTTTAGATTTTGTTTCATCATGCGGATATTATGGTTGGTTACAATTTGCACACTTCTGAGCTTTGCTTCTTGTAAAATTATTTGCAACAACTCCAAAGAAAGTAAATGTAAATGTTTTGGTCGTCGCATACAGTGTCGTACAAAAATTCAGGATGATATTATTATTGATGTTGACAACTTTGTTATTGACATTGAGTGTCCAACTGAATTAAAAAATTTCCACATTAACAAATTTCCAAACGTGACACTTGATAGGAACATTACAGTATTAAATATGCGATATTGTCCGCTACCGCTAAATGATTTCAAAGAAATTTTTGACTGGTTTTCGATACAAAATATGGATACATTTAGATTTTACCACTCAAATTTGAACGGCACGGTCTTAAGAAAAGAATATTTTCAGTCTTTCGACACTTTGAGACATTTAATCCTCACCTATAACGGAATTAAAAATTTAGACAAAAACTTTTTTGCAAATATGACACAACTAAGGCTTCTAGAGCTCCAGAATAATAACATCAACCTGACAAAAAACATATTCAAAAATTTGCAGTATTTAAAATACTTGGATTTGTCCTATAACAACTTACAATATGTACCTTATGGAGTATTTCAAGCTGTAAGAACGTTGACAAATTTGCATTTGAGGGGCAACCAGCTGACCAAAATCGACGATTTTATTTTCGCCGGACTTTTAAACTTACGATTGCTAGAACTAGGCTTTAACAAAATAGAAACGATAACCGAAAATGCATTTGCCACTCTTAAAGATTTGACACAAATTAATCTCTCATCCAATTCTCTTACAACACTACCTAGGAGACTGTTTCAAAGAAATAAAAATCTAACCAAAGTGTATTTGAAGAAGTGTAATTTAAGTGAGATCCCGGAAAATCTTTTCGAGAATACCACAACATTGCAAGATCTTATGTTGGGAAAAAATAATCTAGAACAAATATCAGAGACATTATTTAAAGGACTGGTGAGTCTGGAGACGATTTTTTTGTATGACAACAAAATAAAATCAATCTCACATTTGTTTAAAGGACTTGAACAAATTACATTGTTGTATCTACAAGATAATTTAATTGAGGAATTATCAAGTGAAACTTTTGCCGACTTGATCAATTTGAAAGAAATTAACTTAAAGGGAAATAGAATTAAACAAATTCACTCCCTTGTTTTTTCAAAGAATCACAAATTAAAAAGTGTTATTTTGTCCCATAATGAGATAGAAGATAATTTTGAAACCGTCATAACTTCAACACAAACAAACAGTTTGATTAACTGGAATTTGAATCACAACCGAATACAGCAAATAAAGGTAAATTTTTATTTGTGTTTACATAACTTCTACTTTTAAATTTCAGCTAGAAAACTTGCAAAACGTATCTATAAGACTCGATTACAACAATATCACAGTTGTTGACCTAAAAGACATAAAAGTAAATACTACCCTAAAAATATCTTTTAATGAGAATCCAATTATTTGTAATTGCCGTAATTACAATCTGCTAAATCATCTCAAAAATCAATCAAAAAGTAATTTGACAATAACTGCCAAAAATGTTACATGTTTTGGTTCTCAAGAAGTAAAAAAGACTTTTGAAAATCTTGAATTATCGAGTCTTGTCTGTTCTCTGGAAGAAATTTCAAAAAATTTTACCGAGTGTCCTAAAAATTGTTCATGCATTTGGAGACCTTTTGACAATTCTGTAGTGATTAACTGTTCAAATAAATCACTCGCGGAGTACCCACAAATTGACTTAACTCAGTTCAAGAATTTTAATTATAGCGAAATTGAACTACACCTTGAAAATAACGAATTGGAAACAGGCCCCATGAACCACTTTAGTTATGTCAATATCACAAAATTGTTTCTTTCAAACAATAAAATTAAGACAATTAATTGGGTACCACCAAGGCTCAAGGTAAAACATTTTTTTTTTCGATTAAAGTTTAATAATTTAACTTGAAGTCACTACATTTGGACCAAAACCACATCAGTAAAATTCCTCCTAAAGTCATTGAGATTTTAAACAGAACAGATTTAGTAAATTTAACCTTAAATAACAATCCTTGGTTGTGTGATTGTAATGCTGAAATTTTGGCCCAATTTTTGCGCACAGTTCCGGTAAGTTTTCGCTATTTCCAAGTTTTAATAATAAATATAACATTTCTAGGCGCTTTCTACTAACATTTATTGCGCTAACACAACCCTTCGCTTCATTGATATGAAAAGAGAAGATTTTTGCAAAAGCCAAACTTTCCTCTATTTGACAACAGTTATCATCTCACTCCTTCTCATTTCAGCCCTTTTCGCCATTTTCTACTACCGGTACAAACAAATGATCAAAATCTGGCTGTTGTCCCACAACTTATCTTGGCTCAGTGAGGAAAACCTTGACAAAGACAAAATCTACGACGTTTTTATCAGTTACTCACACAAAGACGAAGTTTTTGTTCGAGATCTCATATCATTCCTCGAAAACGATCCTGACTCTTTCAAAGTTTGTGTACAATATCGAGATTGGATTCTTGGAGAAGATATCACGACCCAAATCACCAATTCGGTATTAAAATCACGCAGAACTCTGATGGTACTTTCAAAGAATTTTCTGGAAAGTAAATGGGGTAAAATGGCGTTTAGGACTGCACATACGCAAGCTCTGAGTGACGGGATAAATCGAGTTGTGATACTTTGGTATGAAGATGTTGAAGTTGAGAAGTTAGATGATGAGGAATTGAAGGTGTATTTGAAGACTAGAACTTATGTTAAGTGGGAAGATAAGCACTCTAGGAAAAACTTGAGAAATGCGTTGCGACGGACTAGAAACTGGAGGCAAAAAACAGAAGTCCTAGAAGATGAAGATATGTTAATACAGCCCCTTTAAACATTTTTTCTTTTTTGTATTTATGCATCTAAGTATTATTTTTTTTTACTTTTGTAATAATTTGATTTGTCGAATACATTTTTGTACGATGTGAGCAAAGATCTAGAAAGTACTTTTCAGATGTAGTTGTCATTAAGACTAGTGGTAGTAGTAGTGTTTTTGCCACGTTTGGTGGCAAATTTAATTATAAGTAGTTTAATTTTTTGTGCCGTTGCAAAATTATGTAAAAATGGCGCACATGACTAAGAAAAGGCATGTACGACAACTAAAAATTAAAGGGAACAGTAAAACCAACACTAAAGAGACTAATAAGCCCGATAAATCATCAGCATGGCGTGTAATTGCTCCCTTTGTAACAGTACCAATAAAGAAAACTCACAAAGAAGTAGAAGATGAGCAGTTTAGTTTCTACTTGAAGAAAAAGCCGGCTGTTCTTCTTCAAGACTTGTCAACTTTTATGTCAGACAGTGTCGACTTGCCATCATTGTTCCACGAGACTGCTGATGTTTTACAAAAGGTTACTAAAGCTTCGTGGGTTACTCTATATCTGGTCGACAGGGCCACGAACGAAATCTATGTTAGTCACCCAAATATGGCCAGAGAAAGGCATAAAGTCAAATGGAAAATAGACGAACAAGTCACTGTTGCTACTTACGTGGCAAAGAAAATGGAGTATGTTGTTGTAGAGGATGTCCTTCTTGACATCCGATTTCCAGAAGGAATTGGTTATGACGGTAAAAATTTGCCCATTTTGTTACCAAATTATCAGTAAAATCCCACAGCAAGTACAATCCCGAAATCCGTGATGTGCATCCCGATTGTGACCCCCGACGGAGACTGTTTTGCCGTGATTGAATTTGTTAGAGAGTACCACATGAAGAGTTTCGTCGAAGACGACCTCAAAATCTGTGTTATGGTCACAGCGTGGATGGGTGTGGCCATCCATCAAAACCAAGAACGTCTAGCTTTGAAACGGCAACAAGAACTCAACGACTACCTCCTCGACCTTGTCAAGTGTTATTTTGAGGACCACGTCCTTATGGAGAAACTAATGAGCGAGGTTGTTAAATTCGCAAAAATCACTCTAGGTGCCGAAAGAGGATCTTTCTTCATCATTGATAAAGACAGTGACGAAATGATTGCCCATTTATTCGACGAAGGAGGACAAACTGAAGGTGCGGGACGAAAAGTCCGTTTTTCGAAAGAAAGAGGAATTGCCGGTTTAGTAGCTCGAACTGGACAAACGGTCAACATTAAAGACGCTTACAATGACAGTAGATTCAACAAAGAGATTGACCAAAAAACTGGTTTCATAACCAGATCAATACTTTGTATGCCGATTTTGGGAAAAAATGGAGTCTTGGGAGTTGTGCAAGTTGTTAATAAGAAACGCGGAGGTTGTTTTTCGAGCAACGATGAGAATCTTTTCAAGACGTTTTCTTTGTATTGTTCCATGGCGGTGCATTACACGAATATACATTCCGAAATCAAGAAACAAACATATTTAAACAAAATTAATTTGAAAGTTGTCAAGTTGCAACAAGTGCCGTGTATCCACGACATGACAAATTTCATCAATAGGTCCTACGTGAACATTCCGGTAGAATTCGATAACTTCCATTGGAGCATTAATAATTCGGATGAACTCATGTTTTTGCCCCAATATACGTTGTATATAATGACCCAATTGATCAGCATTTCTGAAATTAATCTTAACGTAATGAAAAAATTTATTTTGACAGTTCGCAAATTTTACAGAGACTTGCCTTACCACAACTTCGAACATGCCTTTAGTGTGTGCCATTGTATGTATCTTGTTTTAAAACGAAATTTAGAACAATTCAGTAAATTGGAAGTCAAAGCTTTACTCATTGCTTCTCTCTGTCACGACATAGACCATCCCGGTTTCACAAATAATTTTCTCCAAATCATCAAAGACGACATTACCATACTTTACGAAGCTCCAGCTTTGGAAAACCACCACTGGGAAGTAACAAAAATGGTCCTAAACGATCACGACATTTTCCCGAAGATGACTGGACAAGAGCGAGAGTTGTTTCATAGCGAAATCCAAAAGGCGATTCTCGCCACCGACCTGTCCACTTTTTTTCAAACAAGAGTTACTCTCGCAAAATTATACAACTCGAAAATGTTCAATCGGCACAATCCGATCCACAGGATGAACATGAAAGCGATAATAATGAATGCTTGCGATTTTTCGGGCATGGCGAAGCCGTTTTTGGCCGCGAAAAGAGTAGTTGATCAACTTTATCGTATGATAATAGCAAAGAATTGCATTTGGGTTAAACAAAATTTTCAGGCGAGTTCTACAAACAAGGAGATTTAGAAAAGGAGTTGGGCCAATGTCCATTGTCGGTGATGGATAGAGAGAAGGAAAATTGCATTCCAGAAGATCAGATACGATTTTTGAAGGTTGTAGTCATACCCTGCGTGGAAATTATTAGAGTGATTCTGCCAAATTGCCGGGAGCTTTACATTGGGGCTTTGTAAGTAAGTCCGATCGTAGAGTATTTTACCATTTTATTTTTTCAGGAGGTTACGCCAAACCTGGGAGGACATTGTGAAAAACACAGGACGCAAAATTTGGCGGCAAGACGATTCCATTGTTAATCCTACTTATGTTTATTAAATAATGAAAAATTATAGTTTCTTCTTTCACAAATCGCCATATCATCCTTCAATTATTTTTAAAATTATACATTGACGTTTGTCACGTATTTTTTTTTTTCTCCTCAAGTTTCCATAAAAATGCCCAAGCTTCAGACTAAAGTGGCAAAAAAAATAATCTCAGGCCATGTCACTGAGTATAGCAATAAGCCCCAGATCGTAGCCGCTAATTTACCAATTAGTGACAGAGCTACAAAGAGAGTCATTGCTCCATTTGTCCGAATTATCCGAAAGGGGCAAAAACCACACGAAGCTGAAGAAAGCAAGCATTTTAGTTTTTTCCTTCAGAGGAAGCCGAGTGTCTTAATCCGCGACTTATCTTCCTTTTTATCCGATAGTGTCGATTTGCCATCTTTACTTCACGAAACTGCAGACGTCTTGAAAAGTATAACGAAAGCAGCAGGAGTTACTTTATACATGATGGATCCTGCAACTAATGAAATTTACCAAAGTAAGAAAACCTCGCAGCGAGACCGCTATAAAATTAGGTGGAAAATCCAAGAAGGAACAACCACGGCCGCTTATGTCGCTTACAAAAAGAATTACGTTTTGATTGATGACATTATTGAAGATGACCGGTTTCCTGAAGGAATAGGATACGAAAGTACCACGTTCCCAATTAATTTAACAAAATAAACATATTTTTTTTTTAGCTGAGACTATCAAATCGGTTCTTTGTGTTCCTGTTGTCACCCCTGACGGAGAATGTTTCGCCGTTATTGAACTCTATCGCCAATTATTTGACGAGCCATTTTCAAAAGACGATCTCAAACTCACTCTCATTGTCACAGGGTGGATGGGGGCTGCCATCCACCAAAACTCACGGCGACTTGCTCTCCAACGCCAACAGGAACTTAACGACTACCTCCTCGACTTGACTAAATGCTTTTTCGGCGAGTCGGTCGTTATGGAAAAAATGCTATCAGAAACAGTCGTAAGTATCACAGTGGTCGTACTCACAAATACTTGACGACAATTTGTAGAATTTTGCAAAAGTGACTCTAAACGCGGAAAAAGGCACAATTTTTATAATCGATCGGGAAAGTGGAGATGACCTCGTCGCCGATATGTACGATGATAGTGGAGACGGAAAAGAATTTAAAAAATCGCAAAAAGTGCGTTTTTCGAAAGAACGCGGAATTGCAAGTCTTGTTGCTCGATCAGGGATAACAGTTAACGTCAAGGATGCGTATAAAGACGTACGTTTCAATAAAGAAATCGACCAGAAAACTGGGTTCATTACAAGATCGATCCTGTGTATGCCTATAGTAGGAGTAGAAGGGATTCTAGGTGTCGTACAAGTCGTCAATAAGAGAAGTGGTGGCCATTTCACCAGTACTGATGAATCGCTATTTCGAACATTCTGTGTGTATTGTGCTCTAGCACTGCGTTTCACAAAAGTGCAAAATCAAATGCAGTCGACAGTACTGAATATCACACAGTTATTGCTCTTCTTACCTTTCTGCCATTACAGAGACTGTTGAATAATTGTTTCTTGAAGATGATCCATCTACAAATGAAACCTTGCATCCATGATATCATGACATACAACGTGGCAAACTCTCAGGTGGTAATTCCCGTTGGTTTTGACCATTTCAGTTGGCACATTAGTACAGAGGACCACCCAAAAATGCCTCAGTTTATACTTTACATGTTCCTCCAGTTGATTAAAAATACACTAAATCCAGAACATTGCATCCACTATATCCTTTCAGTGAAAAAATTCTATAGACGAAATCCCTACCACAATTTCGAGCATGCACTTAATGTTGTTCATTGCATGTATCTTATGTTGAAACGAAACATCAAACAGTTTAATCATACCGAAGTACCAAAAGTACAATATCAGGACTAAGAATACAATATTTTTTGTAGATTAAAGCCTTGATGATTGCTGCTCTTTGTCACGATGTGGACCATCCTGGATTCACAAATAATTTCCTCGAGTCGAGTAATAATGATTTAGCAAATTTGTACGAGAATTCGTGTTTAGAAAACCACCAGTATTACGTGTCTATGCTTTTACTAGACTATAGTAAAATTCTTACACATCTCTCAAAAGATGATTACAGTGTTTTGAAGTATGAAATCAAAGAAGCAATCATTGCAACTGATCCTATGGTTTACTTTTCAAACAAAATAAATTTGGAAAAGACTTGCAATACGAAATCGTTTAATTGGACAAATGAGACACACCGGAGTTATTTAAAAGGGATTATGATGATGGTTGCTGATCTTTCAGGGATGTGTAAACCATTTTTGGTATCGAAAAGAATTACCGACAGCTTGTATGGTAAATAACAAATTTGGGAGATAAATCAAGGTATAAGTAACGTTTTCTAGCTGAGTGTTACTTGCAAGGGGATTTGGAGAAGGAAATGGGGCTTTGTCCTTTGTCCATGATGGATAGAGACAAAAGTAATTTTATTCCAGAAGATCAAGTTACTTTTCTATCCACTGTAGTACTTCCGTGTTTGGATATATTGAGGCAACTTTTGCCAAACACTGACGTTTTATATAACGACGCCAAGTTAGTTTTTGGAATTTAAGTCAAACCTTTTAATATTTTTTTTGTAGATTATTGGTCCAAAACTGGCAAGATATTATCGATGTCAGAGGAAAGAAATGTTGGCGTCAAGATGACTCTATTGTAGAAAAAAGATATAATTATTAATCTAACAGAAATAAAAAAAATTAAACCCAATCAATCCAGTTGTCTTATTAGTTAGTCAAACGTCATTTCTGATTTGTTTTTATATCTTTTCTGATTTTAACCATGATGGCAGCGCCTGTGAAGGACCTCCCTAAGTCTCCCCGACCCCACTTTTACCGCCAAACTTTTCAAGCAAAAGACGACAAACTTTTGAGTTTCTTCCTCCAGAAAACCCCAAGTGTACTTTTACGTGAACTGTCGTCCTTTTTGACTGATAGTGTTGACCTTCCCTCTCTTCTTCACGAAACATGTGATGTTCTCAAGAACGTCACCAAGGCGTTTGGGGTCACTTTGTATATGGTTGACTCCAACAATAATGAAATTTATTTGACAAAGAAAAAAGTGAGCGAATGGCCAAAATACCGGTGGAAAATCGAACAAGGGACAATTGTGGCGGCTTTTGTTGCTTATAAAAAAGAATACGTAATGTTGGATGATGTAACTCGAGATGAACGATTCCCTGAAGGGATCGCACGAAAGGGTGAAGCAGTCAAATCAGTACTATGTGTCCCTGTTGTGACCCCTGATGGGGATTGCTTGGCAGTTATCGAATTGTATCGACAATCAGACCAAGGGTCATTCTCCAAAGATGACCTCAAAATCACCATCGTGGTCACGGGATGGATGGGAGCTGCCATTCACCAGAACCAGCAAAGAGTCGCTTTGAAAAAACAGCAAGAACTCAACGAATATCTCCTTGACTTGACCAAAAACTACTTTTCCGATACTGTCATGATGGAAAAAATGATTTCAGATGTTGTGGTACGTTGGAAAATTTCAATGTTCAAATTCTAATGATTTTTCAGAAATTCGCGAAAAAAACATTAGGAGCCGAAAGAGGCTCGTTTTTTATTATTGATAAAGAAAACGAGGAACTTGTTGCTGATTTATTCGATGAAGGAATAGACGAACAAGACACAGGTCTGTATAAGAAAAATACAAAAATCAGATTTGGGAAAGAGAGAGGGATTGCGGGATTGGTGGCAAGAACCGGAGTTGCTTGTAACATTAAAGATGCTTACAACGATCCCAGATTTAACAAGGAGATCGACCAAAAAACCGGATTTACTACTAAATCCATACTTTGCATGCCGATAATGGGAGTTGAAGGGATTTTGGGAGTTGTACAAGTTGTTAATAAAATAAATGGCGGGTTTTTCACAAGCACTGATGAGAATCTTTTCAAAACTTTTTCTGTGTATTGCGCATTAGCTTTACACTACACCAAAGTCAACCAAGAAATGAACAAAATGGTAGCTTCTTGTTAATTATAATCACCATGAAACAATAAAATTTCAGATGCACGTTAGCAATATTTCGTTGAAATTATTACGACTTCAGATTAAACCTTGCAGTCATGATATCGAAGAGTTTATTCAGCACCCGGATCCCAAAGTAACTCCAGATTTTTATCAGTAAAATGCCCAAAAAGTAAAACAATCATCTACGTGAATGTGATTTTTTCAGGTTCAGTTGGTATATTAATCTTAATAGTTTCGACCAAATGCCCCAATATTGTCTTTATATGATACTCCAAGTGGTGCACGTGTCGGAAATCAATATCAAAAATATGATGCAGTTTATTTTATCGGCGAGAAAATTGTACCGGAATAACCCTTATCACAATTTTGAGCACGCTTTCAATGTGTGCCATTGCATGCATGCGATTTTGAGGCGCAATTTGAAAAAATTTTCGGTCGTTGAGGTAAAAAAAACTAGATAAGGATAAGACAAAATCAAGATTTTTTTAGTTGAAAGCGTTGATAATAGCGGCATTATGTCACGATTTAGACCACGGAGGTTTCACTAATAATTTTCTGCAATTAATCAACGACGACTTGTCGCAACTTTACGACGAATCTTTTTTGGAAAATCACCACTTTCGTGTGACTATGACAATTCTGAATGATTGCGAAATTTATAGTAATTTGTCGGAAACCACGTACAAAATAATTTCAAAGGAGATAAAAGAAGCCATTTTGGCAACTGATTTGGCGTTGTATTTTAAATTTAGAGCAAAACTGGCGCAAATTTGCAACGACAGTCTTTTTGATTGGGGTAATCCAGTCCACCGAAATTTCGTTAAAGCTATAATGATGACAAGTTGTGATTTGTCGGGGCAATGTAAGCCGTTTTACGTCGCAAAGAGAATCACAGATAACTTGTATCGTGAGTAATAATAATTTCTAAGTTCATGAATAATTTTTTTTTCTAGGTGAATTTTATCATCAAGGAGACATGGAAAAAAAGATGGGTTTGCATCCTTTATCCATAATGGACAGGGAAAAAACGCATACCATTCCCGAGGATCAGGTCCAGTTTTTAAGCATTGTTGTTATTCCTTGCGTGGATTTGTTAAGGGTTGTTTTGCCCAATACCGAGGATTTGTACAATGAAGCCTGGTAAGTGGTAGGATACTTTAATTAGGTGTTTTCATTGATTTTTCAGTGCGTTACGTGACACTTGGCAGGAAATGATTCATAAGAGAGGGACAACACCATCGAAATAAATGCACAGTTCTACAAAAAATCTTGATATAAATAAATTTATTTGAGTAAATATTACATAACTGACATAATCTATACATAAAGCCTAATTTTCACAAGATATAGTATGGAAACACTTCCATCAATTAACTTATTTTTTCATAATTTTATTAGTATTTTTATCAAAGTATCGTAGGCTTCATTTCTTCTTAAAAAACTACCAATCATAACATATACAATCATACATACATACATGATTTTTTAAAAAGATATCAGAAGAGAAAAATATATAATAATAAAGGTCTTAATTTCAAATTTGCAGCAGTACGTAAAAAACTCAGAAAAAGATGGAATTTAAATATAAACTACTTTTGCATCTGTGCTGGCTTACGTATTGCGAATTTTCCCGGGAACGTAATTTTTGTCAATGTGAGGCTCTTGCAAAAACATGTGTAAACAACGCTCGTTTTGGGCTAAGGGATGACCCGCAATCCTGAAATAATGATATTCAATTATAACTTTGAACTTTTCTTAACTAATTCACAAGTCATTTCAGGGTTTTGTTGATTGCATAACGTCAAAAATAGTATTATTCAAATGGTTGACCTAATTACAGTTCCTAAACGATCATATTTCACACATTAAAACATTTGATAAAAGATAAAAACACATTTTTTAATATAGTTTGGTGTGGTTTCCCATTGTAAAGAGTAACAAACAAACAGATAGAAATAATTGTATTTGATTGTGCTGAATATCCGCTGGCGTTTTTGTTACGTGTGCCAGCACGAGGTTTTCAAGCAAACGATTATCAAATCAAAAATAATATCTCATTATTTTTAATTATTCAATTTGTTCTAGTAGGCAAAATAAGAAAAAAACTCACTAATATGATCAAATGATTTTGCAAATGGAAAATACAACTTTTACTGGAAACTTACTTGTTAATAAAGACTTCCAGACCTTTTCTCCTCTCTTCAATGAAGTCTTCCTCAAATATACCATCATCACCTCTAAAAGGCAACTGCCTCTTCCAAGCCTTCCCCGGCAAGGGAGGTACTACAATTTTACTGTCCCTTTCCAATTCATTCCTTAACCATTCAAAATCGCTGTACCTCCGTCTAACGCTGGATTCTTTGACTTTAAAAACTGGCAAGTTAGTCTGAAAAAAAAACACAAAAAACTCGTTAATATTTTAAGTAAAAAATAGCACTTAAACAAACACTGACCCTCATTTTCACTTCATAATCCGTATAACGTTTTTTGCCAACGCCGATCGTTGTTACTGGATTTACAACGTCGATTTCAAGGAAATTAGCCGGGGCGGCATAAGCGTCATCTAAAGTCTGCTTTTTTACATTTAGACGTCTTGTGGCTTCTACCGTTGCATCCGATTCGGCCATCATTCTATCTGGTTGTAATACAGCTTGATCAAGAATTTGACAGTCTTTTAAGGGGGCACCAACAGGCGATTTTATTAAACTTTGGAAAGATTTTACTAGAACTTTAGAGCACCTTCGTTCACAACAAATCGCAGACAAATGTCAAATTCTGAATCTGTCAAAAAAGGAGATGCTTCGGTCGGGATAGCAGAGCGCATATTTTGCAAAGGGTTCGAATCTTGGCTTACATTGTGTGGAAAAATATGAATTGTTAAATGCCATATTTAATTAAATTATTTTTTAAATAAACTTTTAAATTTAACAAAAAATTAAATATTTGTTAAAATAATTGTAAAAAAAGTTTGTATTTTATGCGACTTAGCTAATTTAAAATGATGCCAATTCTTTTACGAGCTACTTGTTTTGAATTTAAATTTGTAGACTTATTTTGATTACATTGCATTAGTTTAAATAAATTGTATTAATGTATTTAATTTTTTATTAAATAACTTAGATTATTATTGTTTTTACTTGTAATAGAGTATTTAGCGCTGATAAGTTTTTGCCACTTTGAGAAGTGACATTATGTGCGCATGCGATTTACTATTTGTATTCTTCGCCATTTTGTAAGACAACTTTGCAGGACTACAAAGGCTTGGTTTTCGTCTAAAATCACCCAAAATTGTGAATAGACTAAACTTCATTTGATCATTGTGTGGAAAATGGGTGACCGCGACTCTTCGGTGGAGAAGGACCGGTCTCGGGAACGCTCCCGGCGAGAGCGCCCCAGCCGCTTTTCGGAGGCAAGCAGAGAACGGAGTTTGGACCGAGGCCGCGAAAGAGGCGGCATGAAGTCCTCCAACTGCCGAGTGTACGTATCAAACATTCCTTACGAATACCGTTGGCAGGATTTGAAAGATCTGTTTCGAAGTCAAGTCGGTGATGTCCAATTTGTTGAGTTGTTTGTCGATGATAACGACAAGTCTCGAGGTTGTGGCATCGTTGAATTTTCTGATTCTGCTAGTGTTAAGAAATGTCTCGAGGTGATGCAGCGGTTTGAGGTCAAAACTCGTAAACTTATTATTAAGGAAGACGCCGGTAACATCCGCGATAAGCATGGCAACATCATCGGTGGATCAGGCAGCAAAAGGGGTCGAGATGAGAATCGGTACCGAGACGAACGGTACGATTCTCAACAGAGTTTGTCGAATCGGTCGGGGCCTGACGTGCCTGAAAATAAATGGGGCAATACCTACGGGCTTAGCCCGCACTTCTTAGAGTCTCTTCGAATTGAAACTCCGCTTTGTAATCGAGTTTTTGTTGCAAATGTAAGTATAGGGATCATCCTGGTTTTTTATTAATGCCCCGTGTTCATCAAGTCGTCAGTTTCTTCTAAGGGGCCCTGATAAGACACGTGGTGTTAATAAAATGGTTTCACGGGGCAATTTTGTGAACCCTTTTTGATATTTGTCTCAGTTTTGTAAATATTACCTATTTTTGGAGGGTTTTTAAGGAAAAAAAAAGTGGATGTGATTGTAATTGCCAACTATTGTCCTAACCAAAGAGAAAAAGTAATTTTCTTTGAGTGGTTTCAACAATTTTAACAAAATCTCTTCAGCAAACCCCGTTCCCTTTTTTTAAGGTCTCTGGTAAAATTAGCCTGTACTTGAACGGTAGATGTCACTCATGTTTGTGATTCTAAAGTAAAGTAGTTCATAATAAATTTAATCCGACTTTTCAAGACGTTTTAAGTTTAGAATTTAGTCTTTTTCGTTGAAGAAAACTGTTACTTAAATAAAAATTTCAGTGGCTTAACATAAATGTTGAAAATGTAGTGTCCTTAGTTGTGTTTCTTTTGCAACGTTTGAAATTTAAAGTATTTTGATAAAAGTGTAAACACCTTTTTAAGCTGATTTGTGCTTATTTTTTCATAAAAAACCAAATTCTAAATTGCTGCATCAAAACCGGCTCTTTTATTAATTATTTTGCGAGATCTGCATTGTGTAAACACGCTCTCGGATAATTGTCCCCATTTAATTATTTGTTTGCCATATTTTATGAGTAGGTATTTTGTGGATTGGACCAAAGAAAAGGAGAGATATTTACTTGGAGGAAAGGGCTAAAGGGTTCACATTCTTCCTTGTTTCTTCCTGTAGTTTTTTAACCTAACGATTGTTGATTATTTTTGCAGTTGGAATATAATGTTGATAAGAAAAAATTAAAGGAAGTTTTTCGCTTGGCTGGTCGCATCGTGCGCGTCGATTTGCATACAGATAAAGACGGTCGGAGTCGAGGTTTCGCCATTATCGAATACGACCATCCAGTCGAAGCAGTTCAAGCAATTTCAATGTTCCACAATCAGGTTTTGTACGATCGTCCAATGAGCGTTCGAATCGATCGCGCCAACGAAACATTAAAATTACCAGAAGGTTTGAAAGGTATCGGTATGGGTTTGGGGACCAACGGTGAGCCGTTGCGCGACGTTGCTCGTAACCTACCCTCGACAACAAACAGCTCGCAGCCTTCGAATCCTGGCGCCGGTCTTCTGGGGGCGGTGCCGAATCAGGCTCTGCAGATGGCGAATGCTTTAACCAGCGTCGTAGGTGGCTCGGCTTTTGGCAATTTGAGTACCAATCCTTCAGTGCTTCAAGCGGCCAATCTCGCTGGAATGAGTGGACTTTTGAGCGGTAGTCTGAGTAATGCCGATCTGTCTTTGGCGAGTAATCTCGTTTCGAATCCTCTGGTGCAGAATAGTACTCCACTTGCTGCGTTGGGGGGATCGGGAGGTTCGGGAAATTTGCCCCAAAGTCTTGGTAGTAACAATTCAAACTCCCAGTCCTTTTCTCGAGAAAACAATTCTTTCGGCAATAATCAGAACAATAGTTTTGGTCAGAGTCAGAGCTACAGTAGTGGAAGGAATTTTCAAAATTATGAGACTAAAAGCTCAACAGGTGGAGGTTATAGCTTCGGTGGAGGAAGTAGGGACGGTTACGGATCTTTGAGTGGTTCTCTTGGAAATTTGGGAGGTACCGGACAGTTGTTGCGAAATCAGAATTCGGCAAGCAACATTAAAGATGGCGGCGGATTTTCCCGAAAAGTTTTGGTTTCGAATGTAAGTAGATAGGTTGTTTGTTTTGTTTTTTGTTTTTACAGGAGGGGTAGGTTGTGATTTGTTGATGTCGTATTTCAGTTGCCGGCATCAGCTAGCTACAAAATGTTGAATGAGAAATTTAACGAGTTTGGAGATGTTCAACATATTGAAGAGAAGGGGACCGGCACTATGCTTATCGTTTATTCAGCTGATTGGCAGGCTGAAAGGGCTATTAGTATCCTTTACTCCTCTTTGCTTTTACATCTTTGGACATTTTTTTGGGTAGTCAAGGTCTGTTTATTTGATTTTTGGGGTTCTGACTGTTGTACCTTTCTTCGTCTTTATCATTTCGCTTGATTTTGTTTACGCCCAATAATTTTTCCATGGTTAATTTCGCACCCCTCTTTCTGATTGGAATATTCAAGAATCTTATAAACAGACCTCTTCTCCAACTCTCGACTTTCTACCCCAGGTCGGATATTTTTTCCTTAACTTTGTTTCAGAAAATTTGGATCGTGCTCGTATTGACGGAAGAACTATCGAGGCGCGCTTGTTTTATTAAAGTGTTTTGAGAAATGAATTTGTTTTGTGTAATGTTAGCATAAGGTTGAAATTTCTTTTAATTATTTACCATGGTTAATTATGACCATACACAACAAAGTGTTAGCATGAGGACCTTTTTTTATTTTCCAAATAAATTATTTTGCACACTCGGTAGTCTTATTTACGGAACCTTCTTGGTGGATTTTAATTTGTCAATAGTTTTGGAGGTAAGCACTGAAGAGAAACGGATACAATCTCAGGTATGTAATGTTTCTATCTTATATTTCCAAGTTGTTCACTTTTCAAATGGGGCTCTTGATTGGTTTTTGTTACTTCATCGATGTTTCTAAAGGGTGGAATATTGCTCAAATAACAATAAAAAGAAATTTCTAAGCACAATGCTTACTTTTTTATTTTTATTGTAGTAACACTTTCGAATGATGAAAGAAAATCGCCTAGTTGAATTTGAAGAAGAATGAAAGATTATACCTAAACAACCGAGGATAAAGATAGGATTGTAAGAAAAATAAATCCTTTTATTTTTTTGATTTATGTTTTAACAGGAACCCCACATGAACCTACCTACCATCATTGAACACTGTTACCCCATGTATTAAAAAAGATTGAATGACTTGTATCTAACTTTGTAAATTGATAACAACAAATAAATGATTTACATATTCTATGTGTTTAAATACTTACTCATAAAAATTTATTTTATTCTATTTTTCATAAGGTGACTAACCGACCTGATTTCATCAGGACATGTTTACATTTTTTTTGTCTTGTCCAGTTTTATATTTAGGCCCTGATTTGTCCCGATTTAAGAACAGACTTAAATGTGCCGTTTTCGAGATTTTTATTTGCAGTGATAACAAAGTGTCTCAAGTTAAAAAGTCTTTTTGTATAATTTCAAATATGGTAATTGTGTTTGGTCCCCTGAAAACTAAAAATATAAATACTCAAGAATCACTTATAATAACCAAATTAAATATTAATTTGGCTTGCATATATAAAAAAAGTGTTTGCTAAGAAAGAAGCAATTTTTACAAAAATAAATATTACAAAATAATTAATTAATACGTTAATTATTGGATTTGGGTTCAAAAATTGTTTTCTGTTTTTCATGTCAATATTTTGCATTCTTATTGTAGGTATTTAAATTTTTATACAGTTAGAATGACCTATTTTATTTTGCGTTTTGGAATAAAATTATTTTACCCAATTATTGTCTGAAGTTGGTTCAGCTTAAATTTCTTCTCAGTTTTCAGGATTATAATTAGAAAGGAAAAAAATCTTTTGAGACTGTTCAAACTAAAAATATAAAAGCGAAGAATAATTAATAAGAAAACTTTTTGTTATTGTCTTGAAGTCAGAATAAAATTTTGTTAAATACGTCTTACGTTGTCGGTATTTTAAAAGGTGTGTAGGTGTGTTTAAGTAGTTAAACAACTAAGGTTGTAGATAAACATCGGTATATTTTAACCATTTTGCTGACAGATTCTTATAAATGTAGATATTTATTCACTTTATTTGGATAGTATCAGAGTTTTTCAAGGCAATCTCCACCTCTGAAGAGTAATTTTACCTATTATAAGCGATTTGTCTCCGCCAAGAATTTATGCGTTCACTTATACATTATGTAATTGCTATTATGTCTGGCTGACGTAAGGTCTGCGCCAAACTTTAAGAAAATTTACAAGTAGTGTGAAATAAAACTTGAATGAAAAAAAATGGTGTTTTAATTTAAGAAACCTTATCAGTACAATTTTTATTTTAATATAGACAACCAATAATACAATTAGGATTTTTACCGGTTATTTTATACTTAAATATTATTCTGCGTATTAATTTCTAGACAGAAACGGATTTACGTAAAAAATATGTGACAAATCTGTTTGAGTTAATTTGCTCCATCATCTTCAGTACGCTAAACACTTAAGTAGTCATAATAATAAATGATTATACATTGCCCATAATTCATACTGTGTAAATCTCTTAGACGCCAGTAATATGACCAGATGAACTTTCAATTCCCTTTCAAAAACACTTGATCTAAAATTCACACATGTCATTCGATTACTACATTTTACGATTTTTTTTAATATAACAGGATTTAAAGCATAAATATGAGATGATTATCCTTACTTCCTCCGAATATTTTTATTACTAAAAATGTAGGAGAAAATTGAACCGACTTGCTTATTTGCAATATGCTAATAATGTTCATGCAAATATTTGCTAAAAAATCTAATTAAAATTTCCATAATTGTTCCAATATGTTGAACTTATTTTACGACAAAAGTTATTACTCGGAGCCACATCAAAAATTTTGACCGGTGAAGAAGGTCTCAATTTCTTGTAGTAAACCGCATCTAAGTAAGAACACCCACAGAAACATACTTAAGTCTTCATAACATGCGCGCATCTACATGTGTGATTAAGTGAATGAACATCAGCAACAGTATCAGAAAAGCTCTAAAGCCAATAGTCCCAGCTGCTGTACCACAGTCGCATCTTAGCGCTGTAAGTGTTAACATCATCGTGTGATTCTTGTCAGTGCTGTCTTTGAACTTTTATCACGTTTTTACACACTCCCACGCGGACGTCTTTAGAGATTCAATTTGTGAGGACATGAAGTGTAATCTTTGATGATCTATCCTGCTATCAAACGGATTAGTGACTATTTGTAAGTGGTACGATTCATACCAAAAAAATTAGTTGACCAGTTTGCAAAATTAAATTTTCATTGAATTAAGAACTGATGTCACTCCAAGTCACTTTACTGGATCATTGTTATCAACTTCCGCATTTGTGCAGATCCATTTATCTTGAGTTTCCTTTTGACGATACACTGCAGAGCTCATTTTTAATTAAATGTTTTCATTAACACATCATTTTTCCGTGGTGTAATAATTATAACTGTCACTTTTTAAATTAGAGCTTTCAGAAGCCGAAAGTTGTACGACTGCAACCAAAAATAACTTTCAGTTTTGTGTTGTAAATAATGAAGACTGATGCGCGATTTAACTTTTCCAACAAATACGCTTTTATTAAATAGTTTTACTAAATGAAATTTTTCAGTTTAGGAAAAAATCAGTTTTCTAATCTAGATTGTGAACTACAGATCAATTACAAATAGTTGACCCATGGCTTTTGTATTGTTGTTAACGCATTAAATTAGCCCCGATACTTATCCAATTAGAACACTTGGTTCTTCGATATAGGATAAAAAAATCTTTTTTTGAGTTATTTCATAAATTGACTGACCTGTTATTTTATTTCCAGGCTATAACATGCTACTTAGAAAATCGGAAATTAGAATAATCAACTGTATTTTATTCTTGTGGATACTTTCATTAGGTAATGCAGAGTCTAATAGGCATAGCAGGAATTATCCACCCGATTCAGAAAATTCCCCTCAACCTTTGACACCAGGAGGGTAAGTAAGCTAAAGACAAACTTTTGTTAACTTATCAAACGGTGTTGAAAAGTATTAAATAAGCCTATAAAAATGATGCAAATGAGGCGCGACTTGTAAGCGCCGTCATCGTTCTTTGAATAATATTGTCTAACATAATCAAGAATTCAAGTGTGACATCAAAGCGATGATAATGATAATTGTACATATGAAGAACAGGTATATTAGCACATGTTGTCTGACCCTTGGGTTAATTGAATTTCGAAACATTGTAACACTCGATGTGATTATTAAATTTACAGAAATTTTTCAATACGTTTGCGAAAAAACTAGTTTTTGTGTATTGTATGGGCGTACCCGCCACGTGCACTTCTGTCATGTCCTGTCATTAAGAAGGGAGTGTCATTAAATGATGGCATTTAGATTGAACAAGTTGTGTTAACACTTGATGCATTCATGTTGCAAAAGAGTGTTTGCGTTTCCTGTTGGAACCAATCGGTGGTTCCGACACCCATTTTCCACCACAATGATTCTAGTAGATTCGCACACACGAAACGCTCATCAATTTTCGAAATGAATATTCATAAAAGTGAAATGTTGCAAGAATACCAGGTACACTATAAACGTCGGTGTAAATAAATTCAATAGATTATGGATTGGAATTTAAAACGTCTTTACAATGTTTTTACTGCCAACGATAGATTACCATACTTGCTACACATGTAAAGTGCGTAACCGGAACAGAAAAAGCGTGTGGTGTAGGCGCTCACAGTCAAGGTTGCATATTTTTTTCATAGTTAACTTTTGATGATAAGCCTCTTTCTTAACAAGGACAATTGCCATGGCAAATGATTTCCGGATGAACGACGCACATTTTCAAAATTTTCAAATAAAGTGCTAAGTCAATAATATTGATTTGCTAAGTAAAATAATCTCAATGCTAAGTAGGAATGCTAAGTATTCAAATAAGATTTGCTATTTTTAAAAAAAGTAGAAGACATTTTTACTAAACAACTACCTACCTGCAACAATTGGAAGGTATACATTTTTATATTGTTACTGCAATAAAAACACATCATATTCTAGGTTAAAGGATTGTTTATGCCTGTTTTTACCGTTCTCCAGAAATGGCAAATTTTTTTTTTTTTGGAAATGTACTTTTGTTTTTGTTTAGTAACAGTTTTTATAATAAAACTTTATTATCTTTACTTGTCGTTCAGTATTTTTACTTAGCGCATAGTATTTTTAATTTTTACTTTCTTAGTATTCTTATTTAGCGTTCAGTATTTTTACTTAGCATTAAATTTAATAACTTAGCGTTTAATTTTTTCCTTTTTCAAATTTCCAGTGATTTTGCCACGAAATGGGAACGTCCGGTTCAAAACTTATCTAATTATGTGTTCCAAATTTAATTCGACCTTAGTTTTAGATACTACTTATTTTTAATCAGAGTACGTTGACACTGACATCAATCCAAGAATGAATTTATCAAAGAGATAATTCTGTTTCCTCATATTTGCGAATTATCCATGCAATATCCAATTTTCATTGACTTAGATCTGATTAATGTTTGTTTTGGTTAATATTAATGTAGTAGAAAAAATAAACTGATTAACCCGTGTCTACATAAATGCGGTTCTAGGTGGTGTTTTTAATTACATATTTGATGGCTCGTAAATATGCATTAAGCACCGGCAGCTGTAAAAGTGTGTTTAAGCGTGATTTAATTGGTAGGTAACACCTTCTTATGCTAATCCGACATAAAATAAGTAAACAAATCTGTATTGATTAGAAATATTTTATAATGTTTCAATAAATAAAAGGATGTGCCTGTCAGAAGAAATCGAATGCGAAACAAGCCTATTTACATAGTTATTTTTCAGCGTACATAGTTGAACAGTGAAGTAATTCAAGTAAGACCTAATAGGCAATTTATTATAGTATACAAATTACGTACTAGCCACAAAGTCAAGTAGCTGCATTTACTTCTAGTGAATACAAAGCATGCGAATGCCGATTTACGATTATATAATGAGGTGCATTTACGTCGTTATCATTTGTATTCGCACCTCGGAGACTTTTTGTCGGATTATGAATAGTCCGAGTTGTAAATGTGATGTAGGGACGTCATGATAAAAATTTCTGACTTTGGTAAACAGGTTGTGGGCTTTTTATACTGAACGTCCGGCTTGATGTTTTGTTTGTTTTTCTCACCTTAATATTTCTGAAAGTTTATTATTTCTGCGATATGTCCAACAGATTAATTGTTCATCTGGATTACATCCATGCATATAAAGATGGATTACACGAATTAATCATCTCTACCATACTACTAAACAGATGCAGTAATGAAATTAATAAAGTAATAAAAGTGTGAAGCATGTGTCGTAATAAATCTTAACTAGATTTATTAGAATGCGTTTAAACATCAGATTTATTATATATATTTTCAAGCGAAAGGTAGCGTTTAATTTGCTCATTGTGTACATTAACACTTATTCAATAAAAATGAATTTGTGGTCTTTTAATAGCCGATATTACCTCAACAGATTGTTCCGCCTTTAATTAGAAACCGTAAAAATCAAAACGGCCATAAGTCTAATTGGAAATTGACGATAAGAAGCTTTACTAAAAACAGGTGTTAAATTTCTACTATACTCTTAACTTGGCCAGTAATTGAAAAATGAAAATTCGCTGGAAAGGAATTTAAATTAAGATTAAACGGTCCCTTCTGATAAGAAATACTATCGCCATTATATTAGCAATGCACTCGATAAATCTTTTTCTTGGCTTATCGTTTACAACCCTATTTTACACCAGCCGCTAGCTTTGATCCTATAAGCTGGCATTATTTTAAGTCACACTTGATGGCCAAAACGACTGTTTAACTAATCTGAGAACAATAACTAGGAAAAAGGAGAATTAACTCCTGTTATCAACTTCTCACACAAGTTGTCAAGATTATAACTGCGATCCGATTTGTGTCAGATTAATTGTCTGCTTCTTTTACACAAGTTTATTTTTCTTATCAAAATTTATGGAAGATGTTAATGATTTGTCAAAAGAAAACTGGCATTTGAACAAATCAATTTACATCTAGCATTGACGAGCATTTGAGAATCTAATTTATAGCAGTTAGCACTATATCAGGGGTTTATTAACCTTTTGTATGGATATTAACAAATTTACAAATAATATACCGAGTAAACAAAAAACAATGGAGGCTAAAAATATATTTTGTTTGTTCAATTTTAGGGCCTAGACTTCCTAGAGTTCCAGTTCCAAATCCTGCACTTTAGGCTTTTGATCAAATTAGCTAAGCAGCAACCAGAAGCTTAATTATAAATGATTAGTTATTCCCAATTCTTGCTAATGTAACTTTTACTCAAAACATAGTGTTTTTTAATAAAACATAACTCTGTCTTGTCGTAATTGAAGTAATAATAATCCATAATACTAAGTAACAGACCACCGCTGAGAAGAAGGCATTCCGATCGAAGCTGATATTACGGTACTTTAAAAGCAGAGTGTATTATTTGTATGATAAAGTTTATTGTTTCTATAAATTAGTCCGTTTAGGGGAATTTGTGTGGTCTATGATAATGATAACTTTTTTTGGGGAAAAAATGGCAAGTTTATCGAAGGCGTAGTTCACGCACTTGAAACAATTTTATACCATATGTATCTAAAGATAACAAGAGTGTGAGAAGTACTAGCAGGAAATTGTAGTAAAATGGGTTACAGTATGTTCTTGAAATTTGTCACTAAAGAGGGACTCTTTTGAAGAAGTACCAAAACAAATTAAGTCTAGTAGCAAGTTTTACTTCTCTGATAATTTATGTAAATTTTATAGCGCCACTCCAGTCAAAGACACCGCAGTGATTATCATAAGTCGACACATGAACTGAGTCGGTTTGCGTTTCTTCGGCAAGGGTTAAGAATGTGATCTGGCTCCGTTTCTCATTTACATTGATCTCTCAACTGTCATACATCCTTATCTCAATTAATTCCGTCAATCACACTTTTTCGATACCTAACTTTAGTTGGTTTTGTCAGTTGGCGGACGTGGGGGTTATATTACCCGAATTCAAGAATCATTAGTTTAATTTGGCGGTATGTTGCGATCATCTCCAGTCATAAACCACGATTTCAACTCATTTCCTTGCATAATACGTGACCTTATTTAATAAAAACATTATTTGAGAAAATTATTGCCTTAAACCATTTCTAGGACAAATGCACCCACATATTGCAGTTCTCTAAACGTCTAATACTCTATAATTAGCCTGCACTTTCTTGTTTGACTTAATAGGGTAATCAATGGGATTACTACAAATAAGAGACGACTCAAGGTTTGCTTGCGACAATACAGCTGTCTCAAAACTGACTCAAATCCGAACCTGCTAAACTATGAAGTTCTCAACCACAAATGTTGTAATAAACAAAGACGTACTTCCTTGTTGATATAAAATTACAATAACCACAATGACCTATAATTTTCAACCCATGATATTAACACTTTCCTATGAAAAGTAATAATAGTCACTTGAACGCTTTATTGGAGCATTTAATTGTTTATTGAATTCTTCTCAAACACAAATTAACGGAATTTGTGAGAGGATTTGACGAGTTTTATGTTAAACTGTTCTTCCCCTATTGTTACTTTAGCCGACTCCCTTTAATCCTCAATTAGGCTTATCGAAATAAAGAGATAAAAACGTAACGAAATCCACAACTCACGAATCGGTCGTTAGGACAACTTAAGGTAATTACTTTGTAATAAGCTAGTTTGAAATAAAATTGATTTGATTAGTTTAACCCTCGCTTTTTTAATGAGACGTAATGGATTTATAATAATGAGTTTAAATTTTAATATGGTGGTTCGATAAGACATCAAACATATTTATGGACGCCATAAACTAAAATTAATTGTGTCACTGGGAATATTTGTGTTTCCATAAATTACCCATGATCACTGATTTGCTTGCTCTAAAACGGGGTACCTGTCTTTTTTGTAATATCATTCAAATATTTTAATTGGGAAGAACTTGTAGAACCATTTTTAATTTATTCAAAAGCTTTGTTTTCTCACGAATTTATTCAGAATCAGAAATTGTTTACTCGCTTCACTGCGACCTATATTTCTATGCTTTCTTTATCAATTTTCGTGTTCAACAACAAATATTACGTGAAAATTGTTTGTTAAATTGAGTAACAATTATTTATATCTACTGCTTTTGGGAGTTTCTTATCTCGTCTTCGTTTACAACGCGAATCGATATATAGTTTAAAAAAAAAGTATCTCTCCTCATGTTACCGACAACTCCTCGCTCTTTGATTTGTTTATTTTAACATTTCGACTTAATGAACTCTCATTATCCAATACTGTTGATTTTACAGACATCATCAACAATCTGATCTGAGCGCAATTTCAAGACGCCTCTTCACATCGCAATAACACAGACTTTCGTCTGTGCCACACATTTTTAACAATCTCTAAGCTTCTTAAATCAATATGAACAATATGCTTATGTACCGCAGTAAAGAAACAGCATGTTAGAAGTACAAAATAAATTGTTCTCGAGACAACTTCTGACGTTTTCTTTGAACCTTTACGAAACAATAAGGTGATGTCGGAGGTATAATGTATATAGAACTCCTTTATTTTTATTGATTGTAATCGAGAATAAAAATTACAAGGGACGATATAATACCCACTTGCTTCATATTTCAAAAATTAATGATTTTAATCTGGAGGAAACTGCGTGAACTAAAGTGAACGCAGCAGGGTCCGAATATGATTAATCAAAATGTTAACACCAACGAATTATGATTTCGGGATGAAAATGCGCCGGGGCTTAATTATTTTCCTAAGTAAAGTGTCGAGTGTTTTTGAGCTCATTACAAAAAATCTGATTCTGATTCATTTATGAAAATATAACTTGTTTAATTCGGCTCGACTAATAACATAGTTGTACGACACGAAAACTATGGGTTCGTTAACAACCCGTCGAAAAAAATAAACAACTCAAATCTTGTTTGTTGTCCAATTTCCATTTGTGGAATTTTTATGAGCTTATTTTCTTTTACTCTAAGACATCACCATTCATAGTGAACACTAACAATCCCGATCAATCTGTATAATTACATACCACTTCACTATCTGATATATCTGAAATCTGAAAGCTTTTTTATGCGTTGATGTGAGATTAACGATTTCAAAACACTTCAACATATGATAAAACACAGGTGTAAGACTTTACAATTTTTATGCAGGCCCAACATATGCAGATCCAGATACAGCACCTATTGTTGTCCAGGCTGGACGACACATAACACTTTGGGACTTTGCATAATCCGTGAGTTTCACAACTTCATAGAAAAGTCGGAACCTTTACGAATTATTTTTCAGCCGTTTGTTCTAGATCATGTGGGGCTGGAAGGTGCATCCAACCCAATATGTGTCTGTGCGAAAATGGGCACAAGGGCACTTCGTGCACTCAAGGTTTAGGCCGTCAAACCTCTGATGGTAAACCTTGTCGTGCAATTTGCATGAATGGAGGCACTTGCACTGACGGAAGATGCGTCTGTGCCCCCGGATACTCGGGCGAATTTTGCACAGAACGTAAACCCCCACAATTTCTCTTTCCAAAAAATACACTTTTCTTTTAGCTATTTGCTTGGAGCACTGCAGAAACGGTGGTAGATGCATCGGACCTGACCGGTGTGCTTGCATTTACGGTTTCACAGGAAATCACTGTGAAACAGGTAAATGCATTTCTTGCAAATCTTTTTGATAAATAAAACATAATTTTAGATTACAGGACTGGTCCTTGTTATACTGGCGCTCGGGGAGCTTTGTGTGTTAACCAGCTCGAAGGTGTTGTCTGTACGAAAACTCTTTGTTGTGCTACTGTTGGTAAAGCTTGGGGACACCCTTGCGAGCATTGTCCTTCGCGTCTTGAGTGTGAAATCGGATTTTTAAAGAACCAAAAAACGGGAGAATGTGTTGGTGGGAACCATCAATCACACAAAACGGACAATTTCTATGTTTCTTAATTCCAGATATTAACGAATGTGAGGCTATACCTCATTTATGCACAGGTGGGCATTGTGTCAATTCTGTGGGTTCTTTCACGTGTGAATGTCCTGAAGGACAATCAAGGAATCCTAACACGAATAAATGCGACGATAGAAATGAATGCGAGGAAGAGAATATTTGCCTGGACGGCAGATGTGTTAACACAGACGGCTCCTACTTTTGTTTATGCAATCCTGGATTTATTCAAAGCCAGGATAAAAAATTCTGTATTGATGGTAGACAAGGGTTGTGTTATACAAATCGGTCGCCTCAAGGTTACTGTCGAAATAGTTTACCAATGCGACTATCAAAAAAAGATTGTTGTTGTGGTGTCAACATGGGTGAAGGTTGGGGTGACGATTGCTCGCGATGTCCTAAATACGGAGAAGGTTTCTTTTTAATTGATTTTAACCCAAAAAACATGTTAGTGTTTTAGACGAACATCGAAAACTTTGTTATGGGCCAACCCATCCGGGTAAAGGTACAGAACCTGTTTCACCCATTAAGGAAAAAGGGACAGGTCCTGATGCCAAAAAACCGATAATTGAGATTATTCCCATCAATGAGTGTATTTTAAGACCTAATATTTGTGGAGAGGGACAATGTGTTGACACTCCTGAGGGATACGAATGTCACTGCAAGCCGGGATATCGGAATAAAGGACATATGCAAGTGTGTGAAGGCTAGTGCTAATTAAAATATCTCAAAACGAGTTTTTACTTTACTAATAATAATTTCGACTAATTGTAGATATCGACGAGTGTAGGGAAGGGAAATGTCAGAATGGGAGGTGCACTAATACTCCTGGGAGTTTCACCTGTGTTTGCCCTCCTGGTTTTGATGTTTCTCCTGATGGAAGGATTTGTACCGACCACGACGAGTGTGCCGAAATTGGCATGTGTACCAATGGAATTTGTATTAATATGGATGGTAGTTTCAAATGTCAGTGTAAGAGTGGGTTTAAGTTATCACCGACTGGGTTTGCTTGCATTGGTAAAGTCTATTTGAATTTAAAAAGAAAATAAGAAAAATTTCAAACATTTTAGACATCGACGAATGTTATGAAAACCCGCGAATTTGCCTCAACGGCCGTTGCAACAACATCCCCGGTTCATACACTTGCACTTGCTTGCCCGGCTTTGTTGAATCAAGCGACAAGACTTTTTGTAGCGACTTAGACGAGTGTGCTAACACAGGTACTTCCATTTTTTGTCTCTTTTTTTTACCATTGGTATACTGTAGGAATGTGCGACCATGGCCGGTGTGTCAACATGGAAGGTTCCTTCCATTGCGTCTGCGACTCAGGATATCGTTTAGGCCCCGATGGTAAACACTGTATCGATATCGACGAGTGTATAACAAATCCTTGTCAATATGGAACGTGCTATAACACTCCTGGAAGTTTTCGATGTGAGTGTCATCCTGGATTTAGTTTAGGGCCTGATGGACGTTCCTGTCTTGACACTCGACGCGACTTGTGTTACCAAGAGTACAGAGATGGATTGTGTTTCAATCCATCGACTACAGCAGTGACGCGATCGAGTTGTTGCTGTTGCACCATTATTTCGGGCAAACCGATGGGTTGGGGGACCAATTGTCAACCTTGTCCCATGCCTGGTACTACCGATTTTGACCAGTTGTGTCCTCACGGGATTGGGTCGACTTTTGACGGCAACGATATTAACGAATGTGCCCAAAATCCCAACATTTGCCAAAATGGTGCTTGCGAAAATTTGATTGGAACATATAGATGTATTTGTAACCCTGGATTTGAGGTGGACGAGACGGGGAAAATTTGTACCGATATTAACGAATGCGAAGTCGAACAACTGGTAAGTTTTGCATAGTATTTTTTTCTTCCAAAAGGCATTATCGATTAAAAAAAAATTAGAAGTGTTCTGAATAGTTAGATCATTTATGTAGGTATGCAGCGGTGGCCAATGTCGCAATACTCCTGGTAGTTTTCAATGCGTATGTCCGACTGGTACTCAACTAAATCCCAGTACTTACGTCTGTGAAGACGTTGATGAATGTCGAGATTTAGGCCCCGAAGCTTGTTTTAACGGAGAATGTGTTAACACTTTCGGTTCTTACAAATGCGAGTGTGACCCTGGTTCAATTTTGGACAACACTGGACGAATTTGCATTGGTACTTGTGCCGGTTATTATTTTACAGTGTTGTAACAATCAATTTCAGACAACCGCAAAGGTTCGTGTTGGACCAAACTCAATCACGGCCGTTGCGAAAATAATCTTCCTCAATTAAGCCGTCGTTCTGAGTGTTGCTGCTCCATTGGAGTCGCTTGGGGTTCCCCTTGTGAGCGATGCAATCGAAACGAATGTGATTGTCCTAAAGGTTATGCCAAAGTTGACGGTAAAACATGCGCTGATATTAACGAGTGCGATTTACATCCCGATATTTGTCGCGGGGGAACTTGTGTTAACACTGACGGAAGTTTTACTTGCACTTGCCCGCCAGGACTTACACTTGATGAAACTCGTATGTGTCTAAAAATATAACTTTTCCCTTTTTTATTACTATTATTAGGTACGTATTGTTTGGATATAAGACAAGAACAGTGTTTCACTCGGTACAAACATGGAAAATGCACTCATCCGATCGAGGGTCTCTTCCACAAAAACTTATGTTGTTGCTCGTCTATTGGAAGAGGTTGGGGCGAAAAGTGTGAGCCTTGCCCTAGGCCTGGGACACAAGCTTTCCTCGAATTGTGTCCCAAAGGTCAAGGTTTTCTCGAACGCAAAGATATCAACGAATGCACTGAATTTCCAGGAATGTGTCAGAATGGACGTTGTAAGAATACAATCGGAGGGTATAGTTGTAGGTGCAATAAAGGTTACGACTATGATGACAACCGAATTAAATGTGTAGGTAATTAAAAAATTCTTAAAACCCTCAAGGAAGTTTTCTAGACTTTTTAAATTGTAGATATCGATGAATGCAGCATTACCACAAGTAATGTGTGTGGAAACGGAGTTTGTAGAAACATTCCTGGTGATTTTATTTGCGATTGTAACGACGGGTTTAGAACTATGGCACCTATGCAAGTGTGCATGGGTAACTTTTCGTGCAAATTGTTTTCAAATCAATTAATTTCCATTTTAAGATATTAATGAGTGTGAGGAAATTCCGGGGCTTTGTCGCGGGGGACATTGTGTTAATACTGAAGGGTCGTACAAATGTGAATGTCCCCCAGGACATGAGTTAGCTCCTGACAAACAATCTTGCAAGGATATAGACGAGTGTTCGAGGACGAGTGGTATTTGTTCGAATGGTGTTTGTGAAAATATGATGGGTACTTACCAATGCGTGTGTAATGAAGGGTACCAACAAACCGGATTAAAATCGCACTGTGAAGATATCAATGAATGTGATGATGAACCTTGCGATGACATTTGTCTAAATACTCCTGGGAGTTATTCGTGTTCTTGTGGATCAGGCTATTCATTGATGTTGGATGGCAAAACTTGCACAGATATAGACGAGTGTAAGGAAAATCCAAGGATTTGCAATGGTGGCAAATGTACCAATACTATAGGGAGTTATATTTGTCACTGCACTGCTGGTTTGCTCCCCGGAACTGGAGGAACTTCTTGTTTAGGTACTAAGTGCTATTGGAGAGTTGGATTTGAATAAATATTTGTAGATATTAATGAGTGTAAACAAAATCCTAATATCTGTGGCAACGGCGAGTGTGTGAACACCCTTGGTTCATTCCAGTGTAGATGCGAGGACGGTTATTCCGTCAAGCCTGAGGGAGGCCCTTCTTGTACCGACGAAGATGAGTGTTATCTCGGATCATTTAATTGCGACATAAACGCGGACTGCATTAACAATCCTGTACAGTCCCCGTGTTTTATTTTCTTTAATTTATTTTGTTGCTTTTAGGGATCGTATCAATGCAGATGTCAGGACGGTTTTACCGGGAACGGCATAAGCTGCAGAGACATCAACGAATGTTTAACAAACAATGGCGGATGTGACCAAAATGCTCGATGTATAAATACTGATGGTTCTTTCCGATGCGAATGCGATGCCGGTTTTAAAGGAGACGGCTATAGTTGCGTTGATATCGATGAATGTTTGAACGATCCCAACCTTTGTGAAAACGGTCAATGTCTTAACTATCCGGGCTCGTTCCGATGCGAGTGCGAGATGGGATTTATGCACCCTGACGAAAGAAGCGATCAATCATGTGTTGGTAACGCGACGTAAAGCGGCTTTTCGCAAATCGTATTATTTTACACGCTTTTAGATATAAACGAATGCAACATGTTTACTAATTTGTGCGTTTTTGGTAAATGCGAAAATACTTTCGGAATGTTTCGATGCGACTGTAATGACGGATATAAACTAGATGGATCAGGGGGAAATTGCACGGACATTGACGAGTGTGAAAGCCCCCAATCGTGTCTTTATGGAAAATGCTCGAATTTAGAAGGGGGATATCGGTGTATTTGTCCCCCGAATTACGAACTCGTCGCCGAAGGCAACGCTTGCATTGGTACAACAGTTCAAAAACTTGAAATTATAAATTGAAAATATGTTTGTAGACCGGAGAACATCACGTTGTTACCTCCATCTCGATCGTCAAGGCCGATGTGAGGCCCCAACTGCCGATTATGTCACTAAAGCCACTTGTTGTTGTTCTGTTGGGAAAGCTTGGGGTCCCCAATGTGAACATTGTCCTCCTCTTGACAGTCTTCAATATCAAGAACTTTGTCCCGGGGGAATGGGTTACAAACCTAATGACCTAACAGTGCGTAAACATAAACCTTGATTTTCACAAACTAATCACTCTTGTTCAGGTTGTTTTAGAAGATATCAACGAATGTGAAGAACACGAAAATATATGTAAAAATGGACACTGTACTAACACTTTTGGCAGCTTCATGTGTTCATGTAATGAAGGCTTCCGTCTAGACGATACAGGTTTCTTATGTATTGACATTGACGAATGTGCAGAAAATCCGGGGATTTGTCGAATCGGACAGTGTGTAAACGAGCCCGGAAAGTACTACTGTCAATGTCCGGAGGGCTACATGCCCTTACCTGGAAGAAGTATTTTTGTTTTTCTTATGTCTTTCGAAATTTCTACGATTTGTTTTAGGGGAGTGTGTCGACATGCGTAAAGACCTTTGCTTTCTGAATTATAGTAGATGGAGGTGTTCAACTCCGATGACTCAAAACCAAACTCGGAAAGTTTGTTGTTGTTCAATGGGACAAGCTTGGGGGCAACCCTGCGAACCATGTCCATTGCCAGGCACCAGTAGGTACACATTGCAGTTTTAACGCAATTTTCCCACTAGAATAACTTGCAAAGTAGATAACACCACTTTTAATTTTAGATGAACATTTTGAGCTTTGTGGACGACACCCGGGGCAAATTGTGAATCCCATGACTAACGAAACTATTGAAATAAATGAATGCGAGTTGATGCCCTCGATGTGCAAGCATGGCGAATGCATGAATACTCCCGGTAGTTTCGAATGTCAGTGCAACCGTGGCTATATCTATGACGTGAATTCTCATCAATGTATCGACGATAATGAATGTTTGAGGAATCCGTGTGAAGGCAATGCGCAATGTATCAACCTTCCTGGGACTTTCGAATGCAAGTGTCCTGAGGGTTACAAACACGGGTCCACATTTATGGATTGTGTGGACATTAACGAATGTATTGAAAAACCGAACATTTGTCTCAATGGTGAATGTAAAAACCTTCAAGGAAGCTTTCAGTGTATTTGCCAGCCGGGTTATTTACTCACAACGTCGCGGGATAGCTGTGTCGACATCAACGAGTGTCTTAGACACCCAAATATTTGTAATAATGGTTCTTGCGTAAATATGGTGGGTCAATACAAGTGTCACTGCAATCCCGGATTCAAATTAAGTACCAATAATGATTGTGTGGATATTGATGAGTGTCATATGATGCCATTTTTGTGCCGCAATGGCCGATGTAAAAACACTATTGGTTCCTTCACTTGCGAATGCGCTACTGGTTACACTTTATCGTCCGATGGTCACAATTGTCGCGATATTGACGAGTGTCAAGAAATTCCAGGGACGTGTCGTCCTCCCGGAAAATGCACCAACGTCATGGGTTCCTTTGTATGCAGCTGTCCCAATGGTTACGAACTCAGCACTGTAACAAACCTTTGCGAAGACATCGACGAATGTCTTGTTAATCCCGGTATTTGTGAAAACGGAATTTGTACAAATACCGACGGTGGGGCGTTTTGTACATGTCCAGATGGGTACATCCTCGATCATAATACCATGAAATGTATCGATGTTAGACAAGAACAATGCTATGATTCGTTCAATCGGGGACAATGCTCCGAACCTCGAGGAATGCAAATCACGGAAAAGGAGTGTTGTTGTTCTAAAGGTGCTGCTTGGGGGAGGAATTGTGACCGGTGTCCTCCTGAAGGTTCGCCTCAATTTTCAAAATTGTGTCCAGAAGGACCAGGCCGTATGGACACAGGGAGTGATCTTAATGAATGCGAGTTGATGCCGAATATTTGTGAAGGGGGAGAGTGTGTCAATACTGATGGGTCATTCCGATGTGATTGTCCCATGGGATATATGTTGGACTCGTCGGGTAGGAAATGTATTGACGAAAATGAGTGTATAACAAACCCGAATATTTGCGGCAATGGAACTTGTACTAACGTCATTGGGGGGTTTGAGTGTAGTTGTAGTGAAGGTTTTGCACCTGGACCTCTCCAAGTAAGTATATTTTATATTTATAGAATTATCTCTGGTACTAGAAGAGATTTAGGTTTGTGAGGACGTAAACGAATGTCACGAAATGGGTAACCAATGCGCGTTTAGGTGTCACAATGTACCAGGATCTTTCCGGTGCATTTGCCCATATGGGTATGCCGTCGCACCTGATGGCCGACACTGTCAAGGTATTTTTATTCAAAATTTCTGATTTTTTAACGCATAATTGATATTTAGATGTCGATGAATGTTTAACACCAGCCAACAACTGCAAATTCCAGTGCAAAAATTTGATTGGTTCTTTTATGTGCATTTGCCCTGACGGCTACACACAAGTTGGTCTAACAGACGATTGTCAGGATATCAACGAATGTGCTATTAATCCAGGATTGTGTCAAAATGGCAACTGTGTAAACCTCCAAGGGTCTTATAGATGTGATTGTTACGAAGGTTATGAGCCTACACACGACCGTAAACGATGCATTGGTAGGTTTTTGCCCAAATCTTGGACAAACTAGAATTTTCACATTTCCAGATCGGAGACAAGGAATTTGCTTCAGGAAACTAATCCACGGCCGTTGCACTACTCACAACCGCGAACTCAAACACGTAACTAAAGCTGATTGTTGTTGCTCAATGGGCGAAGCCTGGGGGCCTCATTGCGAGCTTTGCCCGTCAAAATATTCCCCACAGTATCAAGAATTGTGCCTCGATAGCGGTTTCACAGTTGATGGCAGAGGTAAAAATCGCGTATTTTTTCCCGTCGCTCAAATTTTGATTTAGATGTCAACGAGTGTGAAACAATCCCCGATTTGTGTCGCAATGGCCAATGCATCAATACTATGGGTTCCTACCGATGTATTTGCAACAAAGGATTTAAAGCTGATGTTTCTGGTCTGTTTTGTGTTGATGTTAATGAATGTGAGCACTCGCAATCACCTTGCCAGCACATTTGTCGTAACACTGAAGGCAGTTTCATGTGTTCTTGCCCCCCTGGGTATTTATTAAACGCGGATGGTTTAACATGTCGCGACTTGGATGAATGTGCGACTGGTCAACACGTCTGTCAACATACTTGCATCAACACGCAAGGGAGTTACTCATGTTCCTGCCCCAAAGGCTACAATCAAATTGGTGATGACTGTGAAGATATCAATGAGTGTAAAGAAGACACTGGAATTTGCCCCAAGCCCGGCCGTTGCGTCAACACTTTGGGCAGTTTCAAATGCATTTGCCCTCGCAGGTTCAAATTGGACAAGACAGGAACTTATTGTATAGATTCCGACGAGTGTTTGGATGACAGTAAATGTCCCGAAGGCTGTCAGAATTTAATAGGGGGGTACCGATGTGGATGTCCTGAAGGCTACGTTTTGCATTATTATTACAATCAGTGTGTTGATGATAATGAGTGTGCAACTAATCCTTGCGGTGCTAGCGGTAGTTGTTTCAATACTCCGGGTAGTTATAGATGCGGATGTCCTGATGGATATCAATTTGATGCCAAGTTGAGCATTTGCATACAGGTATGGGATAAATTTGACAGGAGACGAGGCTGATTTGGCGTTTCAGGTGAGTGCAGGTTGTAGTGCAGCCCCTTGTGCGTTCGGGTGCACGTCGGTGGGCTCGGCGGGATTTTCCTGCGGGTGCCCTCAAGGGTACCAGAGGATAGGGCAAGGGCATTGTCTCTCTACAATTTCGCCCGCAACGGTGGGATATGGACAGGATATCGGAGATGTGCCAACTTATCCCATAAATGAGTTCGGGTCAGCTTCAAACGATAAGTTAATAACAACCGAAGGTTGTTTCTCTTGCAAAGTAAGTGATTGTGGCAATATTTTCGTGAATTATTTAGGGGATTTAGGTAAACGGACGACATAGACGCAACTCGAGACACTACAGATTAAATCTGGGACATGCAAATGACACTTTGAGACAGATGTTTAAGAGGTCGAGGAGGTTTAGGAGACATCACCATGGCGAGGATTTGGAGTTGAAAATTAGTCTAGCTCAAACCAAGCACAGGTTACGGATAATTAAAATCCAGCCGTCTGTGAAGGTCAGTGGTTTTATTATCTCGAAACTTTTGAAAGAATTGTTAATTTTAGCGCGAAATGGAGTACATGATAGTCAAAGGTAATGAGAACGGTAAATTTGAATTGATTAAAAAGCACGGAGTGTGGGCGTTACACTTTAAACGAAGACTTAAACATCCCGGTGCTTTTGATTTGTTGATACATGGAAGGCCGGTCGAAAGTGACAATGTTGATGATTACAACTACGAAAAGCCACTCACACTTCGAGTCAGATTAGTTGTTACGGAATGAAATTTGTTCAGCTGGCAGTTAGGTCAAATTGGAAAATTTTTATATTACCGACACATTTAATTGTGATAACGAACATTGCCCGATTTAAAATCACACTGCCAAATTCAATGTGTTCTTTTTGTGTAATTAGCTGCCTTTCGTTGATATTGATTTTAAATGTGTTCATTTCTGCGGTGAAACCTTTTGCAACATATACACTTTTTATAATTAGCTCTAAGCATATGAAATAAACAGTAAGTATTATTACAGAATTATATGAATAGAACATATTTATGTGAATAGATAAGTATTTAATTAGTTACCTAAAATTATTATTTTACATTGAGATCTTTGTAATATATTTGCTTTTTCAGTAATAAAATATCTTTGCGTAACAACGTCGTGTGTTCTTATTTTGCATCATTTTATTGAAAAAGAGCAATTAATAAACTTAATTATGAAACTTAACTGAAAAAATATTTAATTCATAGGTGGGTACTATAGAGTTCGTAAATATTTAAAGACAGATAATTCAAATAAACCTCTATTCCAACATCTAGTTCCACTTATTTACCTAGTTATTTACAATATAACACATTTAAGGAAATTGCAATTTTTATTCGGTGATAGTTCAACGCTTGTCGCTTTTGCTCGCAGCTAATAGAACTTCTTTGAGTGGCCCGATTTCAACGCCCTTGTTATAGGTTTCGCACGTTTCCGATAAAAACTAACTTGACTACCTTGTCTGACTGACCTATTTTCATGATCAAGGACGAAATTTCGACTAATTTCTAATGTTTCTAGGAATCGTTTGTAAGTTTTTTCGAATTTCGAACGATGGCGTTGTCATTCCCAAGGTCGATTATTCGTGAATTTCATACGTTTTGTTTTGATTGAACACCAAATGAGAGCGACATATTGGATGAGAAATCGCTTTGATCAAACGTTATTTATAATCAAAATACATAAATAATAAGAGAAGTAATGAATTTTAAAATTATTTTTTCCAACACTAATATACCTACAGTTTCTATAGTGCATTTAAGCTTACTTCTTATATTGCCGTTAATATACATTCTTCTATAAAATAACTCGTCAATCACGTTTTATAACTATACCATCGGTGGACATAAAAAACTGGAACATTCAAAATTTGTTCATTGTGTATCAAACTTTTGAAATGTCACTCAAAATCAAAATTGTCAGCACTCTAAAAATGACCGTTGAAGCTTTTTGAATCTAAAGAGATGCTGGATAAATTGTGTTTTTTTATAAAACACTTGTAAATGTAGACAGCATTAAAAAACTGATGAACATTAACTTGATGTTTTTGACAATATGTCATAACTTTTACTCCTATAACCTTATTTGTAAAAAGCCAAATTTACTCGATGTCAACGTCTGATTTTTTGATTTATACGATTGTAATATTTGTCCCAGTTTTTTGTTCACCTATGGTACAGTCGCGGCCATTGAAAAGTAATAGGTACACTTGACAAATAAAAAAATTTTGGCGTTGTAAATTTTCCCTTGAAATTGACAATAACTGTCATGTTTAAAATGTCACTAAAATCTTATTCTTTGTTTTAAGGACAGTCATTTTGTTCACATTTATTTCTTCTGCGATGACTCGTAGAGGGACATTGTCCCTTACTTAATCTTGTAATAATAATAGATTTCTGTACATTCGACAATTTGTCAAAAGTGACGTTTTCAGTGACACTGACAATCACGACAAAGAAAAATTACATTATGCTTTTTTTTTAAATTTTGGGAGGATGTGTGAAAATCCCGTGTATTACTTTTCAATGACCGCCACTGTACATAAAATAGGTACTCTTTCTTGGCCTTTTATCAATTTTGGCATTACCTACTGTGATAAAGTTTATATGTAACAATTTCTGAATTTAGTAAAATTTTTGATTCAATATTAGTGTTGAAAATTTTTTTGAAAACAACACATGTTATATAGTTTAAAACTCTTGTTGTCTTAATAGGTATAAAAGAGACATTAAACATATTCGGAATTAACAGAAGGGGGTATAAAATATAAGAATCTATTACTTCGTCTAATTTGTGAATTACATAAATTCAACAATAATCCTGGAGGATTGTGTGCTTTTCATTAAAAGTGACTTCAATTTACTAAGTGAATCAAAAAAAAATGTAGTGTAATTCATTTTTAATAAACTCGACAGGGTAACGACAAATTAAATTCATTTGTGCAAACAAAAGAATTTTTAACTGATTACACCTGTTGATTCTTAGTATAAAAATAAAATCCTAGCATCGTTACGTTTCATTTTGTTCCTTCGAAAAAAGTATACCATTTCAGTGTTCAGTTCCGGTCTAGTTTTTCTGTGAGTGCCATTAGAGACTCGGATTACTCTCATACCGGAAAAATGCCTTTTTCACCCCATCTAAGTTCCAACATATTTTAGTTGGTCGATATGAAATAGGTTTCCGGCTAAAATCTTATTCGACATAATTCCAATAAAAAAAATTACTCAACATTTTATATAAACTTAAACAAGAAAGTGGTCGCTAATGCAGTTGACCAAAAAGATATTCACCATCGACTCACGTTCTTGCTTGATGATGACTAGTTTGACTGTCTGGGTCCCAAATTCAATAGACCGTAGCAAAAACTCACAACTACAATTTTGTTAGTAAATACTTTTTTTCTTTGTCTCTGCAAAAGACAAAAGAATCTAAAGCTCTAATTAATTTAAGGCTGAAACCAAAATCTGTTATTTATTCAAACTTACTTGAATATTCCTACACTAACACAAGTGTTATTTTTCAACTTATTGTGGAAGTGTTTGTTGGGTTTTATTGTAGCATTGCTGTCGTATCTTCTCGTTCTTTACCGCTGGCGTTTGCTTTTTGTCAAAGAACATTCTTTTAGAAAATTATTTAATCTCAGTCGAGTTCGCTTTTGGTGCAATTTAGCCTTAATTATTTGCAACGTATTTTATTTATTTTACGATTTTTAGTAAAGCACCAATTTTTCCTCTAGGTATAGATATAAATTTCTAGTTTTGTAGTAATAAAAATTCAAGTGGATTACTAATGGAATATTTTAAAATTGGCAAATCACGGCTTGACACAGGTGTTAATTTGAGCTATTTGTTTTGAATGGATTTGGGGGTGAGTCTCCCCTAAATATAAGCGAAAAGCTGGGCGCACTGTGGTAGGGGTCCACTTGGTGGGGAGTCCAAAGCGGAATAGCAAAGCAAAGCAAAGCCGCCGCAGTTCGAAATCGGTTCTCGTAGTGAGAGTTCGTTTCAGCAGGAGTCGAAATCGTCGTCCACGCCTCCCACAGAGATGCACACTTCCTCCACCCGTGTCACTTAACGAGCCCGATTTCCAGTTTTTCGGGTCTCTTTTCGCGACCAGCCTAATCGATCCGTGTTTGCGCCATGGATGAGGTCAATTTCGCTGCCCAGTGTCTGGTGGAGATGTCGCACAGCAAGGACCACCTCAACCGTCCGCTGGACCTCTCTTTCAACTCATCGCCGACGGTCATCGTCGAGACCCTCCCTCCGGTCACCGTTTCCTACCCCAAGGAGGCGGCGCAAGAGCCACAGGAGTCCTCTTCGTACATGGTGGCCCGTATCCTCACCGATCTCACGCGGATCAAGCAGGAGCCGGTGCCGGAAGTGCCGTCGGACTCCGAACCCGCTTTGGCCATCGACGAGGACGACGGATATAACAGTTTGATGGACAGTTCGGGTGTTTCTAGCCCCAATTCCAGTGTTAAAGTGCCCCTTGCTGAGGGTCGCAAAGTCGACGCTGTGCCGCCGCCGAGGAAATCCGCCCCCAGGGCGCAGCCCAGACTTAATTCACAAACGAGAAAGACTCACAAGTGCATCTACGATGGCTGCCACAAGATTTACGGCAAAAGCTCGCATCTCAAAGCTCACCTTAGGACACACACAGGTTGGTCACAAAACTATAAACCTAAAACAAGTCTAACACGAGGGACCTGGAGGGGGAAAGTATCGGTGCCAAACGGCATTTCGTTAATTGCAAGGATCATAAAGCACATTTAATATCTCTAAGGGACTTTTCCCTTAGTTATGTCAAGTCTCGTATATCAAGCTAATATTACATTCTTTGTTCATTTGAACATATGGTGATTAGAATAACAAAAAAAGATCAAAAGATGGTAATAAGTAACAATGATACTTAATTATATTTAGAGATGAAAGAGTTTTTTTATTACTATATTAGGAGGTAAAATGGATTTTAAAGATTTTGGAATTTGCCGTGGCAAAAACTGAAAGCAGTTTCGTGCGCTAAACTCTGGCCCAGAGCCTTGTCCCCGCTCGTGTCGAAATTTGCCACTCGTGTTTTCTTATTTACATTCTGTAATCTCGACCGTGAGGTAACATCCTCATCCCGTTTGTTAATCCTTCACCTGCCCAATACCGCTTTCCGCTTTCCTCGATAACAACCGTATAATAGGGGGTCTTTGTATGTCGACCTTGAGTATAAGCCGGTGCTTGCCCAGGCGGATTGTAGGCGTGTCCAGCTGTCTCTCGCCTTTGAAAAAAGTTCATTGCCATTGTTTTGCAACCTATCTTGACTCACCTCCGATGCGAACTTGTTTACATCTCACCGACTGCGCAAAATGAACTTGACCGGAGATAAATATCGCGGTTTGGCCAGGTTTTTCGAGCCTAAAGCAAGAAAACACCCCTGCTGACAATTAGTATAGGATGAAAGGGACCACTCGTTTGGATTTTACGGAGAGTAAACTCAATAAAAGTAGGATAAATCTTGATCTAATGAACAGAGGAACACATGTTTCTTTCAGCGTAATCTAAACAGTCAGGATTGAAAGATCCTTTCGAAGTTTCCCGTTGACAGTTTGAATTTATTAGATTTGATTAAATTTTAACGTCTGGCCTTCGAGTTTGTTGTTTCGTCAGATATGACCATCAATTCGTCTATGAATTTCCTATAATAATTACGCAATTATTTCATTATTTACTCGTGTATAAATTGAGATAAAAGATTATCAGTGAAACCTCATCAGCGCACTATCCACAATTACATTAGGACTATTATTAATTTCAATTTATTCCGGAACTGAGAGGTCACGCTGTCTTAATAATTCTTTCTTTTGTCAACATACTTTCAAATTATGGTAAAATATGTCGAGCACGTGTATTTGTTCTGCGCCAGTTACCTTGAACTATTTAGATTTGGAATATGTATTCGAATTAATTAAAAAGACATTTATCCATAATTTGTATGATTTTATAAATATTTTGATACAAACATGCTCGTTTTTATAAACCACAAAGAATTGTGACCTAGCAGCTGCCAAATTGCGCATTTCTTTCAAAAATCGTGACCTAGAATCCAATTCTGAATTATAAAAACACTA